CCGATAGATCACGGCTAATTGACACGGGGAAAATGTCAACACAACGTTAATGGGAACATGAACCAGCCGAGGGGATGGTGGTGACCTAGATTTTGAGTAAAATCAATTAAATAGGTCTATTAATTACATTAAAGCAAGGAGATGATACATGTGGTAAATTAGATTAAGACCTATATTGAGACTTGTATATAGCCAAGGAGGTTTAGAAAAAAAATCCTAAATTGTGAATAAAGTTGAAAATCAAAACAATAATAATTTAAAACTTGAATTAAGATAAAAAATGGTTTAATAAAATCACAAAAATAACTTTACATTTCACCTGAGAGAAATTAAATTGTACACACTATTTGATTTTTCCAAACATGACAGTCTTAATAAAGCTAGTCATATCTTTGAGGGGTATTTCAGTTATTAACTTATTAATTTCTAAAATATACATTCTGGAAATTACTTAAAAAAGGCTGTTTATAGTTTGATAATTTTCTAACAAAATGTATGTGTTCTTACAATTTTTATTTTGTGATATCCAACATGTAACATTCCAATCTATTTACATTATATACTTATAAAGATATAATTGAGTTTAAAAAGATTTTGATATAGCATTCGTTATGTTTAAATCAAGTTGTTTAACTGTAACACATAAACGACACAATATCCCACATTGCATCACCGCCTTTACAAACCCCACCTAAATCTCTTAACTGTCGATAATCCATTACGGCTTCCAATATAACTTTCATGTTAAATGAATTGTTTGCAAAACATCTGGTACCCGAGTAGAGGCGCTCAAACTTGTACGAAGATGGAGGGATAAATGTTTAATTTGTTGGGTTAAAAAGTTTGGGAACAAACAACAATCGCAGGAGACCGAGGGAGAAAGGGGGGGGGGGGGAAGAAATGTGTGGGTGGGGGAGGCAAAGCAGAGGATCAATATGGTTAGTCCGAGGTTATACACTTGTTGCTTAAGAGAGACCTGTTTAATGAACGGGTTGGAAAATACGCAGAAACCTCGATAACAAGAACCTATTCCTTCAATTTTTAAATTGTTTATTTCAATTGTCTGTTACGAAAACATTGGTCACAGTGATCTAGAGATAGATAAATACAACTGCAAAGTAAGTTAACTGACAGAGAAAAAACCTGATAACTTTTTTACTTTTATCTTTTTAACCCAAAACTGTCTTTCATCATAGATCAACGGGCCTTAGTACCCTTTGAATTGGATAATACACATAAACCTCGATAACAAGGGCGTCATAGTCTTTTACTTATTCAACTGCCCAATGCCAAAAACCAACATGTCACAGTGATCTAAGTATAGAGAAGGACGGTTACGATATCATTATAAACTAACTACGGTATGTGTGGTGATCCAATAAAAGAGTACTTATTTTATGAGCAACAGCTGGTTAGCTGAATGGTTTAACTCCTTTCCTGTCAATCTGAAAGTTGCCTGTTTCCGGAAAGAGAAGTCAGCTGCTTTTTGATGGTTTCCTTGATCGATTTTGCTATCAATAATGAATGGTCCTGACAATAATTCACTGATTTCCCTTAGTCACTAAATTCTTTTGAAATCGGACGTATGCTCTGAAGGTATGCTCCTGGTTGAGATTCAACCCCTTGGGATTATTTTCGTTTTTAAAAGATTTTACCACAGATACATTTAAGATATTATATAGTTGAATTACAAATAATAGTACTATGATAGGTGTGGTGGATTGTTTAGAAAAAATATTGGTTTAGTCACTTCACCATAATATTATTAATTAATTAGTAAGCGTGAAATTTTTTAAATAAAGTAACTTTGATGCAAATAGAATATAAACGCAAATTGTATACAGATACAGTAAGTATCACCTTCTATGCCTTAAAAAAATTTGTTTACTAAATTTTTTTTATAAACATATTTATAAGTTGTTTTTTCTACAAAACAGATAGAGACTCCAAATTTGCTAATGTTACTAATAATGTGAAATTGGTGGACTAAATGCAACTAACCACATTATAGGTCGCTAAACCGCAAAATATGGCACACGGCCAAGACAGATGTTTAGGAGATCAATGAACGAGCAGACAGCCGCAAGTGTTACAATCAATACTCTGGACCTCCACGCTACGGCTACGGCCTACCTCTACGTTACACTGTGACCGAGCCACCCCTCTACAGTACTACCTAATAGGCTCAAATACTATAGACCTTAAATATAATAATTTATTGACATAACATGTTGTGTCAATTGCAAGTGGTTAGTGTTAACATTTTAACATGTCTCAATTATTTAAAATTCAGTACTTTTAACAGGACAGGTCACACACCTTATATGCATATTTTAAACTAAATATGAATGTAGAATGGAATGAGCGTGTAGTTTTGCAGGTGAGTAAGATCAACAGTGTCTCTAGTGTTTTACACTGACACACTGAAAGGGAATCTTCTTGTGAATAGCATTTTCTGTGTCCCCATTAACTGTCATAGGATGAAAAACTCTAAGAGAATAAAACTTTACACTATAAGAGGAAGATTTAACTATTTTCTGTTTGCGTAAAAACTTTTTATATCGCTGGTGCCTACGATTGAAATATCTTCAGAATCCAAAGTCAGAGTAAAAACCAAGATACAAAAAAAGAATAAAAATATCGTCTATTTCAGTATGTCAATTCAACAAAAGTAAATCGTAGAACCTAAATGAAATGTTCAAGGAAATTGAAAATAATTACATTATTTATTACTAAGAATTGTGATGTGAAAATAAAAAGGAAAAAACAATTGCTGTTTACTGCGCTTAAACTAACTGTCAAAGATAATGGAAAAGTGTAAAACATTCATTGTTAGAACCATTAGTAACAATCAATTAGGAACAATCAAAAACCTAAATGTCGATTCTTTCAAAGCAACTATTAATCAGTTGTTTTTGTTGCTGACAAAATAACGTAAGATAGATATTGAGTAGAAATAATTAATGGAAACCCATTTAAGAGGAGTGGGTGGGTGAAGCTGGTTACAAAAGAGCCTGGCTCCACAACTCCTACATGCTGTGGCAAACAAAGCAATGGCAACACGGAGTAATGGCTCCTTTGACTGGTTTAATATTTATCAACGCAAACCCATGCAATAAACTATCATATAGGCTTTAGTGAATAAAACTTGCTTATTTCATTGCAACATCAAATACAATATTTCGTAAAAATACGATCCATGTTATTTTTAAAATTTTAAAGGTAAAAGTATTTTTGATCTTAAGAAACGAGCAAATTTTTATTTTGTAAACACTAATGCCTGAAATGTTTTGCGAAGGAACTCTTCTGGAATTTAGAAGTTTTTCTCGACTCAGCAGTATTTTTATTCTTTGAATATGAAGTGAGAATACAAATTATTTGTGTCAGTAAAAAGGGTAAATTTTGTAAAAATTCTCTGATTTTTATTGAATAAAAAAATTCATTATAATATGCTTACAGCAAAACCAGCCTTATTCAAACACAGTAGGGGTGAGGTTTTACACTAAATCCTGTTTTGCAATAATTTTAAAAATGTTTGAAATTACTTTTTACCATTTAATGGAGTTTTAAATACAGAAAAATTAGTGTCTAATTATTTCACATAGTTGTTTTCAAAAGTTATTCATGTATTGAAGTCAACTATACAGAATGTATATTTTGTAATTTGTTGTAATAAATTCTTGGTTCTCTTGATTCTTGAGTGGTCAATGTGGCTTTGAGTAAAGGGAGTTCTTTGATATATAAACAAAGTTCTCCTAAACAATTTTTTCCCTGTTATTAGTGTTAAATAATTTATCTAAAAAATTGACCTGCTACATCTGGTCTGGTTAATTTAATTAAACTAGAAAACCCCATTATATCTGATTACTTCTTTCCCCTTAGTGTTTACAATTTCTTGCAAAATTTAACAAAAATAAAAAGAAGCTGAGTTTAAGTCATTAAAAAAACAGCGATTTAGCTGACTATTCAGAGCTTCACAGAGAGAATACACCCAATCAGGTCAAAGATAATGAAGTGTTTGTTCCATCGTTGAGGTTCTTTCAGAGACATCTCTCACTACCGGACTTGCTAATATCACTTTATATCAAACATTGAAAGCAACAACAAGGTATCTAATTAAATTAACAACAATTGAGATATTTACATACAAATATACAAAATTTGTTACTCTTGAAGAAAATAACTAAATTAATAATAAATTTATTAATGCTTTGTATTAATGGTTTTGCTTTGCCGGCTCATGATGCTAACACTATAGACCTACTCTATTTAAATAGAAAATATATTGAACATAAATAAAAATATAAAAATGTGAGAACACAAATTATTTCAACTAAAGAAAAGTTTCATACAGGGAAGTATCTATTACTGTAGTTCTCACTGTAAGACATAGATCTGATACTTTTTGAGAATTAGATCTCTTGTAAATACGAATAAGTGAGTTCGTTAATGAGCCTAATCCAACTGCTGGAAAGTTTTGTACCCAAAAGTCTGTTTTATCTCATTTTGTTGTTGTTTTGCATTGTTTCACCCAACTTTTTTACTACATAATTACTGCCCATAATTTTCAGCTACCAAATACAACTGAAAATACAAACAATTTAGTAGGTTAATCATTACTTTATTCACCAACTAACCGATTACTGAGGTAGTGCCAAACATATATGTTCCCTCCTTTTTTTTTTTTTTTTTTTAGAGAAAATAATATAATTTAAGATGGATTTCTAAAAATTTACAACATATTTTTGTTATGAGTACTGTAATCGAAGTATTTGAACCAAAAATATTCCAAATTTATACATTAGAAGTTTTGCTTGACAAAATATTACATAGACACACTTGCGATATATGAGTTCTACGTTTAATTCAAAACTAGTCCACCACCAAATGTGGAAACTAATATTTCCCCCGCAGTACGAATATTTTCTCAAGAAAGAAAATAAACAATTCTCTAAAACCACTAGAAACTCGTGCACCGTAAACAAAAAGAGACCACTTACATTCTCTTCGACGGTTTTCTTGATTTTCGCAGTGGTCTCAGTAACTTTTTTACCAGCAGTGTTGACAGCAGAAAACAGAAAACTCCCTATAGACTTGGCTCCTTGCAGGGCTTTTGTAGAAACTGAAAAAGAAAATATTTTTGTTAAATCACCACCTTAAAATCGGTGAGACATGAAAGTCATTTTGAGGACATATTGTTTAGTAAAATTTATTCACTAATTCATGCCACCTTTAAAATATAATTGGTTCTGGGTAACCTAATACAGTAGTTTTAAAATCAATTAACTACATCCATGTACAATCCTATATAGACTGTGTGTATATAGGAGAGACATCATACATAAACCTTAAGAAACTTTCTGTTTTACAGAAAGATGCCCCAAGCATTTAAAATGTAGGTGATAAATATACAGGAAAAAACTGGATAAACAATTAGGTATTCTGATAGGTGTATGCATAGATAAAACATACTCCCAGCAATCAGTGTGGACATACATGAACTAGACACGAAAAACAAGCTTCAAAATTTACAATGGGATGAGGAGTCTAATTGTGTTGCTTAGTCTATGGTATATGTCAGTAAGAACTGATCAATTTAATTAAAAAGTTTTCAAAGAAAGTTCATTCAAGAAACAAATGTGAAAAATGTTGAAATAGACACAAATCAAGTAAAAACATCGTAAACAGAGGTAACCTTTTTAAATTGAATAGAATGAGGAATGAGACAGGTAATATGAAGATTACTGATTACCTTAAAAGACTTAAAGTGACTAAAAATCCATGATGTATAGAAGCATTTGGTTTACTTAGTTTAAAAAAGAAACATTTTGTAATGCCACTATTTACACTGATCAATAAGAAAAATAAAGATGTTTTGATTTGAAATGGAAGATGGGAAGTAGCGTTGGGTCGATAGCGTAGTGTATGTTGGTACTTGATAACGTGTGAACGCTTTCACACAATGTTTACCTATTTTAACGCCAACCAACATCGTTTACGAGTGGTTTGTGAACATTTCCACGAATAGTCTACAAAGGTGGTGAAATTTATCTGACAATAGTTATTTGTCGTTCCCAAAGGTGATTTGACTTAAAAGCTGATGATTATGGATTACAGTTTTTTTAGATAACAATAATATAGAGTCAGTTTTAATATTTGTTAATTGTGCCGGAAAAAATATTTTTAGATATCCAAAAAATCTTGTGTGTGAGGTTGATACCCAATTTGGCCACTGGTGAGATGTAATAATGGCAATTCATAAGCAATATTAAGATTCTGATGTTAGTCAAGGAAGCTTTAGCGATCTTCACATTATAAGTAGGACCAATAAATGGTGATGTGTCAGCTTACAGGAATAAAATGTAGACTTATTTGTAGATTTTTCAAAGTAACTGACCTCCTCCGATGGCAGCATCCTTATCGTCTAGGTTCTCCTCTTCGCCCAGATCTCCAGCGTCGCTGTCAGCTCCACCAGTGGCACTGAAACAAAACTAGCATTGTCATAACACGCCTCAACACACCTCAGCATGGTAAACTCGTCAGAACATGTCATAACTCGTCACAACATGTCATGACACACCAACACAAGTCATGAGACGTTATAACTCGTTACACAACATGTCGCATATTACCAAACATGTCACGAAACAGGAAAACACCTTTTACATATCTAGAACAGTTTTTAAAACTTTTGTTTGATATTATCATTGTTTCTAGTAAGCATTTTAAAGAAATTTTAAAGAAATTGCACTCGTTAATAAAATGTTTGAGACCTTCAAATGTAAAATTATGTCTTAAATTCATCTCAAGTGGTGTAAAACCTTTTAAGATACCAACTTTTGAGAGCTATTTTTGCAATTGTGCATTTTTAATAACCAGTTATACTACTTTTTTTTTCTTTTTTTTTTTAAAGAGGTTGGCGGCCTCTTTTAACCTTGCATTTGCCCGTCCACATAGACTAAGCGCCCGTGCGTGGATCGTTTTTAGCTTTGTTTTTACTTTTAGCTTCTGTTTTTTTTTTTAGTTAAAATTTTGCTAGTGCTGAAAAGTCAGTTATTAACTTGGTTTCAAGTTCATAGTAAATCAAATAACACCACAAGGTCGGTGTTTGAGGCACTAAACGTAAAGTAGACTTGGCATCATTGATCGGTAACTCTGTTCCGTCGACATATCCCAATATAACAAACTACTGGCCTGAAAACCCTCGGTATATGACATTGTGGTGGCAGCTAAGGGTATACTTGAATATCAGTGCTTCATTTTTAAGAGGATAATATATTGATTTATGTATTTTTATTCTGTTCTCTGATACAGAAATAGGAATAGTAGGTAAAGTTTGCTCGGTAATTTTTTTGATGTAGGGTTGTGAACTTAATAGTATTTTGTGCTTGCAAAGTGCCTATGAAATGTAAATTAAGGTGTAAGATCTGTCCATACAGCATAACTGTATCAACTAACTAATTTAAGTTTTGATAGTGAAGATATTCACAGTGCACATTGTATACTGAGCGGGAAAAAGTCCTGGGACTACTAGATTTTTTTTAAAAAAGCAGACATAGCTACAAACCCTGGTACAATGTTACTGGGCTGCCATTTTTGATTGTCCAGTTTGAGTTTGGGTTTGCACCTTTGTATTTTACTAAAAAAGATCATTACCTTGATGTGCATATCAACTTTTGCAACAGCTAAGATTTATTTCTCACTCGCAGCAAACCATTCCCTACGGAGGTAGTGTATAACTAAATAATGTTTTTAAATGGGTTTTATGCCCAGTAGCTTTCTTCCTTATTTTTTGAAATATTTAACTGACCCAGGACTTTTTTTTACCACCCTCATATATCTGACAGTTTAAATTTAATCACTCCCTACTATAACCTAAAACTAAAAATATCTCAGTAAATGGACACAGATGTCTTTAATTCAGAAAAATGAAAATCAAACAAACTTCTCTCTATTTTTACACATACTTCTACCAGTCCCTAATATTAATTAAAAATAAATAGCACTCAACTATGCATGACTGTTTACAATTAAAGTTAACAATGCTGTATGATAAAAAAAAAACATGCCAGGCAGACTAGCTTTTAATGCTATAGCTATAAAAAACTATATCTAAAATTATATACTAGAGTTAAAATTAGATATACCATTTTTCTTGATTCTTTTGAGAGTGTTTCTTTATAAGATTGTTTCTTTTCTTAGCTTTCACTAAGCTAGACAGCTTTAAAACCCAATTAGCCAGGATTAAAAAGTGTTCACGGCATAAATTGATAAATCACATACATTTTCTATTAAACAGCTACTTATTTGTTTTTATTTAGTTTAAAGTACCAGGAGACCGAGCTTTGCTCGAATTAAAATAAACATTAAATTTATTAGACAAGTTAAAGATATTTATTATGTACGGTAATCAATGTGAAAACATTTATTTTGGGTGATACTGTACAAAGAAAACATTTAATACACCTTTTTAAATACATAGATTGCAATCAAAATAACCTGTATCAGCTGTGTTTATTGACTGCATCTAAAAAAAGGTATTGACTATAAAGCTGCGCGCGCACTACGGCGGCACGGCACGGACGGGCGGGCGGCACGGCAATTTTTAAAAGTTAATAACATTGAATGTCATATGAGCGCGCCCACTACGGCGGTACGGCCGGCAACGGACGTTCGGCAGCTTCCGCCGTTTGTTAAAATGTCCGGGAGACAGAACTCCAGGACATTTCCGAGCTGCCGTGACGCCCGTACCGACCGGGAGCACTGCACACCGACCGGGCGGGCGGCACGGGACATCCGCCATTCTCAACTGATCTCTGTCAAAGTAGCAGTGTTTTCGTGTGTTGTAAACATAGATGTAGATGTAGAGATAGATGTAGATTTTTCTCGTTGAGAAATACCCGAAACTGTACAACATGCGACATCCGGAATATTTTAATAACGTCCGGCGTGACAATATATGGGCAGGAATATGATCTATTATGAAACAATCAGGTAAGTTGTACACATAATCCTTCTACAAGATCAGGAAACAAGGTGTGGTACTCTCCAAAACTTAGTCTTTTCCTGTTTATGTGGTGTATCTAAAATCTTTGCTTGCACCTTCTTGTCTCCTCTTCCTTTGTTAAAATTAAACCTACTATCACCACTTTATCTACATCCATCTTTACTCACAATTTTTAGCTCGCAGACTGTCATCTGTCCTAAATTGCGGATGTGCGGATGTCCCGTCCGTCCGTCCGTGCCGTGCCGCCCTAGTGCGCGCACCCCCTCTTAAAAATGCTGTCCGTGCCGTACCGCCCGTCCGTGCCGTGCCGCCGAAGTGCGCGCGTAGCTTAACATGGACGCTTTCAAGGGCTGTAGGGCGGAAACTGGAATTTACCCAGCCTTGTGACCAACTCCAATTGATTTCTCGTTGCCAAAAACCCGAAAATAAACAACAAAAATTGTAATAGCCAGATGAAAAAAAGTTTATCCGTTCATCCGCTTGTTATAGAGTATAGGAAAATAGGATTAACTCAACTCAGGTGATCACTATATCAGTTATTAAGTTAATTGACTATTTTTTTCAAGACAACTCTGAAATCATAGACAAATGGAATTAAATTTAGACCGACAGCAGTGCTGTGGTTAGCATAAGTTCTGGCGTTCACCACTAGGAGCGCCGTGTAGTTAAAACGCATACGCTACATAACTACACAGTACTCCTAGTGGTGGAGGCCAGAGCTTATGCTAACCGCAGCACTGCTGTCGGTCTATACTTAATTTTATTTGTCTATGCTGAAATTTTCTAAGTGGAAGACTAAAAATATCCTATATCATGTTTAAGATAAGTTATGTTAAACCAACAAATATTCTGAAACATCAAATCAATCAACGCTCTACCTGAATGATTGTCCAGACTGTGTAGAGTGATCGAGGTACAGCTTTAATATCTCAATGAAATGTCTACTTCTATAAAATAAAGATATTACAGTACGAAATTGCCAAAATTATCTTGACCGTTAAGGAATACTACCAAAACAATCTAACTCAAATTTGACCATTGACAATATCGTTATTGATGGTGATATTTTCTGATACCGATTCTGATCTCCGTAGTCTCTTTAGGTACTAATTTAATTTTCTAGAAAACAAACATAATGGTTTATTTTGATATTTCAATCTCCTCTAGGCTTATGTGCAGAACTAAAAACTCTACTACCCCATTTACGGGACTAGTTCACCGTTATTTTATTACAAAACAGCAATCACCAGCACAAACGTTCAGTTTTAAAGCCAATCAGATCTTTTAACAGCTGGCGTTAAACCGTACCTATTAATTAACTCTGATTGATTTTCCATCCTATTAAAATAATTGGAAAATTCTAGTTCTAGCTCATGAGTGGAATATTAAAAAAAAATGTTTAACTTCACTGACAACGTTGAAAAGTTACGCTTCAAAAAAGTCTGTTTCCCGCGGACTGGGTAGAGAAGCCTTTGATGTATTTAATGTGCCTAAATGTAAAAGGAAAGAGAACAGGCATGCATTAGTGGCCAACATGTACAACTCTATCCAATTAGTCTTAATTGCACCTGAGAATTTGTAAAGAAAACTGTTAATCTATAAAAAATAATGACTAATGAGCTCATATTCTGTTGTTGGCAGTGTCTACATATTAGTTTAAAAATAAAAATAAATACTCTAGTAACCATTTCTACAATAAAATGTTTAATATTTAATTCTGTATAAGTTAGCCCAATGGAATTTAATATATAAAATACTAAGCTAAATATTTCATATTCTTCTATAGTCAAATTTCACAAATTTATTAAAAAATTTAAAACAATTAAAACTATTTTTTTCCATTTTTACTCATTTTGATTGATTGATAACGAAAAAAATATATAGAAAGAACCGTTATGATAATATCCAAATATAGGGGTAAATAAACATAGATAAAAAAAGATTGTTCTTTTTACTGATTTGACTTTCAAATAATCTGATATCCAATAACATATTCAAAGCTTCCAATTTCGCTCGGCCCTTTCACAGACACATCAAAAGACGGGATTGATATTGATTCGCTCAAACTGACCTCTCCGCTTCAAGGATTACACAGATTGACAAGGGTTCCGAATATTACAACATTTTTACAACTAAAATTTGAGTTTCTTTTTATAAATGCTACAAAATATTTACTAAGTACTGTAACGCAATCATAATTTTCTGTATGATTAACTGATATTGATTACCAAACAGTCAATAACAAAAATTGGAAATCTAAAAAAAACTATGTTTAGATGGTCCCTGCGCTGCGAGCATAGGTTGATGAAATAAGTGTGTGTGTTGAGTTTATAGTGAAATAAGTGTGAGTGTTGAGTTTATAGTGAAATAAATGTGAGTGTTGAGTTTATAGTGAAATAAGTGTGAGTGTTGAGTTTATAGTGAAATAAATGTGAGTGTTGAGTTTATTGTGAAATAAGTGTGAGTGTTGAGTTTAAAGTGAAATATCTCTACATTTATTTACTTTGCCACATATTCTATTGTGCACAGCCAAAATTAGATGTTCCAGGTATTGAAATGAAAGTAAATGTGCATCAGATTTATCCCGATTCCTCCTGACTGATTTTGCAAACCATTAGTGAAATTAACGAGATGGTTGCCTGACTATTATTAAAGTCCAGGTTATTATTTTCTTGTCTTCTCATAAATAAATATGGTATTTGACAACTCTAGCTAAATCCTTCAAATGAAATTTTTAATAATATAGCAAAGTGTACCGAGAGTGTTTCCAAATCGTTTACTTTCACAAACCTTTATCCTATTAGATACCAAAACTAAAGTGAAAACTCTATGATTCCATACGTGTTTTGTTCCAGTTGTTACCGTTTTTGCCAATTTCCACACATACCGGTACACAAAAATGTACAATAATTTGGGAAGAAAAATCGGTTGTGTAGTACAAGATCTTGTACTTGATACATCTATCAAGTAGATTTGTGGGTAAGTGTTAATTTTGATACACTACTATTCAGTTTAGAAAGCTTTTACTTTTTTAAATTTAATTTTTTTAAAGGTGTTTCAAAAGGCAAATCGAAAATGTAAATGTCAGTCACATAGCTTCATTGGTGTGGCAAACTGGTATTCTTGCTCAAAAATTTATCTATAAAGATAATATTAAAATTTAAAACATAGTTAAATTGATTTGATGAAAACTATTTAGAAGAAAATTAAATTTGTATCTGCAGATGGTGAAAATTTAAACATTTTATTCCAATGGTATATACAGCTGTATTATGGACTTTGGATGAAAAGAGGTACGAGGGAATTTATTACGCAGAAAAGGGGATAAGCTTAAAGAGGGTATGGCTTTTAAAAAGGAGCCAGGAGAGGTAAAATGTTCCCACCTTGAGCTGGGAGAAGCTTTAGGAAGCAGGAGATTTGAGGTTATATGCAGCAATACGATTTTTTAGATTATTCCCTAACAAAAAAGTGTTTGAATTCTACAGATATATATATATATACATATATATAGGATAAAATTTTTTAAATAATCCGAGATTTTATTAAAAGTTTAACACAACATCTAATCTGAGTAGGTTATATGAAGCATCTCACACAATGTTATATTGCTATTTGAACTTGAAGGGAAGCGATTGGCTCTTAAGTGCAAAGTTTGAAAGAACAAAGAAGAAGGAAAGTTGAAAAAATGTGAAAATGGTCATTTAAAGATTTTTTCCATCTTGAAGTTAGTGAAGTCACTTGGTATATGACAGACGGTAGTTATACTTATAATACCCATATTTTTCATATACTGTGTGCGAATTTTTACTATTTCAAATTTGCTAGTTCGGTTTTTTTCTAGAAGTATACTAAAGTTTTTTTATTTTTTTTTATTTTTAAGTTTTTTTCCCTTTTTGGGAAAGAGTATTTCAAAAATATATTTTATAAGATAGGCCAAGGCCCTAGTAAAAGTTAAGTAACAATTTAAAATGTTCGGTTGACTTTTCAGTAAGCAGTTTCAAAAAATACAAACAAATATTTTAAGTACGTACTCCAGCTAGGTATTGTAACGTGCGATCCTAACCAATGCAGTTTCAGGGCAAAAATAATAATAAAATATTTAACATTAGAAACTTGCATCTAAAAACCATTACAGATTTCAAATTCAACACTGTCAAACTAAAACCATGTACGATCGTCAAGCTAAACGGTTACAGCAAAGCTCAAAACATACTGACAAACGTTAGCAAATGTATCGAAACTTGTCAGCGGACAAAAGCGAAATTCAATGGAAAATGTGATGTAGGAAGCTAACGTAGACATGCAACGGAATGGATATGTTTTAGACTGTGGTGTGTGCGGACTGTAGGTGGAGCTTACAAAATGTGATGAGAGAACAAAAACTCACCTGAACACTCCACTCCTAGCCATCCTGCACACCACACCACAGCGTTACAAACAGAACATATACAGTAGAACCTCGATAGCAAGAGCTTGATAAAAAACCTGGTAATGACGCTCTTGCTAACAATACCTTTAATAACAACCCCATTGATAACAACCACCTTATGTAACAACATCCTTGGTAACAATGCCATGAATAATATAAAACTTGCTGACCAAACCCTCAGTGTGAAAATAACTTATGATAAAAAGACCTTGTAAAATATCCTTGGCATCAACGCCATGGGTAACACAGCTCTTGTTAACCAAGCCCTCCCAGTGGCGCTTCCAGGAACAACTTGTCATGAATGGGGAAGGGCTACCGGGGGCTCATCTAAGGAAGGAGGGGTGGTCTTGTGGTCTAATTGGGATTTTTAAAGCCTTTAGTGACTTTCTAAGGCTATTTTCAACGTATATAACGGTGTCACCTATGTTACATTTTAGGAAGACATGTATGTTAGAATTAATTTTTCCAGAGTCCATTGGAACCACCACTGACCCCTTGGTAAACTTGTTTGATGACCACCCCATGATAATAATACATTGGTATCAAGAGCACTTTGTTAACCCTATATTGTAAACTGTAACGTATTCTTATTCTTAAATACCCAAGTGTTAACAAAACAGCCTTGTAAGCAGGTATTTCACCATCCCACCGAGTCTTGCTATCAAGGTTCTACTATACAAGAGAACTAGATCACTCTGAATCAGAGAAACTGTCAAACACTTTACAACAGGAGTGGTAACAATCCAGAGGGTTAAGAAGAAAAATATATCTTTTGTAAAAAATATAATAGAATAAAATTTAAAACAGTTAAATATTTAACTGTTTGGTTTTTAAATCAAGAGGAATTGAAACAATTATGGCTAACCCATGCAAGTTTTTGTGTCTATTATTTTTTTAAATTTATATAGGTACTGGTACACTTTAAAGTAGCAAATAGGTTTCACAAATTTCAATTTAAAGTCTACTTTGTTTGTACGTTAGTAACTGAGTCAGTGAAAGGAAAAATGTGTACTTTTTTAATTTCATGTTTTCAATACCGGAAGTTTGGGGTGGATCGCTATCTAAAAGGTGCAGTGAAATAAGTGCATGCAAAAGATCAGCTGATGTAATTATATTTTACACTTCCTCGAAATCTGATTATAATGACAGTCAAGCTTTCACTGGCTCAACTGACATTCTAGTGTATTAGATAATTGTTTTATCAGAATTTACTATACAATCCGTTCAATTCCAGAAAAATAGGTACAATTTTCCACATACAACTCCAAAGCTCTATTGCCAAACAAAAGGTCAAACATAAGGACTAGTTACCACCCATGTGGTATCAAGACGAACCCGTCAATGTAAATTTAAATACAAGTGAAAATCATTTCTTCAATATTGTCTTGACGAACCCGTCAATGTAAATTTAAATACAAGTGAAAATCATTTCTTCAATATTGTCTTATTTGGTTGATAAGCAGTTCTTGTCTTCACTGACATTAAAGAATGTCTAGTAAAAAGTTATTTTTTCACTTAAAAGTTAAGGTCAAGATTTAAGATACCGGTAACTCAGGTGCATGAATGAACAATTAGTGTGCCGTGTTGTTATATCTTTGGCTATTATTACCCAGACATTCCATTCTCAGGTTAAAAAGCCGTCACCAGAATTTACAATTAACAGCTTTGCTCAATTGTTATGCTGACGTTACATGTCCTTATAATGTACTATTTTCTTTACCACACGCCAACTTTTAATTCAAACCAAAGGGCCAAAGTATAGCAACTGATTTGCATTTGTAACAAGCTCTTCTCATGTATTAAAAAAAAAACTTACAATGTGAACATAACCGAAATGTCTGAAGCAGATTGAGCTGAAAACACAATTTTATATTCAGGTGATTTTAGACGAGATGCAGCGATAAAACTGATTCTGTACAGAATTTATATTATTCGTTTGGTATTGAACTAACTCCTTTACCATTAATTCCACTGTAAACTTCATAAACAAAATTCTTCATAGCATTGTTATTGTGGACTTTAATTGCATTTATACCTAAAAATAGCAACTAAAGTGAAGAGTCTAATTTATATAGGTACTCACTTCTGTAAAAAGATGAAAGTTTTTAATGTCATGTGAGGTTTTGAGTATTTTAGGGCATTATGTGTAAAGATGTACCATATTCATCACAATGGAAATGTTAAATTACTAGGGTAAGAGAGACAGACGGTTGGAGGTGACAAAACGGCTTAACCCTAGTGATCTTTCACATATACAGCTGTCTCACCCCTTAATTAGTTGATCATTTGTTTGAAATTTGGTTGAGCCAGAACAATTTAAAGTCTATGCTAATAACAGTCCACCATAATCTTTCATTTTTTGCCACTTTAGTAATTTGACCGACAACAATATCCATAAGGAACTCAATTGAATAAATAATTAACCCTATTTTAAAACGTTTTTATTAACTCGCTTTCTTGTACGGTACAAATTTTGCAATCAAATTCAAACTAACTTCCTGATAAGCTGGAGACTTGAAACTTGAAACATAGCTCACAAATGGATGACGATGCAATATTATATCATTTAATTTTTGTATTTCCTCTGGGCTACGCCCCATAGGCTTGTTTTTAAGGGCTTTACAAATGTGCATAAACCTTGTAAAATGGGATACAAATTACAATTTCTAAAAAGTTTCTCAGGAGTTGCTGGGGGTGCCATCCCCATGTACTCCAATGGAAACCCGTATTTCCCCCCAAAAACCTTCAATAAAACATTGTTTCACAGTCTGATCATGCAGTTTAACAAACCCATTAGAACACAGGGATTTACATTTTTGTACAAAATGTTATCAAGCTCTGATTTTTTCTCGAGCTATCGTACCAACGGACATAAATATAAAGATATGTTGGCTTACTTTAATAAAATAACAACTAAATGTTTTATTTTCAAAATAATGTATTAAAACTATATAGTATCCCTAAACAGTAAAGAATATAAATATCCTACTAATATTATAAATGAGAAAGTTTGGATGTATGTATGTATGTATGTGACAAGTAAACGCGAAAAATACTGGTCGGATTGGGCTGAAATTTGGCATGATGATAGCTCACATTCCCGATTAACATATAGGCATATTCTTATCTCAAAAATCTTTTCGGGCTCTGCCCCAGTGGCTCTGCAGTTCCCCATGTTAACCTTAAGAGTATTATATTTAAATGGAATTAAATAATTAAGCCAGCTGTTTCAACTAAAAGAGTTGGTTCTATGATATGAAAAACCATAAAAAAATAGAAGATTTACCAACATGGTGCAGCTCTATTATTTTTTTCAGTAACAAAAAACTGTACGCAGTCAGAACTGTCAAATAGGATGGTTTACAGTTATGTTTATGTTTTTAATTTCATGAATAATTTGTGATATTTTGCTAATTTTTCTAATCTATCTTTCTCTATCGTGTAGTTGAAGTGGTAAAAGATTATGGATATGGTAGATGTGTAATACTATAGCATACCGTAAATTTGAGGAAGCAAATTTGCTCAAACCGCGTCTTCTCACATTGCAAACGCAAAGATCAATTTTAATTCCATTTATACTTATTTGCCAACCCCGTACGAAGGTCGGGTACTCTGCTAGTAACTTTATAAAAATGTTATTGGCCCTATTTATTTATACTTAAATGTATTATGTATATAGGCCTATATGAATTTGAACGGATAGTGTCTGAGTTACATCAAAATGAAAAAGTAAATCCATCCCGGGTCCTACGGTAAATAGCTTATTATATAGGACATTCCCTAAAAGGCAGTTTATTTGATTACATTTTTATATTAGATTATTTAATAAAAGAATTTGATGCATTTCAGAGATTACTTAAAAGTTTTGATTACTAGATGACAAAACATGAAAGATATTTGCTATAAAGAAAATTGGATCCTTTGTATGCTGTTTGTAATTCTAAGGTAAAACATGACTCTAATTATTAAACCCACTTTGACCTTTGAGTCCATTACCTTACTTTTCAGCACTGAAAATTACAAAGGCAGGTCACTAATGAAATTGTGGTTGTTAATGAAGAATTTTAATGTAATTCCCTTAAAAATCAAATGTAAAATTGGTTGAATATGAAATGTTTGTGTTAATTTAATTTAATTACAATGATTGTTATTTTCAAATTGCCAAAAATGTACTAAAAGTGGGCTCTGACTCGAAATTAGATGTGAAGGTGAAGACAAAAACTAAACAAATAGCTCGTTATAAAATTCAGTCAGACCACAATTGTGATATATTATTGTTAGGCCCTACACATTTTTAAATCTGTAATCTAGTAGAATAAAAGTAAAATTAAGACTAGTTAGTTTTCCCTAATGCCAGATATTTATAGTCAAGGTTTTCCCATTAGGTTGGACTCAAGTTATAGAAAAACATGTTATCTATCGATAGGCAAGCATGTTTCTTTAAAACCTGTTTTCTTAGCACGTGAGCATCACAGAAAAAATCTACGCATACTATTGGAAAGATATTATCCTGTAGACGTGCAGACTGCAGGATCCCATGATGATTTAAAACTGGCTAAAAAATAAACACAAAAAAATATCAAAGCTTTATAAACAGAAAATCAATATAAATGAAAGAAATTCTAATCACATCTTTTATTTATAGTGTATGATGAAAATAGAGAAGACTGTACATTACATATTTTTGGTTGAGTTTTCGACCACTGGACGACCTCTAGTTTATATGAATAAACTATTTTGTTTGATTAATATTTCCCATTAATGAACAAACAATGTATACTAAAATTTTAACTAAAGCAAAGGAGCCAATTAATTGTAGGGTAGGATAATATTTGAAAACCTGACATAAATTAAAAACTCCTAAGAATGATGACTTTCAGATTGAAAAACATCTTTGTCTAAGCCAATTTTTGATAGTCTAAATAAAGCTAATCAGGCACTGATCGATCCAACTGTTTTTAAACCCCTACCAATAGTCCAATCTACATTTTTTACAAAACTATTTAATTCAATACCAAAACAACATGAGGTTACATTACACTTTTCAGTACCTTTAAATCATCTCTAGCAAATAGAAAAATTGTCCACAATTATATGGGGAAAGTAGTTTAAGTAGTTTAAGCAGTAGTTAAACGAGATACTAAAAAAAACTAAACCAGAAGTTAACCGTAGCAAAGTAGTTTTTTTTTTCTTTCTTTTTCAAGAAGTCTGCTGGTTCTTATTATTTGCAAGTTAATCTTTTAAAGTTTATAAGTAAATATTCTAACATTATAAATATTGGTTTGAATGAGTTAACTTAATGATATCTTTTATTGAAGATATTTTAGAGAATTTGGATGAAAGCAACTGTATTATTGGTTATTTTTTTAGACATGTCTAAAGCCTTTGACAGTGTTCACCATCCTACTTTAATAATTAAGATAAAGAATTATGGTATTTATCGTAAAGAATTGAATTGGATAAGGTCTTATTTGGAAGAAAGGCCAGTATGTCAGTGTAAGATTTATTGAGAAGCAAAATGTCTATAATATAAAATCTAAGTTGAGGCAGAGTACAATATTGGGTTCCTCAAGGATCGGTTCTTGGACCGTTCCTATTCTTATGTTATCTGGGAGGTATGCATGAAGATATAACTAATTAAATTCAAAATATCAAACTATGTTTATATGCAGATGACATCAGTATGTCAATTCATGACGAAAATACAAATAGTAAAGAATCCAAAATAGAAGATGCCATTTCAATTGTTAACACTTTTCTCAATGATAGAAATCTTTTACTATAAAAGAACCAAACTACTTAGATTAAAATTTTTTGTGACATTTTTAATAATTTTGAGAATAACACCAAGTGTTTTGTGTTGATCATGTTTGTAAGACAATAAGCTCTAGAACTTTTATAATTAAAGGACTTTTACCTTTTTGCAATGAACAAACTCTTAAAAAAGTTTACTATGCCCATATATTAAGGCATTAATGTTTATGGGGGTACGAGTAAACAAAATTTAAAAAGAATTTTATTATTACAGATGGAAGCTATAAGACACATCCTAAATTTATAAAGAACCTCTAGCAAAAATTCTTTAAAACAATTTATCAAAGATTTGGTAATTTGACATTTCCATATTTATACATTTATGTATAACTCTTTATGTAAAAAATAATGAATCAAAATTAGAGCGACAACAGGATATCCACAATTACAATACTAGATATAAACAAAATTTCACAATTAAAAATCATAAAAAAGATAAATAGAAGCAAAGTCCTCAGTACATTGCCATTAAATTTATCCATCAACCCCCAGATGGCATAAGGAAGGAGCAGAGCACAAATTAATTTAAAATAAACTGAAAAAATTCTTAATTGAAATTTGTTGACAGTCTGGATGATTTTTTAACTTTAAGTAATGTATTTATCTATATAAATAAAATTTTAGTTTTGTCTGTACATTGCTCAGAATCATACATTTTTACGTTATTTTTACGTTTTATACATTAAAGCAGCCGAAACAAGTCTCATCTCAATTTCTGTCCGTCTGTTACCGCCAAGGAGCCATTTTATGCAGCCTTCTCTTGAAAAACTAGAGTACCTATCAAGATCCGAATCATTTTAATGTATTAACTGGATTGGGGAGAGTGTATTTAGCCATTAAAATACGGCCTCACTACTTTGTAAATAAAATTACTGATGTTCAAAAATGCAGTTCTGTGCGATTTTTGTCCAGTTTTCGTCAAATGTTTATCACATAATCATCTATGAAATAACGAACAGCTGTTCGGATCAAGATTATTTTTTCTAGCTGTCACTGATATGTTTACAAATGTTGTTTACAAATAATGCAACCATTTCCGATCACGTTTTGAAAGCAAATCCAAACCAAGTGAGATTAAAAAGGTTTTTCCTTACATAACAAATTTAATTAATCGCGAGTGCAATAATTTGTAGGGTAACGTAAATGAAAATAGAGATTCTTTGTGTATAAAATTATTCTTGAGTTTTGATAACCGGCAAAAAGACCTTGAATCAGTGTTGTATATGGCTGGGAAACTTACATTTTTTTTTAAATAAGCGTTACCAATAGGAGCTTACAAAAAGGTTTCCATTCATTGATGGCACTGCAATGGCAGCTGTGTAAAGTGTAAGTGTAAAGTGACAACTACAGTGGATTATTGTAACAGAGGTTTACGGATTATGCTCAACTCGCTTTTCCAATGTGTCTTTTCACCGCAATGTGCTGCAATCGCTGGACCATACAGCCAATAGACCAATAGCCCATCTCTTGGTTTCGTAAGACTAAACAATTATTCATAACCAAATTTCGACGACGATCCTTGATACCAGTACTTTTACCTAGAATACATGGCCTACCTACTTGGGAAATAAATTCAAAACGTTCAAAAACCCAACACTGTGTGATTTTTTCACATTTCCTCCTAATGTTTACTAAGCATTTTTTATACTTAAAACTGTCAGATACTGTATTTGTTTATGTATAATAGTTTTGCCAGCATATCTGAAAATATGCAAACCAACTGCTGTTCTTTATATAAGAAGGTTTCAACCGACTACTATACCTATAAAGATTCCCGTGCGTAGAACGGGTACACAGCTAGTTTTATCTAAAACTAAACTGCTGTTATATGAGTTTTTTTTTTACTTAAAAAAACATGTTTATTTTATAAAAAAAAAGAAAAACATAATGACGTGTTCATGTACAATGTATCTGTACGTTCTGAATAAAGAAATTTATTTATTGATTGATTGAACCTCACATTCATTCATGCCTTTATTGTTATTCTTATTTAACATTTTGAGATTTTACCTTTTTACTTGTTTTTAATTGTTTTATGTTACAACTACCCATTTAGACATAGTGATAGTTAAGTGTGAAATCGACAAAACTTAGACTTGTTAAACAGATTTAGCTTATTCTACAGTATAACTAGATTATAGAATTTTAAAAGGGTTGGTTCACTTCCGATTACTTACAGTTTATTTGCATGCAAAAAGTAAAGCTAATATTTCACCATAGCAACATTTTTTAAATCCTAGGCACTCAAAACTGTCCACAACATTAAATTAAATAAGTACGCAAGACTTAGTGGTATTTTGAGTAACATCTTCTTTCTGATCAAAAATTACAGGTACTATGTCTGTCTTCTTTGAGGGCTTGTATTAGAGTGAAGGTATAAGCAAACCATAAAACAGAATATTTACGATACCTTGCCTCAGCAAGAAACATTACCATCCTTTTTGTACCCCTTTTTCCATCAGCCAAAAAAGTTCATCTAAATTTTAAAATAAGTCCAACGTATTATTTTGAAATGACATATTTTACATAGCCTACAGGAAGAGCAGAATAAAAACTTTAAGATTTTTATATTATATTAGGGTGAGTTAGAGAGTGATAAATTATACACTAGAATTGTGTTTATTATTATGCAGATTTTAACAGTAAACAGTCATTATAATTAAAATTACTCACAATAAAGACTTTTCTCTGAAGGAAAAAAGGAGACAATTCCTATTCATATTCTAAATTTTGGGTTGCAAGAATTAAAATTTGCAAGGCCTATAAAAAGAGACAAAAATTTAAAATATACAAAACTAAATTCTAAGCTAAAAAATATGGGCCTTAAAAATGTTTTGAAAGTGAAATTCTTGCAAAAGTATAAATAATTGATTTTTTAACTTATGGTATATTATTTTACATTAAAGATCTCATTTTAGCACGATTTTTCCATGTTACATCAGCTGATCTATTGTTGCATATTTATATGTTACGTTTTGCTTGATATATTCAGCTCAAAACACATTTGCTATCTTCTATAAAATGAAATCCCATAGGTCTGTTTTTTGTTTTTTTTAGATGAGAGTGTATTTATTTATGATTAGTAGGGCTGCCGAGTGGTTAAAGGATTCTTAAAGTATTTATAAGGTATGTTGATCTTTAGAAAAGTTTAGAGTTCTCTTTGATTGCTTAAAACTGGACCCAGCTGTTATTAAATATTAGGTTTTACATAATCCTGATTATCATGGGTTGAAAAACAGCTGATCTTCGTCAGCAAAAAATAAATCATTACATTCATTTGAGACATATTATTAAACTACAGATCGTAGTGTGCCAATGCTACAGTGAATCAATGAATCACCTTTTAGAGCTGATCGAACGTAATAGGCCCTACAGAAAATTACCAACACTGCCTGACTATTTAGGATGACAGTTGAAGTCCCCATTACTAACAGCTGTATCCAGTCTCAAATCTTAAACAAATTATACTTAGTCAAGATCCTACTCAAATAGTTCACAGTACCGTATACATTACAACCACTCAACAATGTTACCCATATATTCAAAAACAAACTATAGAATAACAAACTTAAAACATTCAAGTCAATTTGCGCAAATACCGAATTACAAAACACCACATCAAAACAACAACATTTAAAACAAATTTCAATCTACCTTGAGTTGTCGTCTTCTTCCTTCTCAGTGGGCGAGCCTTTCACTGACTTCTCCGAGGCAGGTGACTCAACACTCGCTCCGGGGTTGTCCAACCCCTCAGAACCTTCCGTCGTTCCGTCACTCTTGCGGAAGGGCATAGTTGGCATGGCAGGCATGGCGGGCATGCTGGGCATACTGGGCATGCTTGGGATGCTGGCACTGCCCAGCCAACTGGACATCTGGTTCTTTACGCTGCCCAGATTGCCCAGCATGTTCAGTCGGCTGCCTTCTTTCGACGGGCTGAAACAGATATAAAAAAAAAATTAGCTTGAAAAAAACTATTGTAAATTTACATTTGTACTACATTATTTTGGTAGTACCATGCCAAGATGGATAAAACATTTAAATAAGGCCAGCTTTTACAGTGAACAATTTTTCACTCAATCAGAAAATATATATAAATATACTGTTATGTAATATGATTTCTATTGTACTGTCAAATATTTCTTCAGCTGTTTTACTTAAGACGGTTTTGTTTATGTATTTAATGTTTACAGTGTTGTGCAATGGTCTCATGTAAAATGTAGCTGATTATTAAGTTGAATAAAACCATATAAATCTGGTTTTTAAACATTTCTTTTCATAACAATTTATTCAACTTAATCTTTTAACTATATTATTACAAGTTCTTCTATACAAGTTGTATTCTATCTTTTCTATTCAAGTTTATTCCAAGAAATATAAATGGATAAATTCTTCAAGCCTATCTTTGGACCCTAATGACCCCAATTTTGATAGTCAGTGGAAACATTGGAAAACCACTTTCAAGAATTTCATGGAAGAAATATGTGCTGCAGAAGATGATCTACTAAAACTTCTACCTAATTTTGTGGACTACAACATATGAAATAATCTCAAAGGCTGATTCTTATACTGAAGCTATATCTATTCTTGACAAACTTTTTATAAAGCCTACTAATGAGGTATATTAGGTATATTATTAAACCATGCTGCAGAGTCCCAGTGAGCAAGGGCCAATCAAAAATCTTAGCCTGGGCAAAGGGACAACAAGAAAAGGTTTGCCGAAAATACCCCAGGCCTGAGACAATCAAAGATGCTCATCAATCCTCTTAGTAAGGAATGTAGAAACATCTTCGACCTCCAAAAAGGAGAAATAAGCCTCTTGATAGGTCTACTTACAGGGCATGGCTATGTAAGGAAGTACCTCAAGACAATAGGGCTTAGACAGACAGACCAGTGCAGATTCTGCCTCTACGAAACAGAATCAGCTGAGCACATACGGCTGGAATGTCCGGCGATAGCCCAGAAAAGGTTGAAACACCTATTGTCGGGACCACGTAAGTTTGCAGTTGAGGGAGGAGCCTATTTACCATATGGTTTTGAATGAACCAATGAGAACCGTGCGGTGTTGCCAAATCTGTTAATACCAGCTGATTTTAATATATTGCTTAGTATATTTTAATTAGTGTTGTCAACGGGCGATGTGGCAACGTCGCACTAGCCTTGTCTTGTGATTGGCTGCCACCAACTGCAAACTTACGTGGTCCCGACAATAGGAAAGGCATTCCCGATGCCTACTGAAATACGAGAAATGGGTGTGCACCAACTGATTGGCTTCGCAAGAAAACTTCGGTTGGGTGACTAAACAAAAAGGGTGCTACAAAAGATCTTGTAGGTCGAGGTAGCAAGGGTTAATAATACCCCAGCCCCATGAGAGAAAAATGAGGTATATTCACGTCATCAACTGGCCACTAGAAGACAGGAATCTGGAGAAAATATTGATCAGTATCTTCGAAAACTCAAAGAACTTAGTAAAGCATGCAACTTTAAATCTGTCACTGCTAACAAAAATCGTAACGAGTACATAAGAGACGTTTTCATTCGAGGATTAATATCACAGTCCATTTGACAAAGACTTCTTGACAATCTAACTTCTTGACTCTTGAAGAAGCATATAATCAAGCCATTACCTTGGAATCAGCTGAAAATCAGGCGATTTCATATATTTCAAGCCCTTGTAACTCTATATCTCAGTCAACTCCAAAAAATGTTGATGTTACTGGTACTAATGTTTCTCAGGCAGCTTCTGATTCGTCTTCACACCAATTATCCTCGTTAAGAAGAGAAAAATGTTTCTTTTGTGGACGGTCACGACACTCTCGAGCCAACTGTCCTGCCAAAGACTCAGTTTGTAATATTTGTGACATGAAAGGCCATTGGGCAACAGTTTGCAATTCTTGCAACCAAAGTAGGACATTTAAGGGTAAAACAACTCAAAGTTAAAAGATAGAAATAAACTCAATGTCTTCCTCTCTTGTTGCTGCCTCACAAAAATGTCTTTCACAAGCTACAGTGTCACTGATGTTAAATGGCAAACCAGTAGATGCACTCATTGATACTGGGAGTTCCGACAGTTTTATATCCGAAGCTACTGTGAAAAGATTCAATATTTCTAAATACCCAACAAAGCATGAAATATCGATGGCATCAACAAGCCATGTTTCATCAACTCTTGGCCACTGTATTGTTGACATGGAGTGCGATGGCCACGAATACCCACAGACAAAGCTGCTCGTCTTAACTGATTTATGTGCCGATGTTGTAATTGGACATGACATCCTTCGGCAACATTCTGCTGTGGAGCTGGATTTCGGTGGTAAACGCCCACTCTTCAACATTTGCAATCTACTTAGGGCTAAAGTATCACCCCCACCACTGTTTGATAATCTAACTAATGACGTCAAGCCTGTAGCCATCAAGTCCCGCCGCTACTCTGAAGATGATAGTAAGTTCATAAAAAGTGAAGTAAGTAGGCTTATATCAGAAGGAATAATTGAACCGAGTAAATCACCTTGGAGAGCCCAAGTGATTGTGGTCAACAATGGGCACAAGAGACGTCTGTGTATTGATTACTCTCAAACCATCAACAAATTCACACAGCTTGATGCCTACCCTCTACCTCACATTGAATCATTTGTCTCTAAGCTTGCTCACTATGAAGTGTTCAGTACAATCAATATGAAGGAGGCATATCACCAAATACCTATTCGGAATGAAGATAAACCATTCACTGCATTTGAAGCTAATGGGAGACTTTAACAATACACTCGAATTTCTTTCGGCGTAACAAATGGTGTGGCGTGTTTTCAAAGAACTATTGACCAGATTATAAAAAACTGAAAATCTACTGGACACGTTTGCTTATCTGGACGATGTATCTATTTGTGGTCGTAGCCAAGCAGAACACGATCAAAACCTACAGAAACCATGGAAGCAACTAAAAAGGATAATCTTACCCTGAAGAAAGAAAAATCTAAGTTTTCGTTGACCAGCATTCCAGTTCTGGGGTATATTGTAGAAAGCATGTCCATGCGTCCTGATCCTGACCGCTTGCAATTACTCTTGAATTTCCCCTTTCCAACTGATAATGCAAGCCTTAAAAGAGCTCTTGGCATGTTTTCCTATTACGCAAAGTGGATTCCTAAATTCTCTGAGAAGTTTCATTGCCTTACTACAGTCAAATCATTCCCAGTAGGCAGTAAAGAAATATTGGCTTTTAAGACATTAAAAGAAGAAATAGCGAACTCCAGTATGTCTGCAGTTGAAAAGAATATTCCATTTACTGTAGAAACAGATGCATCTGAATCAGCTATAGCGGCTACCCTTTCACAAGCTGGAAGGCCAATATGTTTCTTTTCAAGAACCCTAACTAAGAGTGAACAACATCTACCTGCTGTGGAAAAAGAGGCCCTCGCAATATTCGATTCAATACAGAAATGAAGGCATTTCCTGATTGGAAGACGGTTTAAATTAATTACATACCAGAAATCTGTGTCCCATATGCTCAATCAGAAACACTCGGGAAAGGTTAAGAACAACAAGATTTTAAAGTGGCGATTGAAACTAGCACCTTTCTCTTACGCATTTTCACGAGTTTCTCTTGTAGAGATTTCGAAAAACTCCGTAGAATTCATTGTGACGTTGGACATCCTGGAATAGTATGGATGGTTCATTTCTTAAAAAGTAAAAATCTCCCTTACTCTATTAAAGATGTCAGGCGAATGACCGCTTCATGCTCTGTTTGTGCGGAAGTGAAACCTCAGTTCTACCAAAAACCCCATCAACACTCATCCATGCAATGGCTCCTTTTGAGAGACTTAACATTGATTTTAAGGGGCCAATACCATCTGTGACAAGGAATAAATATATACTGACGGTTGTTTATGAGTTTTCAAGATATTTTTTGCTATTCCTTGCTCGGGCACAGCAGCATCTTCAGTCATCAAATCACTTACATCAATCTTCACCATCTTTGGTATTCTTCTTTGGTATCTTTGGTATGCCTGGTTTTGTCCACTCCGACCAAGGTTCTGCTTTCATGTCAAAAGAACTGAGTGATTTCTTACACTCTAAAGGAATTGCCACTAGCCGATCTTCACCTTAGAACCCTCGAGGTAATTCTCAAGCTGAGCGATATACTGGAACGATCTGGAAGACTGTATCTCTTGTTCTGAGAAACAAGGGATTGAAGACAGAACAGTGGGAGTATGTTTTGCCAGAAGCTTTGCATTGTATACGCTCGTTACTAACAGCTACGAATGAGACCCCACATGAACGTCTTTTCAAACACCAGAGACGTGTTGTCATGAATAAAATTTTTGAAAATTATTATTCATGAAACATTAAGAGGTTCATTGACCACAATAAGAAATCATCTATATGGCAAACATCAAAATTAATCAGTCTTATAGCTGTAAAATCCTTCAATGTTTTATGTGTACAATTTTTTCTGTGTCATTGGCAACCTTATTTTTAAGGCAGAGATGTATTTATTTTTATAAATAAATTCTTTTCTCTAAATCATCCATTTCAATAACCAGCCGCTGTCGTAGTACGACAGGTAACCACGAGTTACACAAGAGCCTACAGGTAAGAGATCGCCCAACTACTAAAAGAAGCAAGAGTAGTAGGTCCTAAAAATCTAACAATAACCTGGTAAAATAAGCATACAATCACCAATAAGCATACAATTGGTACTAGTATAATGATAAAGCGGACTAATCGACAACAACGCACGCCTTGGTAGGTCTTTTAAGCTAAATGAACTCAAGTTGAATGTAGAATGGGATGAGATAATCTGTGTGGATTTGTTACTCAGCTGTTTCTTTGGACAGGACCATTTAAAGACCAATGATAAAGGACAACTGGGTCTAGTTTCAAACCATAAAGAAGCTGTGTCTTCTCCTATGAAAGACACATGTGGACTTTTTAATTGTTAGGTGAGCAGCATCAGTAGCTTAACACATCCATTCAGCCAGTTTAAAAAATTAGGCTTAGAATGCAAACAGTTGAAAATCACTTAGGAAATGCAGGCAGTGCCGCACCTAAATATTGCTGTAAAACTCCATAACGCAAAAACTTCGGAATCAGAGGAGGTAGGTTGGTGAAAAGGTTTATTCTTGGTTGGGCAGTTATTAGAGTTATACCTAAATCAATAGGAACCAAGACATAACTGAATACAGTAGAACCTCTTTAATCCGAACTATTTGGGACCGGGGGTAGTTCGTACTATTGAATAGTTCAGATAACAGATCATATTGTTGTTTTTACATAACAATAGCTAAAATGTCCGGCTAAAATGGATTTTAATTGTTACGGGAAAAGTGAAAAATGCTTTATAAAGTAAAATACAGTGTTTATTTGTTAGGCCTACAGTAGTAAACATAGTGAATAAACAGTTACGGGTAACTGTTTATTCACTATGTTTACTACTGTAGGCCTAACAAATAAACACTGTATTTTACTTTATAAAGCATTTTTCACTTAATAAATAAGTGAATAAACAGTTACGGGTAACTGTTTATTCACTATGTTTACTACTGTAGGCCTAACAAATAAACACTGTATTTTACTTTATAAAGCATTTTTCACTTTTCCCGTAACAATTAAAATCCATTTTAGCCGGACATTTTAGCTATTGTTAAGTAAACTGTTTACTTTAAATACAGTAGGCCTATAGGCTTACAATAGAGAACTACTGTACCGTGTATAGGCCTAGAGTACATTAATGAGGCGTTCGGATTACGGGGGTTCGGATTACAAAGAGGTTCTACTGTAATACCATTACTTAATCAAGCTGTGACTTTGACATTGGTTGCACGACTGCCCTACTAAGTTAAGCAGTGTTTAACAGCAGCTGATGAACTACTTAGCTGCAAGGGTATATGGAAATGGACAATACTGAATTTTGTTCAACAAACTGCAAACTAACGTTCCTGATTAATGAGGGGCTAACTAGGCTGCACTTTACTTTCCTACACTCATTCGAAGGAAAGTATCGATTATTCAATTGTTTCATTTGGTAAGTATATCAGTTGGTTAGTTAGGTTAGATTAACCTTACCTAACTAACCAAACGATATATCGAATGAAACAATCGATTAATCAATATATCGATCAATATTTTCAATCGAATGAGTGTAGGGCCTAACGTAAAGTGCAGCCACTAACTAGGTTATGTCAATTAATTATGAGTGGTTAGGTAATTCAATCAATTGAAACCTTAAATGGTTTAACTTGGGTACTAGACCTACACCTAGCCTAACTATGATGGACTTTCATGATGAGGGTCTAGGCCTAGGTTGTGTGAGAGTAAGGAAGGGTAAGCATATAAATCTTTAAAGTGCAATACCTTGAATCTTTCTGATCTGATTCTAAGCCACCAAGAGATTTGTCAACAACAGGGGAAGAAGATACTGGTTGCTGTTCTTCTGGATTTGGGTTTGGAATTTCTTCATCTGGTTTTTTCCCCCCACTGCCCATCCAACTACTCACTTGATTTGATAACCCCGAAAACATAATGAAAATCTGAAATTTAATTAACAGTAAACACTAAACTAATAACACTCAATGAATCATCCTCATGACACAAACGTCAAATGACCGTCAGCTGTTTGCGCACTTACTTAGCCCACTCCGCAGTCCGCTCCGCACAACCACAACACGAACTAAGTTCCAATTTCCAAATCCACCAAACAACTGCCTTTTGTATTGAGTTTGAAGAGTATTGACTGACTATTCGACTACACAGTGTGACAGTGAGAAAGTTGGCTGTCATTCGGTTCATCGTTTTATCGATAGTTGTATAATGTTTGTATCGCGACACACGCAATATCGCTACAACAGTATTCCAATCGATTCGATAGTTAAGTCTCAGCATATATTTTAATATTTTACTTTGTTTCGTTTTCGTATAGTATCAGTTCATATCAACGTGTTTGGTTTATGACTTTATGACAGTATCATCCGCAAACGTAGCAACCGTAATATTTTGGCCCACGGGGATGTCGGAGGTATATAGTAGATATAAAACAGGTCCAAGAACACTGCCTTGGGGAACTCCAGATTGAATAGGCTTCAAGTCGGTTAAAATTTCTTGAAATTTAATCTGGAAGAATCGTTCATTTAAGTAAGATTTTTAACAAACTGTAAAAAGAATGGGGGAGCAAGGATTTAAGTTTATACAGAAGTCCAGTGTGCCACACTTTATCGAATGCCTGTTGTTTTTAATAAGTTACATTAATTTAATAAGTTAATAATTGCCATTAGCTGTTTGGGCTATTAATTAACAGCTGTGTCTAAGGAATGTCGGCCTTAGTCACTAACAAGACTACAAGATCGCGCCACTCATCTTACACTCATCTCCATTCATACTTGGCTTAAAATACCTACATTGTATGGTTGCCATTTCATAAGAAAGTATAAAGTACTAGGTGGCGTTCGCAGAGGCATCCACAAAATTGAGCGGAGTCATCAAGGGTTCATATTATATTGTTTTTGTCATACTGCAGTAAAAACAGTAGTTTTTAATGCATGCGTTGCGGGTCTAAAGTAGCATTTTTATTCTCTAGGGAGTAAAAATCGTTTTTAGCCTCTATGGAGTAAAAATCAGTTGTTGTCAACTCAGTTGTAAATTTCGATTGTAAACGATTGCATGTATCTAAAATATGTATCGATTCGAGCTTCGTAATCATTTTAACCTACAGTATACAGTCTCTTCCCATAGCATTTTGTATTGCAGATACCGTACATTAATAAGTTCCCACACTAAACATTGCTCACCTTTACTACTTCCTTCACCACCCCCTACGTCGTGGACCTGTTCCCTCTCTTCCCATTGCATTTTAGGATTGCAGATACATCAATGTATTTGCCAAAGACAGTTCCCACACTCTGCACTGCTAGCCTTACTAATTGCTTCACCATTTCCTATGTCATAGACCTGTTTCCTTCCCTTCTCATAACATTAAGAATACGGATACATTTACCTAACTGCCCACACGGTTCCCCCACTCTGCACTGCCAGCCTTTAATACTTCCTTCACCACGTCCTCCGTCGTGGGGCCTATTTCCATGTCTTCTCATAGCATTTTAGGATTGAAGATACAGTAATCTAACTGCCACAGACGATTCTCACACTATGCTCATACTTTACTATTTCCTAAGCCACTTCCTACGTCGTGGACCTGTTTTCATCACTTTCCATATCATTTTAGTATTTTAGATACGTTAATCTAATTGCCACAAACATTCCCCACACTCTGCACTGCTAGCCTTTACTACTTCTTTCACCATTTCCTATGTCGTGGGCATGCTTCCATCCCTTCTCATGGCATTTTAGCTTTGCAGATACATTAATCTAAATGCTACAAACGGTTTCCAGTTCCCCGTCTCCACACTGCTCACCTTACTACTTCCTTCACCTCTTCCTATGTCGCGGACCTGTTTTCCTCCCTTCCCATAGAATTTTAGGATTGCAGATACCTTAATCTAATCGTCATAAAAAGTTCCCATACTCCGGACTGCTCGCCTTTACTACTTCCTTCACTACCTCCTACGTCACGGACCTGTTTCCATCCCTTTCCATAGCATTTTAGGATTGCAGATGCCTTGATCTAATCGTCATAAACAGTTCCCACACTCCGGACAGCTCGCCTTGACTAATTCCTTTACGACTTCCTACATCGCGGACCTGTTTTCCTCCCTTTCCATAGCATTTTAGGATTGTAGATACCTTAATCTAATCGTCATAAACAGTTTGCACACTCCGGACTGCGCGCCTTTACTACTTCCTTCATTACCTCCTACGTCACGGACCTGTTTCCCTCCCTTTCCATAGCATTTTAGGATTGCAGATGCCTTGATCTATTCGTCATAAACAGTTCCCACACTCCGGACAGCTCGCCTTGACTAATTCCTTTACGACTTCCTACATCGTGGACCTGTTTTCCTCCCTTTCCATAGCATTTTAGGAATGCATATACCTTAATCTAATCGTCATAAACAGTCCCTACACTCCGGACAGCACGCCTTTACTACACTCTTCACCACTTCCTACGTCACGGACGTGTTTCCCTCCCTTCCCATAGCATCATAGGATTGTAAATACCTTAATCTAATGGTCAAAAACAGATCCCACGCCACGAACAGCTCGCCTTGAATACTTCATTCACCACTTCATACGTCACGGACCGGTTTCCCTCCCTTTCCATAGCATCATAGGATTGCAAATACCTTAATCTAGTCGTCATAAACAGTTCCCATACTCCGGACAGCTCGCCTTTACTACTTTCTTCACCACTCCCTACGTCACGGGACCTGTTTTCATCCCTTCCCATAGCATTTCAGGATTGCAGATGCCTTAATCTAATCGTCATAAACAGTTTCCACACTCCGGAAAGCTCGCCTTGACTACTTCCTTCACCACTTCCTACATCGCGGACCTGTTTCCCTCCCTTCCCAGAGCATTTTAGGATTGCAGATACCTTAATCTAGTCGTCACAAACAGTTTCCACAGTCCAGTCCGAACTGCTTGCCTTTACTACTTCCTTCACCACTTCCTACAGTTACCCCCCCTTCCCTGTTTCCCCCCCTTCCCATAGCATCATAGAATTGCAGATACCTTAATCTAATGGTTATATACAGATCCCACGCCCCGAACAGCTCTCCTTTACTACTTCCGTCACCACTCCCTACGTCGCGGAACTGTCTCCTTCCCTTCCAATAGCATTTTAGGATTGCAGATGCCTCAATCTTATCGTCATAAACCGTTCCCACACTCCGGACTGCTCGCCTTTACTACTTCCTTCACCACTTCCTACGTCACGGACCTCAAGCTAGTGTCGTCATTTGATTATATTTATGATCCATACCGATTCTGTTCTAATATCTGTGGAATAATGCTATCCCCTCCCTCAGCACCCATTATCAACCGCTGACCTTCTCTCTCGCTCCCTTTCTCCTTACCCCAAGAAACTAAAGGCGGCGCACATCAACGCTCAGTCGTTGCGTGCGCATATTGATGAGGTAAGAGAAATGTTCAAATACAGGGATTTCGATGTAATTGCAGTTTCAGAGTCGTGGTTGAAGCCAAGTATTCCATCACATGAAGTAAACCTCCCTGGCTATATTCTGCAGCGCAATGATAGAACCGGCAAGCAGGGTGGAGGTGTTGCAGTTTATATCAGGGAGGGAATCAATTTTAAAGTGGTCAACTGTTCAAATTCTGAGTACTCTGCAAAACCTGAATTTTTAATGATAGAAATTAGCCTATCTGGTGTTGATGACCTTTTGTTAAGTGTGTGTTATCGCCCACCTAGAGTAGGCAATCTACTGGAATTTGAAAATGCTCTTTTAAATTTATTATTTAGATTTAGTCATGTCTTGATCATGGGTGACTTCAACACTGACCTACTTTCAACCAATCAAAACTATGAATACAGACAACTGACTACATTGTTCGACTCATGTAACTTAAACATACTCCCACTGGACCCTACACATCATACTGCCGAGTCTGACACTCTCTTAGACTTAATAGTAGTATCAGATGCTGAAGACATTGTACATCATGGGCAGCTTCCAGTTCCAGCAGTATCCAAGCATGACCTCATATTTTGTGTGTGTTCAGTTAAGGCACCCAAACCCAAGACTAAATTTATTAAATATAGGGATTTTAAGAATATGAATGAAGTTGAGTTCATGTCAGATATCCAGAACACACCATGGCATCTAATTGAAAATTCACCATGTCTTGATGAAATGGTAAATGAACTGAACAATACAATTTTAAATTTATTTGATAAACATGCTCCAATTGTTTCAAAACGTTTGACTAAAAAACGACCAGTGCCATGGATAACCCCTGAAATACGTAGCTTGATGGCAAGACGTGACTGTCTTTTCAGGAGAGCAAGGCGTTCCCAGAATCAAGTAGAAATGGAAGAGTATCGGTATTTACGTAACAGAGTCAAACAACTTTTGCGAAATTCAAAATTAAGACACATTCGTATGCTTTTTGAAAATAAGAACCAACCATCTAGAGTGTTATGGCGTAACGTAAAAAGTCTTGGGCTTGGGAAACAACCTGACGCACAGAGAGTCAATATTCCTCTCAATGAATTAAATGCATTCTTCTCTTCCTTTGGCCAAAGCATTAATCAACAACAAGTTGAAAGTCACCTAACTGAGTTAAGAAACTCCCCTGCTCAAGAATTGGGTTATCCTAAGTTTACGTTCAGACCTGTACTGCAGTCTGATGTTCTGAAATCTATTCGACGTATCCGGAGTAATGCTGTCGGATCAGACGGCATTCCAATCCGCTTTATTAAAGACATTCTCTTTGCTATTCTCCCAACTATCACATATATTTTCAACACATCCTTAAGGCAAAGCACATTCCCTATTTCTTGGAAGTCTGCCCTAATTCGACCCTTGAATAAGATCCCAGCCCCGGCTTCTTGCCAGGATTTCAGGCCGATCAGTATATTGCCCGCATTATCTAAAGGCCTTGAAAGAATCGTTCACTGCCAAATAACTGATTTTCTGACTGAAAACAATATCTTATGCAACTCACAGTCTGGCTTTCGAGCAGCTCATAGTACAGAAACAGCACTTTTACGTGTGACGGACGACATTAGACTAGCAATGGAACATCGGCAGGGAACGATTCTTACCTTATTTGATTTCTCTAAAGCCTTTGACTGTGTAAATCACAAGCTCCTCTTAGAGAAGCTAAGGGCCATAGGGTTTTCAAATGGTGTATTGGACTGGCTGGGATCATATCTGTCAGACAGGCGGCAGTGTGTTGAGGTTGATGACTTACGATCTGACTGGGAGACAGTTACTAGTGGTGTACCTCAGGGGTCCATCCTTGGTCCTCTGTTGTTCGTACTATACATAAACGACTTGAGCTCAGTCCTCACACACTGTAAATACCACATGTATGCTGATGACTTACAGATTTATACACATTTTTCACCCAAACAGATCAACGAAAGTGTTCTGAGAGTGAATGAAGATATTGAGAAAATCATTACTTGGACTGATAAACACGGACTCAGACTTAATCACGAAAAAACTAAACCTATCATAATTTGTCATCCACGGTTACGAAACTCAATTGACTTTCTCACGACAAATCCAATAAATATAAATGGAACAGCTCTGCTTTACTGTGACAAAGTCAAAAACCTAGGACTTACTATGAACTCGACACTTACTTGGGGCGATGCAGTCGTAGACATCCGTAAAAAGGTGTTTGCATCAATCCACGCACTTAAAAAATTACAAAACTTCTTGCCAATGCACATAAAAATACATCTTGTCAAATCACTTGTCTTCCCCCACTTCACTTACTGCAACACTGTGATCAATGACATGACTGTAAACCTTGCTGATGCTCTCCAACGCGCTCAGAACTACTGCTTGAGATTCATTTATGATCTGAGACGCAGTGAGCGTATCACGCCTTACTACATTAATTCTAAACTATTAAAGCTATGTGACCTTAGATCAATTAAAATTCTTTTGCTAACCTATTCAATAATAAAAACAAATTTTCCAAAATATTTTGTAGATGATTTTAGGTTTGTAGCTGAAGAAAGTGTTAGATATTCACGCTATGCTTCATTGACTTTGCGTATGCCTCATCATAGGACTGCAGTTTACGACGGGGCGTTTGTTGTGACCGCTTGCCGACTTTGGAATGACCTCCCCTTAGCCATCAAATCCCTTGATAACCGTTCCCGGTTTGTGGCAGCGCTAAAAAATATGTATTTTGAACGTATGGCCATGGTTGGTTTGTCCTAGGGGCTTGTACGCTGGTTGGTCACTGACAGATGTGCTTGGTGTGTGTGTGTGTGTGTGTGTGAGAGAGAGAGAGAGAGAGAGGGAGACAGGAAGATTATTTTTGTACAGTTTAAAATGTAAGTTATTTTCTTTTGTTAATGTTTCTGTATCCATGATTTAGATTTTGTCTTTGTTGTATATTAATGTAATTGTTAAAATATATGTGTTATATTTATGACAGGTTAAGTGTAAGAAAGGGCCATGTGGCCCTAACTTTTGCCTGTATAAATAAATAATATTTCATTTCATTCATTTCATTTCTCTTTATTTACTGCATTCAAAAACAGCTGATCATATGTTTTTGTTTATGTGTCAAATACTGCTTCCATAAGGATTACATTGAAACTTTGAGACCCAGTGGGGCGGATTCCTGAGAGACTTTTTTAACTCCATATAGATGTTGGCACTCACCGATATGGTCTTTATCACCATGCAAAATTTGAAAACGATTGATTCAGCCGTCTAGGAGGAGTTTGCGTATTACGAAATACATAAGAGTCGACGTATAAGAGCTTCGCTCGCTTCGCTCGCTCCGCTCAATAAAGTATAAGTTGTACATCCAGAAATGCAGCAGAACAGTACTTTTTTGTTTCGAATGAATTTTTAATGATGTCTACTAGTCTGTGGGTTTGTTCAACTGTAGAGTGTCATTTCCGGAAGCCAAACTGATGCTCAGGAATCAAATTTAAGTCTTCTATAATTTGGTTCAATCTTCTTAGGATTCGTTTTTCAAATAATTTGGATACAACAGAAAGCAAACTTATGGGTCTGTAGGACGAGACTAGAATGGTGGTTTGCCTGGTTTTGGAATTACCACAAGTTGAGCTATCTTCAATTGAACTGGAAAATTTATCTAGTGTTGTAAGTCTGAGGTTAAAATATAGTCCAAACCAAGATCGTCAGAGTTGATATAGATAATATAGGGAATGCGTGCCTTTTCGGATAAGTACAAAAACTGATTAGGTAGTTCGTAATCAACGCTCAGTTGAATTTATAAATGCCTCGACCTCTTTGTCCTCTTTGTACAAACTTACTTCTTCTCCCTCCTTAAGACGAAGACGAGGACGAGACGACGACGAGACGACAGACGACCCTTGTCAATGTCAAGGCCAAGGCCGCACTCACTCCCCGCACTGGCCGCACTCAGCCCTTGTCCTTCAATCAATCGTTACCGTTCATGTTTTGTTCGTTTCGCTTGTGTTGTGTTTTGTTATGTTAGTAAACAAGTCAAGTCAATTCCCTTTTCTTTTACACAGTGAGTAGGTTTAATTCTTTGACTATTAATAGTCAATGGTTTAATTGCAACAGAAAAAAGTTGACAAGAAGAATTGCAGTAATACAATTCAAACGATCATAGTTTATTCAGTTTTTGTTGTTGTAACAGCAGAGAAATTTTCGCACCATTGTTTTCAGGTAAAACTAGTTTTAATGATAAATTTCTATGGTTCTGTTGGTCACCTTTGTCGAATTTCCTTTGTCTTAGATGTCAGCCATTTTAAATCAAAACAATATTGTTACAATATGGGCATGGCATAAAATAAAATAAAGAAATGCCCTAACTTTGCCCGTGTAAATAAATATTTCATTTCAAAATAGGCAAGTCACTGCAACTAGCAGACAGCTTGTATTTTCTTCCATGGCTGTCAGCTAATACTGTATTTTTTGCAACACTTGTGTAGGGTTGCCATATGGTAATGTGTAAAAAAGAGGAGATTTTAGCTTACGACCCTCTGGCCCCCACTATAATAGTAAGTAAAAATTAAAGGACTAGCAAAATTGTATTCCCTAAGTTACTTATTGTACATACCAAAAATGGAAAGGGTAACAGAAACTGTATGGGTCATAAACTTATACATAGCCTAATTAAATTGAACATAAATAAAATTATGTTTCTGGCCTGAAACACAGAAAACATATTACTATAACCCAGAAGGCCAACCGCATGATAAAAAGCATTAAGTGTTTTGAGAGAGCTTAGCCTGTCAATCGTAGGCAGCGCCACCAGCGTTGCTATGCTGAGTGCATGGCAACGCTGGTGGCGCTGCCTACGATTGACAGGCAAAGCTCTCTCAAAACACTTAATGCTTTTTACCATGCGGTTGGCATTCTGGCTTAGTAGTATGTTTTCTGTCCCTGAAAGTAAATGCTTTATTATTACCTACTACTTATTTAAATGGAACTGTCAAAAATCATCCACAAACTAAACTTAGTTGTTACGCTCAGTGGTGGCGATAAGAGCCCGTTGGCCCCCCCGCAAGCTTGTTCGCCGGGCCCCCCTCTCCCAATAATCTTTAAAAACAAACATTATCACATGTATTACCGCCTAAACTTGCACTTTAGCTTGGCACAAAATCTCCCGAGGCGTCATCATCATCTTCCATGATCGCGGCAAAATCGTGAATACTTCCCGTAGGCCTAGTCATGGAAGAAACATTATCATAGTTTACCGTGATTGCAACCAAACCTATGACATCATCTTCTTGTCGGGAAATGTTTTTGTCGATATCCGTGATCATGGCGATGGCAAAAGCCTAATCTTTCAGTTTTGTGAGCGTGACTCTCGCGGACAGACATAAAAGCTTCTACTTTTAATTGGGCGAAATTGTATTGATTAGGTACTGAGAAAATTGGCTTGAGCTTGATTTTCTGATTTTGTGCTTGATCTCTCAAGCTAGTAGGCTAAGCTCTGCTCGACTTGAAAATCGACATTAGGCCTACATAAAAACAACAGTTTCCAAGGCAAACTGATTTTAAACCTGTCTGATTTGTCCCAAGGCCCATAGGTAAGTAACATTTTTTACCCGAATCTTGTTGAAGTAAACAGTGAAGTGCAGCCTCCTAATAATAAAAAATGAAATGAAAATCCGTCTTTCCCATCTTATCATGTTTAATTGTGTTAGTTCAGAAAGAAACCAGGGTGGCTAGTGAAATCACACTGAAAAATTCCCTGACTTTTCCCTGACAAATCCATGATTTTTTTAACTTTCCCTGATCGACAAATTCAAAATTACAATTTTAATTCCAACCAATTCTTCAAAAGGACTAATCTTTATCTGAAGAATATCTTATGTTTCAAAAAAATACATAAAATCTATAGATACAGGCTAGCTTATATTCAAACTTTGCAACTTGCCTTAATAAAAATAAACTGAGTTTCATAAGAATCATCTTATGAAACTTTATTTGTACAGACAAATATTTGTTTGTACAAAATTTATTTTTACAGACATATTTCTTAGTTTTCACCCACACGGCATACATACTCCCACCAGAACGACCTTTCCTAACAATAATAATTAAAATTATTTTAAAAATAAACTCATCACACTCTTTTTTCAAAAAAAAGTGTGTGATGAGTTTATTTTGGAAAATGATTTAGCCGTTTGGCAATATTATGAAAAAACAATAAAATTATTTTAAATATTTTACAATATTCCCTGACTTATGACAAAATTCCCTGACTTTTTCATGACTTTTCCAGATATTTAATATTCCCTGACATTTCCAGGTTTTCCAGGTCACTAGCCACCCTGGAAACAGACGTTTAGCATTGGCGCTGCTTGGAACGGTGCTAACACCGCTATTTTAGTATCAGAGCGTTTGAATCCAGCTACGCTAGCATGCACATAGGCCCTAATATCTCTCGTACTTTGTGTGCAATGGAGTGTTAAAATGATTGATGTCATTGCAATTTCCCGTGGTTTTTGTGGAGCTCCGTGAAAATTTTTGTTTGCAAAAATGTATATGTCAATTGAAAATAATTGCTAGACATGGAATTTTTATGGCAAAGAATGATGAATGAAGTTTCCACTTTTCTCGCAATCTTCAAAGAACCAAGGTTTGTAAGCTTGGTGTGATTGATATGCTTGTGAATATCACACATTAATAGTTATCATTAATTTAATATTTTTAGTACCTGCTATAACTATACTGCGTTCAGAAAGTTTAGGCGGTTATTGTAGAAGAAATCTGGGTAGAAGAGATCTGGGATATAACCGCCTCTATTTTGTGAACTCATAAACCTTATAAATTTAAATTTTGTGAACGTAATATAGGTAATCTTTTTTACCCAAATCTTTGTTGAAATCCTCGACTTCCTAAATTATCTGGTCAAATTTGGCACAAAATCTAACATATTATGAACAAACATTAAAATGGGTTTCTTGATCAATTAATAATCTTGATTCCTGGTGAATATTTTATTGACACCCGTTATCATATTTATAAGATTACATAAATTTCAATTGCTTTTATGATTCTAAATTTGAACAGAAAATTTAAATGTTTACAACAACTGTATGGATAGATAAATAATGAATAATAAATTATGGTCTTTTTCAGGTTAGGCAAAATATTTGAAGAGAAAAAGGATCTTCAATTAATTCATGTCACAAGAAAAATAATTTACAAATTTAGATATAACAGCAGCTAAACAGATAATTTTTTTACCACGCAAAAAGTACTAATTACAGTAAGTAATTAACTATGTTAAACTTGAATTTAAATTATAATTAACATTGATATAGCTGATTCAATATTGTTTGGAAACAAAATGGAAAATAAGCCACCATTTCTTAAGGAGGCTTATTTAACATGATGGAACATAAAGTCAAGACAAAAAACGAAATGACTTGAGTAAGCATGTGGTGTGATATTTAATACATCGAAAATAGCATACAAAGCCAACTGAATAGTTCCAATTAGTTACTAGCTCGCCTGGTGTTAGAAATCAGAAATATAAAACAAAAAATGATTAATATCACTAAAAAGCCTCTCCTTAACTGTCCAATATGTAGAAAAATGTTTTCAAATTTATGGAATATGAAGTATCATATATATTTACACACAGGTGAGCGTCCCTTTAGATGTTTGACATGTGAGAAAACATTTACTATACAATTTCAGGTAAAAAATCATTTGTTTACACATTCTGAGAAGTATCCTTACAAGTGCACTACTTGTGGAAAATCCTTCAAAAGAAAGACAAATATGAAGCAACATACATTGGTTCACACAGGAGAGCGACCTTACAAGTGCATTACTTGTGGAAAATCCTTTAAAACCAGTAGGCTTATGAAAAGACATACATTGGCTCACACAGGAGAGCGACCTTACAAGTGCATTACTTGTGGAAAATCCTTCAAAACAAACAGCGATATGAAGATTCATACATTGGTTCACACGGGAGAGCGACTTCATAAGTGCATTACTTGTGGAAAATCCTTCAAAACCAGCAGCGATATGAAGAGACATACATTGGTTCACACAGGAGAGCGACCTTACAAGTGCATAACTTGTGGAAAATCCTTCAAAACCAGCAGCGAGATGAAGAGACATACATTGGTACACACAGGAGAGCGACCTTACAAGTGCATTACTTGTGGAAAATCCTTCAAAACCAGCAGCGGGTTGAAGCAACATACATTTTTTCACAAAAGAGAGCGACCTCATAAATGCATTACATGTGAAAAATCCTTCAAAACCGAGCAAGAAGTTAAGGTTCATACATTGGTTCACACGGTAGAGCGACCTTATAAGTGTACTACATGTGGAAAATCCTTTAAAAGCAAAAGAACTATAAGGCAACATACATTGGTTCACACAGGAGAGCAGCGACCTCATAAGTGCACTATATGTGAAAAATCCTTCCAAACCAGCAGCCGTATGAAGAGACATACATTGGTTCACACAGGGGAGCGACCTCATAAGTGCTCTACATGTGGAAAATCCTTCAAAACCAGCTGGTATATGAAGAGCCATACATTATTTCATACTGAAAAAACCTCATGAGCGCACTTCATCTGGAAGATACATCAGAAATAGTTGCAATAAGATGTTTCATACATTAATACTAGGTGAGTCCCGTCGAAATTTATGATTACTCATGACGTTTTACGTAAATTCAGCTAACTGCGATGGATTGAGGGAAGTTATTACAATCTCAGTTAAATGAAGGGAGGATAAACATAATTATGAGTAAGACGATTGTGTACCTTAAAAAACGTGGTTAATGAATTCGTTGAATTCAATATTTTTTCTGTCCTTTCATCGGCTTTAGGTTGCCCATAAGGCTTTTCAGGAGTCTTACAATTGTTTCTTGTTCATGACTTTTGTTCATATTAAAGCCTCTTTCACTATATGGGGAAAGGAGTTCATATAACTGGTCTGTCATCTGAAGGAAAGAGTCAATATTACTAAAATAACTGGTTCCATCTGCTTTAGGAAAATCATTCAGATCATATTTGGGTTGTATAAGTGAATCACCATCTTTGGTCATAAAAATACAGAATTTTATTAGGGGGAGGCATATGTAGGGGGTACTCATGTTAGATGGGTGAGCCCTTTGTTCAATTCATTATTGTATAGATTATATATTGTAACCTGACATATCCAATGTATTCAAAAGAATATCTAATGGAAATAAAGATCTTATCTTATCATATTAAATCTGTTTTTTTATTTGATAAAATTATCTGATTCTCCAGAAAGCAGTAACATTCTTACTTCAATGGGGGTCTAAACAATTTTGATTCCTTCTCTTGCCACATCGACCAATGTATTTAATCATCATGTACTTATTTGCTAATTGATTAACCTCTGACGTAGTTTTGTGAAATCGTGCCATGAGGTTGCTGTCAAAATTGAACTTTATTGATATGCTGCTAAATAATCCTTCCCAGGAAGCTAATACAAATCCATTGAATCCTCATCCTGAGTTGTATCAACTGTCAATGGTAGTATGTGTGGTGGTATTGTAAAAAACTAAGCTTTTGTTTATCAAATGTCTCACCTGTGACCTAAAAGTTTTTAAGCACATCAACTCTTAGGTATTTAAAGCTTACCAAGCCGTTTAAAAACCTACAACATTGTATCAGTCATTTATTTGCCAAGCAGCTTCTTTTTCGAATGGATCCTCTTTTCCTTAAATTGTTGTTTTCTACTTGAGAATTGTATTTTGGCTGGAAAATATATCATGACCTCAAAGATATAAAAAAAATCAAACATATATAAAAAAAAGGCTGCCGGGATAGGCATGACCTTTTGCACACATTTGTAGTAGGCAAAAATATGGTGTTTACTGTCCAATGCTCCATGGCTAATAAAACGGCATAATATACAGCATTGAATGACACCCCTCCCTACTCGTGATAAAAACTACCTACAACATCGTGCACATACTATCAGCTTAAAAGTTGTTCGATTCGTTGGTCATTCTGTATAACGCTTAGTTTCTTATAAGACATTTATGTATTAATAAAATATTCTTTAGGCTCTTTTATGTAGCCTACATATTATTCAGGGTGGATTAGAACTCTGTACTACTATCAATATTCTTTATGTGGAGCGGTGACTTTTTGTAAACATTTGGGCCTATATATTGGGGAGATAAATAAAAATTTCTTTAATCTATGGGTTTCAGGCTTAATATAACTCTTAAGTCAAGGGTGATGGGAATGAAAGGGTTGGGTCATGAATGAGGACAGATTTTCTTTAACCCAATTTGAAATTTCTTAAACATAGTGGTTATAAAATGTTAAAACTGAAAGTGTTTGAAAAATATTTTTACATGGAGTTTTACAACAGAACAATTTAATAAAATGTCAAGGTACTTTCCAGAGCTATTATCTTATTATTTTGTATTGCCTTGTTTTAGAACACCCACTAATGTTAAGCTTTTGTTAATCGTTCAATTTTATGTACAATTTTATAAAAATAAATGTTATTTTTTGGGGGGTTGAACTATTCACACTTTTAGTACCTATACTGGCTTTTGCAGCATTTCAGTAAAACACAAGAACTGTACAGGTTTAAAAAAATGTAGCATATTATGTAGTGTAGATTTATCAAATATTTATACTGTATTATATATTTTTAATGAAAATTAGAGATTGATTAATGCATTGAATTCATATTAAATCTTGAATTAGGATAAACCTACAATATTAATTAGATTTCTCACATGAAAAAACTGATAAATTAATGTTTTGTATGTTTGTTAATTTTTATACGAATATTGAAAATAAAAAGGTATTAACTGCTTCACTGTTTGACTTCATTTAGTACTATACTTGAACTGTAATCCACCTATCTAGTGATAATCCCTCTTCTTAATCATACACCATTCACCCAGTTTCTATTCCTTAGAAAATGTACGCTTAGCTCAACAAAGGCAGGAATTAATACATGAGATAAGTTTTATTGCATTGCACTATTGTTTATTGGCAGACTTGACAAGACCACTCATATTCTGTATTTTAGTATCAGAGCGTTTGAATCCAGCTATGCTAGCATGCACATAATATCTCTCATACTTTGTCTAGAATTGAGTGTTAAAATAATGCATGTCATTGCAATGTCCCGTGGTTTTTGTGAAGCTCCGTGTAGATTTTTGTTTGCAAAAATGTATAAGTCAATTGAAAATTATTGCCAGACTTGGAATTTTTATGGTAAAGGAATGATGAGTGAAGTTGCCACTTTTCTCGTAATCTTTAAAGTTCCAAGGTTTGTAAGCTTGGTGTGCTTGGTGTGATTGATAAGCTTGTGAATATCACACACTAATAGTTATCATTAATTTAATATTTTTAGTACCTGCTATAACTTTACTGCGTTCAGAAAGTTTAGGCGGTTATTGTAGAAGAAATCTGGGTAGAAGAGATCTGGGAAATAACCGCCTCTATTTTGTGAACTCATAAACCTTATAAATTTAAATTTTGTGAACGTAATATAGGTAATCCATTTTTACCCAAATCTTTGTTGAAATCCTCGACTTCCTAAATTATCTGGTCAAATTTGGCACAAAATCTAACATATTATGAACAAACATTAAAAGAAGTTTCTTTATCAATTAATAATCTTGATTCCTGGTGAATATTTTATTGACAAATGTTATTATTTTTATTACATACTCAATAGATTACATAAATGTCAATTGCTTTTATGATTCTAAATTTGAACAAAAAATTTAAATGTTTACAACAACTGTATTTATAAATAAATAATGAATAATAAATTAAATGGTCTTTTTCAGGATAGGAAAAAGATTTGAAGAGAAAAAGAACCTTCAATTCATGTCACAAGAAAGATTATTTACAAAATCAGTTGTAATACTTTAAACAGCAGCAAAACAGATTAATCTTTTACTACACAAAAAGTACTCATTGCAGTAAGTAATTAACTATGTAAAACTTGAATTTAAATTATAATTAACATATATAAAATAAAACAAGATTTCTTAAGGAGGCTTATTTAACACGATGGAACATAAAGTCAAGACAAAAAGACAAAATGCCTTGAACAAGCTATGTGGTATGGTATTTAATACAACAAAAATATACATGCAAAGCCAACCGAATGATTTCAATTAGTTACTAGCTCGCCTGATGTTAGAAATCAGAAATATAAAACAAAAAATGTTCAATAGCACTAAAAAGCCTCTCCTTCACTGTCCAATATGTAGAAAAATGTTTTCAACTCTATGGACTATGAAGTATCATATATATTTACACACAGGTGAGCGTCCCTTTAGATGTTTGACATGTGAGAAAACATTTATTAAAAAATCTCACGTAAAGACTCATATGTTAATTCATTCTGGGATGTGTCCTTACAAGTGCATTACTTGTGGAAAATCCTTCAAAACCAGGAGCGAGATGAAGAAACATCTATTGGTTCACTCGGTAGAGCGACCTCATAAGTGCTCTGCATGTGGAAAATCCTTTAAAAACAAAATAACTATGAAGCAACATACATGGGTTCACACGACAGAGCGACCTCATAACTGCACTACATGTGGAAAATCCTTTAAAAACAAAATAACTATGAAGCAACATACATTGGTTCACACGGTAGAGCGACCTCATAAGTGTACTACATGTGGAAAATCCTTTAAAAGCAAAAGAACTATGAAGAAACATACATTGGTTCACACGAGAGAGCGACCTCATAACTGCACTACATGTGGAAAATCCTTTAAAAACAAAATAACTATGAAGCAACATACATTGCTTCACACAGGAGAGCGACTTTATAAGTGCATTACATGTGGGAAATCTTTTATAACCAAGCAAAGAATGAAGGTTCATACATTGGTCCACACGGAAGAGCGACTTTATAAATGCATTACTTGTGGAAAATCCTTTAGAAAAAAGCACGAAATGAAGGTTCATACATTGCTTCACACTAGAGAGCGACCTCATATGTGCACTACATGTGGGAAATCCTTCAAATCCAAGAAAGGTATGAAGGAGCATACATTGGTTCACTCGGTAGAGCGACCTCATAAGTGCCCTACATGTGGAAAATCCTTTAAAAGCAAAAGAACTATGAAGCAACATACATTGGTTCACACGGGAGAGCGACCTCATAAGTGCATTACATGTGGAAAATCCTTCAAAACTAAGAAAGAAATGAAGGATCATACACTGATTCACACGGGAGAGCGACCTCATAAGTGCCCTACATGTGGAAAATCCTACAAAACTAGCAGCGATATGAAGAGACATACATTGGTTCACACGAGAGAGGGACCTTATAAGTGCATTACTTGTGGAAAATCCTTCAAAACCAGCAGCGATATGAAGAGACATACATTGGTTCACACGGGAGAGCGACCTCATAAGTGCACTGTTTGTGGAAAATGCTTCAAAATCAACAGCCATATGAAACAACATACATTGGTTCACACAGGAGAGCGACCTCATAAGTGCGCTATATGTGGAAAATCTTTCCAAACCATCAGTGTTATGAAGAGACATACATTAATTCACACTGGAGGGACCTCATGAGTGCACCACATCTGGAAGATCCATCACAAATAGCTGCAATATTAAGATATTTCACACATTAATTCATTTGTAGTATCATAGTAGTCATTAGTAGTAGAAATTATTAGTAGAAGTCATTAGTAGTAGAAAAGTGTAACAATGATGTTGATGTCACCTCTGAGAAATGTGCAAAAAACCACTCAGAAATACTGTTTAAAATCATCATATTTGTCAAGATAGGTTAGATATTTTTTTCCTAAATATACAAGGTTTGAATTAAAAAAAAATGACTTTAGATAGTTTTTTATCAATTCTAAGATTAACATTATACGAGCTGTTGGCCCGTCCTACGTACGGGAATCAAGTAGTCAATTAAAACTGAATATGAATGAGTACAGCTAGTTTACAATTTGAGTACAGCTACATACTAACTTCCATACATACTATCACTTACCGTACCTTATTTTACCTCAGTAGCCACTGAAACCTCTAAAAGGATCCTGGTCTTCCGTTCTCTTCTATCCCCTGCCTTTTCTAATGATGATACCGGTCTGAAGATGTATTTCGTTACTTGGTCTTCCAAGTGGTCGTCTGCTTAGTAGTACTCCTTGGAATACACTTTAAGTTGACGTATCTTCTCTCCACCACGCAAAGCCTGCCCAGCCCGCTTTTTTGGTCTACTTTTGGAATGCGCCCCTATTTCAAGCTTATGAATCATACATTAGGCCTACTTCTGGGATGGTCATGGTATGGTATGAATCGATTTTGGTTTCTACTGACACCCTGCAGCTTATCGTACAGTTTTCTAGAGACCTTCTACACCAGTTGACATTTTCATTACGAATAAAAATGTCAGCATGCCGTCATACACATAATTGAACAGCAAGAAAAGGATGTGTCAACATGTAATCCACTTATATCTTATGATTAAACGGAACATTACATGGCATAAACTTATACTTTCACAGATTGCATTTAGGACAAAAATAGATACTACTACTACTACTAGATAAATAAATGTGGAAAACTATTCTTTTAATTTATTTGAAGCTCATAAATTCTTAGGGGTTTATGTAGATGACAGTTGAATGGGATTCACATTTGAATTATTTACATACCAAAATTAGGTCGATATACATATAGACATTAATGGGGTTGTATATTCTAGAATTAATAAATTACATACATTCAGTTAAAAATGAGCTACCAGAAACAATACATTTTAACCACAGGTATTAAACCCGAAATGAAAATATATTAAGACCCCCCAGACACCGTTTGAACCTATATTAAAAATCTTCATTGTATGCTGGGCTGAGATTGTACAATTTGCTTCCTGCATGCTATAAGTCATTAAACAAAACCAAATTTAAAGAGACAATAGATAATTTACTTATTGACAAGGCTTTTTACTCAACTGAAGATTTTTACAGAACTTTAATTTAGAAATTTTTTTTCATTTTAAGTGTTTAGTGTTAAGTTTAATTGTTAAACTAGTGGCTTGTAGAGACTTAAGTCCCTAAAAAGCTCAAATGTAAAACAAATTATTGTAATATTTAAATAAACTCAAAATCAAATTATCTATGTGTCAGGATAGATATATCCCAGTCCAACATATCTTTTGTGTAAAAACCAGTTTGCTGTTTAAAGCTACATTGTCTTTGTTTGCTTTTGTTGATGTTATTTTTAATAAATAATTTGAATGACTCCAGAGGTTTAACTCTGCTAAAGGTGGCAAATATAACCCAACCAATCAGTTAACTTGTGTAACTTGTTGTAATTAACTCAGTATAAAGAGGCAATATGTTTGTGAATAAATATTGGTTTACCGAGGTGGCTTTGGTCTTTTGGTTGATGATGATAAAAAAATTTCCTCCAATCAATTTTGTTTTTCTGCCCATTGTATTGGAACTTGTCATTGTACTTAATGAAACTTGTTTTCTAAGAGTGGCTGTTGAGGTTATTTCACTTCATACTGAATAAACACTATGATAAATCTCAAATATAAATGTTAGTAAATTTACAAAAAAGTGTGGAATAAATCTTTTACCTACGACCGTTTTTTAAAGTAGCCGTTTCAGTACAGTTCTTAGAATTGTATCTCATAACAGCATTGTTTACTTTCATAACAGCATAGTTTTACTCATAACAACTCGGGTAACGGACCAATGAGGTTCAAGGATTGAGAGAGGAGAAGCAAAATTGTAATGAATTGAAATTCAACTAATCAGCTGTTCAGGCCAATTTAATTGTTGATTGGTGCAATTAGTGTTTGATACAATGTTTCATTGCATCACTCTCAGTGGCAATGAGAGGTTATAAACAAAAACATAACCTCTCTTAGAAGTTATGAGTAGTGATTTTTAGTAATTAAAACACCGTCGTAGGTAAAGTAGTGTACGCAACTCGTGTAAATAGTGTTAACGACACTCGTAGAAGTTTTTAAGACACTCGCCAAGGCTCATACCTTAAATTTTCTACTCGTGTCGTTAACACTCGTCGCGCGCAATCGTTGCGTAAACTACTATAACATATGTTTTGAAATAAAAACAAAGCAGATGTTTTGAAATAAAAACAAAGCAGATGTTTTGAAATAAAAACAAAGCAGATGTTTTGAAATAAAAACAAAGCAGATGTTTTGAAATAAAAACAAAGCAGAAGTTCTCCATTACCCCCCAGACACCGTTTGAACCTATATTAAAAATCTCCATTGTATGCTGGGCTGAGATTGTACAATTTGCTTCCTGCATGCTATAAGTCATTAAACAAAACCAAATTTAAAGAGACAATAGATAATTTACTTATTGACAAGGCTTTTTACTCAATTGAAAGTTTTTATTGAACTTCAATTTAGAATTTTTTTATTTTTTTTATTTTAAGTGTTCAGTTTTAAGTTAAGTTTAATTGTTAAACTAGTGGCTTGTAGAGACTTAAGTCCCAAAAAAGCTCAAATGTAAAACAAATTATTGTAATATTTAAATAAACTCTAAATCAAATTATCTGTGTCAGGATAGATATATCCCAGTCCAACATATCTTTTGTGTAAAAAACAGTTTGCTGTTTGTCTTTGTTTGTTTTTGTAGATGTTATTTTAAATTAATAATTTGAATGACTCCAGAGGTTTAACTCTGCTAAAGGTGGCAAATATAACCCAACCAATCAATTAACTTGTGTAACTTGTTGTAATTAACTCAGTATGAAGAGGCAATATGTTTGTGAATAAATATTGGTTTACCGAGGTAGCTTTGGTCTTTTGGTTGATGATAAAAAATTTTAAAAGATCAAAGCTTTCCAGAATTTTTTTACTGTGCTATTGCCTTTTGCAGATCTGCACTTATCACAGGAGGGACCACCATATTTGTACACAAGTGTCAGTCCAGAATTTAGGATGTTGTTAGGTTTTTGAAGGAATTGACATTAGAAGCATCCAGTGGCGGATTTAGGGGGGGGGCACAGGGGGCACGTGCCCCCCCCCCCAAGAGCTGTGTATAAAAAAATTTAAACTAGTTGAAAACCAAACAAAATAATGCAGTTGTTTTGTTTAACTACGGTATAACTTATATTTTATTTGCCCATTTAATACTAAACTTTACTTTGAATAAAAGTACACAAAATGCTTGGTAGCCTAATCAAAATTGAGTAAACTATTAAATAGTAATTGTGAAAATTATGTTAGTTTTCGCCGGCCGTCGCTCCTAAAGCTATAGTGCTATGCTAAGCTTCTTCTCCTTCTCCTCTTCAGTCAGCCAGTCACAGTCAGTGAGTGTGGGTGGCGTAGCCTTCGTGTTTGTCTGACTCAGACCAGACAGTCTGAGATGGCTGAAAATTGCGTTTTTGAACACCAGAAAGTCAAATTTTCTCCCGGACCCCCCTTTCCACAGGGGGGTATTCCCCCTGACCCCCCGGTGTTTCACGGGAATGGGCTAGGTGGTGCCCCCCCCAAACTAAATTCCTGAATCCGCCCCTGGAAGCAATCAGCTGTTTTGATCGATGGATTAATAGCTACTTACCTTACAAGTGTAGTAAGAGCGTTTTTACATCACACAGGTGAATGTTAAGCAAAAGCGAGTTGCATAATTTACCTAAGTGATGTAAACACGCTCTTGCGTAACGTGTAACGTACAAGATTTTACCTGACCCAACAATATACAGGAAGTTACGAACAATATTTTTCATTATCCATTTTACTCATCTTCTAACAGTAGCGTCCATTTACAAACAAAGGCTATGGTTAGGAAAATCCTTCAAAACATAACAATAAAATTCAAGCGCACAGCTGATTTCTAGCGTTGAACGTAGTTGGCTCCATAGAGGTATATTTTTAAGTTAAGCACTCAATGTTATTTAAATGGTTTTCATTACCTCACCGAGTGAGTTTTTTTCAACTTTACATCACTCGAGAAGTAAAGAAGTTGTATACATCACGCTTGGGATAGGGAAGTTTAATATGGCGGGTTAGGTAAAATTAATTATATCTTTGTACCACTCCCCTAATGGAAATTCCAATGAGTTTTTAACGATCATAAGAGCCTTTACATTTCATATCTAATTGGACTAGCTATAGTGATGGGTGGGGATTTTAATAACAATTTAACATTCAAAAGAAATCTAAAATTGTAACATAATTACTTAACCTCTTAAAGCAATACAATTTTTACTAGACGCACGCTCATTCTTCCCTTTGTGTGGACAAAACAACGGTAGTCAATAAGGCAGGTAGGCACACAAAGGACGTAGCCTACACTGGATCGAGCAGGCATGGATGCTCAAACACTGTCTTGCAGAGCAGGAGATCATTTCGAGCAAAGAGGCCTTGTACAGATGTGGTGAATAAATGACAAGTCAACAAAACACCATGGCCCTCTTTTGGTTAGACTTCCAGAACAGGCTGCCATCGAGGAAATATTCGATATCCAGAGAAATTTGTTTATGCTAAAATTAATCAACTTCTTCTTCGTGGGATTGACATCATATTATTTTTGGACTTTAGACAACATCATTAACGAGATACTCATTAACGACCAACTGCATGAAGGGATGAAAATCCCACAAGTTTTATATCATCAGCAAACTAAAGAAAAAGGATTTTGATAACACTCTTTATGTCATTAATAAATATTATTGGGATCAGAAAACATCTGACATTTTTTGGATGTTTTCAAGTTTAATTATAAAGAAATCCATATTCACCCTATAAAATCACATGAAAGCCAGTTCACATGATCTAATCAAGACAGTTAGTAAAATTCAACCTGATGAGGGAGTGTTTATTGTATTCAACCAAAGTACAATTACGGAGCTTTATCCTTAGCAAAATTAGAACTACATCGGAATCTGTATTGGAAATTTTTTCTAAGGTAACCCATTATCAAACAATAATATAGAGTGAGTATGATAAATCAAAAATAAACACAACAATAATATTTCTAACAAATAGTATTTGTTTATTAACTTTTTTTTTTAAACCTTCAGTTGGTATGTGGGATTTGGAAGTTTTCAGAGAAAAAAATACAACAAAACTCATATTTACCCCATAACCCTCTATGAAAGCCTGTTCTCATCATCTGGCTAGGATGCTTTCACTTTTCATGCTAGATAAGTCTTCACTCTCTTAACATCCAGTCATATCAAAAGTGGAGTTTCATGAACAGTTTAGTCGCTTTTGAATTCATCCCGGGATGATAATTTTCCCTATAGCATAGAGGAATTAAAGACATGATATAATAAGTTGTTTGTTTTTAAAATTTTTTTAACACATCCACTAAACCCACGGGATTTTGAGGTTAAATCCCCTGTGAAAGCACGTTCTCATGGTCCAGCCAGGATGCTTTGTGTAACCCAATTATGTGTCCAATCTCTTACATACAATCGTGACAAAAGTGGGGTTTTATCAACAGTAGTCACTATACATTTCATGGGATATTACTTTTACCTATACTACCACCATAAACCTTCATCGGGGGAAGACACAGTAATATACTACTTTGTTTTTAAAGCTCTTTTGAACACACCCAATAAACCCAAGGAGTATAGGTTTTACATAATTACTAAAACTCATATTTGCCCCATACGGTGATACTTTGCTCGTGATGCTTTTTGAAACTCATCATATTGGATATGTATTTACTTTTGTACACCCAGTTTCGTCCTAAGTAGGGCAATAAGTGTTGTTGCATTAAAATAACAGTGAACCCCTTTTAGCGAATTTTCCTATAGGGATGTGGAGCTTTAACTATAGGTGGTACGGTAAGACCTGGAGCTTGGACCGATATACTTTTTCATTTTGATGTCCCTAGAAGACAAATTTTCCACAGGACAAGTTCAGAGTAGCCAATTTATGTAATAATTTAGCTTCATATAATTGGCAAGACTTGTTATTTAAATTTGATTATATGGAATCGGAAACTAACATATTACTTAATAATTTATAGAGCTCAAAAAAACAAATAATTTAGTATACCGAAGCTTTGTTATGCGCCTAATAGTTACGGAGAAAACTACAAATAATTGTAAATTTAAAATAACCATGTTATTCTTATGGAGAAAATAAACTGTTGTATGTAGTTAGCTTGTTTATAAACATATTTTGAACAAATTTGGAAAATGCGTTTATTTTATACTTAACTATTACCATTAAAAAAAAACTTACCCTTCCTGTTGCAGCAAACCTAAGTACAGTACTGGTACTTGTTAAAATAATGCTATTTAAATAGGAAATAAATCTGATAATTTTAAGGAGATATTCTAGTGTAAATCCAATCAGGCAAATTAGCTTAGTCTGTAGGTTTGCAATGGCAGGGGTATTTATTATTTAACACGATCCCGTTTACGTCTCCGGACACCCAAATCTAATCAAGACAACACATACAGACAGATAAACAGAAAACTAAGTGAAATAGGAAATATCTAATTAAAAAAGTATATATTTATATATGTATCTCCATTTATAAGCATTTATAAAATTTGTCCTGTAACAATCAACATTAGAGGACAAATTTTGATTGTTTTGATCCAAATAATAACTTGTTAAAGTTTGCGTCAATAATTTCTGGACATCCTGTATATAAGGATTCCATAGAAAATGTATGCTTAGCTCAACAATGCAGGAACTAGTCTAAATAATACATTAGTTACGTTTTATTGTATTGCACAATGGTTTAATGGCAGACTTGACAAGACCACTAGTATTCTCCACAAAAATTAGACAAATTAAATTATTGTTTGGGAGGGGGAGGGTAGTCCAGAAGGTAAAAGACGTTTGGCATTGGCGATGCTTGGAACGGTGCGTACACTGCTATTTTAGTATGAGAGCGTTAGATTCCAGCTATGGGAGCATGCACATACTGTAATACCTCTTGTACTTGACTGCAATGTTGTGTTAAAATGATTGAAGTCATTGCACTGTCTGGTGGTTTGTGTGGAGGGCTCAGTGTAGATTTTTGTTTGCAAAATTGTTCTTGCCAATTGAAAGTTATTGCAGATTTGGGATTTTTATGGTTAAAGGCATAATGCGTCAAGGCACCGGTTTCCACTTTTGTGGTAGTATTGCAAGATCCAGGTTAGGTTAGTTGTATTGCATAGGAAGTGAGGCTAGATTGAGGTTTGTAAGCTTGGTGTGATTGATAACCTTGTGTACATCATACATTAGTAGTAGACCTCTTTAAAAAGCTTAAAAAAACAAATAATTTAGTGTATCAAAATGTTTTTGTACGGTTGTTAGTAACGGAGAAAAATTTATGAAATTTGGTTTGAAGGTGTAAGGCGTGATAAACTTGAATGAGTTCGGGAACTAGCATGATTTGGACCATGGGAACGGGATTATATAGGGGTTTTATTGTATTGGGCAAAAATTGGTTTCTCTCATTTTTGACCCTCAAAACACAAAATTATTTTCCAATTTATCTCTAGGACTTTTTTAAAAAGTAAAAAAAAAAACAAATAGATTACTATATCAAAGTGTGTGTGTACAGTTATTGGTAACAGAGAAAATTCAAATAAATTTAAATGTAAAATTCTCATGTTATTCTTATGAAGAATATTGTAAAATTCTGTAGTTTACTTGTTAGGCCTATATTTTGATCAAAATTTGCAAATTTATTTATTTTATACTATGCTATAGATATTTTACTAAAAACACATTTTATTAGTTTCCTTGTAGCATCAAACCTAGGTACTTCTTAACCCTAACGCTATTTAAATAGATTTAATTGAAAATCAATTCAGACAAATGGAAACTCGCTTAGTCGGTGGAGGGGTATTATGATAAAAATTTGAACAAAAAAATTACCTAAATGTTTACAACAATTGTATATATTTAATAAATTATGGTCATTTTCAGAATACGCAAAGTGTTGCGTATTGAAGAGAAAAAGAAAAAATAAGAAGAAATATGAAGAAAAATAAGAAAATATGAAGAGAAAAAAAACGTTGTTGAAGAGAAAAAGGAACTTCAATTCATTTCACAAGAAAGATCATTTACAGAATCAGGAGTAATACTTTAAACAGCAGCTACATATATTTAGTTTTTACCACACAAAAAGTACTAGGCCTACTGTAATTAAAGTAGGTAATTCACTATGTAAAACTTGAATTTAATTTGTAATTTATATAGCTAATTAGATATTGTTTGAAAACAAAATGGAAAATAAGCCACAATTTCTTAAGTAGGCTTATTTAACATGATGGAACATAAAGTCAAGACAAAAAAACAAAATGCCTCGAGTAAGCTATGTGGTATGATATTTAAAACATCAAAAATATACATACAATGTCAACTGAATAATTTCAATTAGTTACTAGCTCGCCCAATGTTAGAAATCAGAAATATAAATATTTAAAAAATGTTTAATATCACTAAAAAGCCTCTCCTTAACTGTCCAATATGCAGAAAAATGTTTTCAACTCTTTCGTTTATGAAGTATCATATATATTTACACACAGGTGAGCGTCCCTTTAGATGTTTGACATGTGAGAAAACATTTATTAGAAAATCTCAGGTAAAAAATCATATGTTAATACATTCTGGGAAGTATCCTTACAAGTGCATTACTTGTGGAAAATCCTTCAAAACCAGGAGCGAGATGAAGATTCATACATTGGTTCACACAGGAGAGCGACCTCATAAGTGCACTACATGTGGAAAATCCTACAAAACCAGGAACGAGATGAAGATTCATACATTGGTTCACACAGGAGAGCGACCTCATAAGTGCAATATATGTGGAAAATCCTTCCAAACCAGCAGAAATATTAAGATTCATACATTGGTTCACACAGGAGAGCGACCTCATAAGTGCACTACATGTGGAAAATCCTACAAAACCAGGAACGAGATGAAGATTCATACATTGGTTCACACAGGAGAGCGACCTCATAAGTGCAATATATGTGGAAAATCCTTCCAAACCAGCAGAAATATTAAGAGACATACATTGGTTCACACAGGAGAGCAACCTCATAAGTGCATTACATGTGGAAAATCCTTCAAAACCAGGAGAGAGATGAGGATTCATACATTGGTTCACACAGGAGAGGGACCTCATAAGTGCAATATATGTGGAAAATCCTTCCAAACCAGCAGAAATATGAAGAGACATACTTTGGTTCACATGGGAGAGCGACCTCATAAGTGCACTATATGTGGAAAATGCTTCAAAATCAGTAGCCATTTGAAGAAACATACATTGGTTCACACGAGAGAGCGACCTTATAAGTGCATTACTTGTGGAAAATCCCTCAAAACCAGCAGCGGTATGAAGATTCATACATTGGTCCACACGGGAGAGCGACCTTATAAGTGCATTACTTGTGGAAAATCCTTCAAAACCAGCAGCGATATGAAGAGACATACATTGGTTCACATGGGAGAGCGACCTCATAAGTGCACTATATGTGGAAAATGCTTCAAAATCAGTAGCCATTTGAAGAAACATACATTGGTTCACACGAGAGAGTGACCTCATAAGTGCATTACTTGTGGAAAATCCTCTAAAACCAAGCATAAGTGAAGGTTTATACAATGGTTCACACAGGAGAGCGACCTCATAAGTGCACTATACATGGAAAATGTGTCCAAACCAGCAGCAATGCAACATACATAGGTTCACACCAAAGAGAGCCCTTATAAGTGTAATATTTGTGAAAATTCCTTACGATTCAGAGGCAGTGTGAAGAGACATACATTAATTCACACCGAGGGGACCTCATGAGCGCACCATATCTGGAAGATCCATCACAAATAGCTGCAATATTAAGATATTTCATACATTAATTCATTTGTAGTAGCATAGTAGTCATTAGTAGTAGAAATTATTAGAAGTACCATATTTGTACATAACAAGTGTCAGTCCAGAACTTTTGATGTTGGTAGGTTTTGCATGGAATTGATTTTCTGCATTTATTGATGAATTAAAATTAATCATATTATCTTTGTACCACTCTTCTAATGGAAATTCCAATGAGTTTTTAATGGTCATGGAAGAGCTTTTACATTTCATATCTAACTGGACTAGCTATAATATAGTGATGGGTGGGAATTTCAATAACAAATTCAACATTCAAAATAAATCTAAAACTGTTACAGAATTACTTAACCTCTGAAAGCAATACAATTTTATCATATAAATGATAAACCAACAAGAGGGGACAAATGTCTTGACGATGTTTTTCTTTGTAAAAAAAGGGTCACAATTTGTTTTAACAGTAGCTTTGGTTTTCCCTACTCTGATCATAGTGGAGTAGTTATTAATTTGTGTCCACCAAGGAAAACAAAAGACAGAATATGTTACACAGACTAAGTTCAGATTATGCTTTTTGATAGCTTGTTTAAAATTTTGATTGCCATGTAATTTGGACTATTGCACACACTTGTTGTAGGCAAAAATATGGTGTTTACTGTCCGATGCTCCATGGCTAATAAAACGGCATGATATACAGCATTAAATGACACCCCTCCCTACTCACAACAATAACTGCAATAACTATTGTGTACATACTATCAGCTTAATAATTGTTCGATTCGTTGGTCATTCTGTATAACGCTTAGTTGTTTATAGGGCATTTATTTATTAATAAAATATTCTTTAGGCTTTTTTATGTAGCCCACATATTATTCATTTATTTATTTCATGTCATTACATCATTTGACAGGACATAGTGTCATATACAGGATAACTAAAACTAAGAATAACAAAAATTTCTTGTTAACTTATTGATATAACTTAACGTCCCTATTTAAATAACATTCTATAGATTTTTTTTGTAACCAGGTCTTCAGGGTGGATCTGAACTCTGTACTACTATCAATATTCTTTATGTGGAGCGGTAACTTATTGTAAACTTTTGGGCCTATATATTGGGGAGATAAATTAAATTTCTTTAATCTATGGGTTTCAGGCTTAATATAACTCTTAAGTCAAGTGTGATGGGAATGAAAGGGTTGGGTCATGAATAAGGACAGATTGTCTTGAACCCAATTTTAAATTTCTCAAACATAGTGATTATAAAATGTTAAAACAGAAAATGTTTGAAAAATATTTTTACATGGAGTTTTACAACAGAACACTTTAATAAATTGTCAAGGTACTTTCCAGAGCTATTATCTTATTATTGTGTATTGCCTTGATCTAGAAAACCCACTCGAGCTTTTGTTAATTGTTCAATTTTATGTACATTTTTATAATCATAAATGTTCTTTTTTGTTGGGAGGGGGGGGGGGTTGAACTGTCCACATCTTTAGTACCTAGACTGGCTTTTGCAGCATTTTAGTAAAACTCAAGAACTGTACAGGTTATTAAAAAATGTAGCATAGTGTAGATATATCAAATATTTGTAGTGTATTATATTTTTAATGAAAATTAGAGATTGATAAATGTATTGAATTCACATTAAATCCTGAATTAGAATAAACTTAGAATAGATGTCTCACATGAGCAAACTGATATATTTAATTTTTGAATGTTTGTTGACTTGATACAAATAGTGAAAATAAAAAGGTATTGACTGCTTCAGTGTTTGACTTAATTAAGCACTCTACTTGAACTGTAATCTACCTACCTAGTGATAATCCCTCTTCTTAATCACACACCATTCACCCAGTTTTTATTCCTTAGAAAATGTACGCTTAGCTCAACAAAGGCAGGAATTAATACATGAGCTACGTTTTATTGCATTACACTATTGTTCATTGGCAGACTTGACAAGACCACTTGTATTCTGTACATAAATAAGACAAATTAAATTATTATGTTGGAGAGGGAGGGCAGTTCAGAAAGAAACAGACGTTTAGCATTGGCGCTGCTTGGAACGGTGCTAACACCGCTATTTTAGTATCAGAACGTTTGAATCCAGCTACGCTAGCATGCACATAGGCCCTAATATCTCTCGTACTTTGTGTGCAATGGAGTGTTAAAATGATTGATTTCATTGCAATTTCCCATAGTTTTTGTGGAGCTCCGTGTAGATTTTTGTTTGCAAAATTGTTCTTGCCAATTGAAAGTTATTGCAGATTTGGGATTTTTATGGTTAAAGGCATAATGCGTCAAGGCACCGGTTTCCACTTTTGTGGTAGTATTGCAAGATCCAGGTTAGGTTAGTTGTATTGCATAGGAAGTGAGGCTAGATTGAGGTTTGTAAGCTTGGTGTGATTGATAACCTTGTGTACATCATACATTAGTAGTAGACCTCTTTAAAAAGCTTAAAAAAACAAATAATTTAGTGTATCAAAATGTTTTTGTACGGTTGTTAGTAACGGAGAAAAATTTATGAAATTTGGTTTGAAGGTGTAAGGCGTGATAAACTTGAATGAGTTCGGGAACTAGCATGATTTGGACCATGGGAACGGGATTATATGGGGGTTTTATTGTATTGGGCAAAAATTGGTTTCTCTCATTTTTGACCCTCAAAACACAAAATTATTTTCCAATTTATCTCTAGGACTTTTTTAAAAAGTAAAAAAAAAACAAATAGATTACTATATCAAAGTGTGTGTGTACAGTTATTGGTAACAGAGAAAATTCAAATAAATTTAAATGTAAAATTCTCATGTTATTCTTATGAACAATATTGTAAAATTCTGTAGTTTACTTGTTAGGCCTATATTTTGATCAAAATTTGCAAATTTATTTATTTTATACTAAGCTATAGATATTTTACTAAAAACACATTTTATTAGTTTCCTTGTAGCATCAAACCTAGGTACTTCTTAACCCTAACGCTATTTAAATAGATTTAATTGAAAATCAATTCAGACAAATGGAAACTCGCTTAGTCGGTGGAGGGGTATTATGATAAAAATTTGAACAAAAAAATTACCTAAATGTTTACAACAATTGTATATATTTAATAAATTATGGTCATTTTCAGAATACGCAAAGTGTTGCGTATTGAAGAGAAAAAGAAAAAATAAGAAGAAATATGAAGAAAAATAAGAAAATATGAAGAGAAAAAAAACGTTGTTAAAGAGAAAAAGGAACTTCAATTCATTTCACAAGAAAGATCATTTACAGAATCAGGAGTAATACTTTAAACAGCAGCTACATATATTTAGTTTTTACCACACAAAAAGTACTAGGCCTACTGTAATTAAAGTAGGTAATTCACTATGTAAAACTTGAATTTAATTTGTAATTTATATAGCTAATTAGATATTGTTTGAAAACAAAATGGAAAATAAGCCACAATTTCTTAAGTAGGCTTATTTAACATGATGGAACATAAAGTCAAGACAAAAAAACAAAATGCCTCGAGTAAGCTATGTGGTATGATATTTAAAACATCAAAAATATACATACAATGTCAACTGAATAATTTCAATTAGTTACTAGCTCGCCCAATGTTAGAAATCAGAAATATAAATATTTAAAAAATGTTTAATATCACTAAAAAGCCTCTCCTTAACTGTCCAATATGCAGAAAAATGTTTTCAACTCTTTCGTTTATGAAGTATCATATATATTTACACACAGGTGAGCGTCCCTTTAGATGTTTGACATGTGAGAAAACATTTATTAGAAAATCTCAGGTAAAAAATCATATGTTAATACATTCTGGGAAGTATCCTTACAAGTGCATTACTTGTGGAAAATCCTTCAAAACCAGGAGCGAGATGAAGATTCATACATTGGTTCACACAGGAGAGCGACCTCATAAGTGCACTACATGTGGAAAATCCTACAAAACCAGGAACGAGATGAAGATTCATACATTGGTTCACACAGGAGAGCGACCTCATAAGTGCAATATATGTGGAAAATCCTTCCAAACCAGCAGAAATATTAAGATTCATACATTGGTTCACACAGGAGAGCGACCTCATAAGTGCACTACATGTGGAAAATCCTACAAAACCAGGAACGAGATGAAGATTCATACATTGGTTCACACAGGAGAGCGACCTCATAAGTGCAATATATGTGGAAAATCCTTCCAAACCAGCAGAAATATTAAGAGACATACATTGGTTCACACAGGAGAGCAACCTCATAAGTGCATTACATGTGGAAAATCCTTCAAAACCAGGAGAGAGATGAGGATTCATACATTGGTTCACACAGGAGAGGGACCTCATAAGTGCAATATATGTGGAAAATCCTTCCAAACCAGCAGAAATATGAAGAGACATACTTTGGTTCACATGGGAGAGCGACCTCATAAGTGCACTATATGTGGAAAATGCTTCAAAATCAGTAGCCATTTGAAGAAACATACATTGGTTCACACGAGAGAGCGACCTTATAAGTGCATTACTTGTGGAAAATCCCTCAAAACCAGCAGCGGTATGAAGATTCATACATTGGTCCACACGGGAGAGCGACTTTATAAGTGCATTACTTGTGGAAAATCCTTCAAAACCAGCAGCGATATGAAGAGACATACATTGGTTCACATGGGAGAGCGACCTCATAAGTGCACTATATGTGGAAAATGCTTCAAAATCAGTAGCCATTTGAAGAAACATACATTGGTTCACACGAGAGAGTGACCTCATAAGTGCATTACTTGTGGAAAATCCTCTAAAACCAAGCATAAGTGAAGGTTTATACAATGGTTCACACAAGAGAGCGACCTCATAAGTGCACTATACATGGAAAATGTGTCCAAACCAGCAGCAATGCAACATACATAGGTTCACACCAAAGAGAGCCCTTATAAGTGTAATATTTGTGAAAATTCCTTACGATTCAGAGGCAGTGTGAAGAGACATACATTAATTCACACCGAGGGGACCTCATGAGCGCACCATATCTGGAAGATCCATCACAAATAGCTGCAATATTAAGATATTTCATACATTAATTCATTTGTAGTAGCATAGTAGTCATTAGTAGTAGAAATTATTAGAAGTACCATATTTGTACATAACAAGTGTCAGTCCAGAACTTTTGATGTTGGTAGGTTTTGCAAGGAATTGATTTTCTGCATTTATTGATGAATTAAAATTAATCATATTATCTTTGTACCACTCTTCTAATGGAAATTCCAATGAGTTTTTAATGGTCATGGAAGAGCTTTTACATTTCATATCTAACTGGACTAGCTATAATATAGTGATGGGTGGGAATTTCAATAACAAATTCAACATTCAAAATAAATCTAAAACTGTTACAGAATTACTTAACCTCTGAAAGCAATACAATTTTATCATATAAATGATAAACCAACAAGAGGGGACAAATGTCTTGACGATGTTTTTCTTTGTAAAAAAAAGGGTCACAATTTGTTTTAACAGTAGCTTTGGTTTTCCCTACTCTGATCATAGTGGAGTAGTTATTAATTTGTGTCCACCAAGGAAAACAAAAGACAGAATATGTTACACAGACTAAGTTCAGATTATGCTTTTTGATAGCTTGTTTAAAATTTTGATTGCCATGTAATTTGGACTATTGCACACACTTGTTGTAGGCAAAAATATGGTGTTTACTGTCCGATGCTCCATGGCTAATAAAACGGCATGATATACAGCATTAAATGACACCCCTCCCTACTCACAACAATAACTGCAATAACTATTGTGTACATACTATCAGCTTAATAATTGTTCGATTCGTTGGTCATTCTGTATAACGCTTAGTTGTTTATAGGGCATTTATTTATTAATAAAATATTCTTTAGGCTTTTTTATGTAGCCCACATATTATTCATTTATTTATTTCATGTCATTACATCATTTGACAGGACATAGTGTCATATACAGGATAACTAAAACTAAGAATAACAAAAATTTCTTGTTAACTTATTGATATAACTTAACGTCCCTATTTAAATAACATTCTATAGATTTTTTTTGTAACCAGGTCTTCAGGGTGGATCTGAACTCTGTACTACTATCAATATTCTTTATGTGGAGCGGTAACTTATTGTAAACTTTTGGGCCTATATATTGGGGAGATAAATTAAATTTCTTTAATCTATGGGTTTCAGGCTTAATATAACTCTTAAGTCAAGTGTGATGGGAATGAAAGGGTTGGGTCATGAATATATGAAACTCGCTTGTAAATAAAGGCCTTTTTATTTATTATTTATTTATTTATTATGAATAAGGACAGATTGTCTTGAACCCAATTTGAAATTTCTCAAACATAGTGATTATAAAATGTTAAAACAGAAAATGTTTGAAAAATATTTTTACATGGAGTTTTACAACAGAACACTTTAATAAATTGTCAAGGTACTTTCCAGAGCTATTATCTTATTATTGTGTATTGCCTTGATCTAGAAAACCCACTCGAGCTTTTGTTAATTGTTCAATTTTATGTACATTTTTATAATCATAAATGTTCTTTTTTGTTGGGAGGAGGGGGGGTTGAACTGTCCACATCTTTAGTACCTAGACTGGCTTTTGCAGCATTTTAGTAAAACTCAAGAACTGTACAGGTTATTAAAAAATGTAGCATAGTGTAGATATATCAAATATTTGTAGTGTATTATATTTTTAATGAAAATTAGAGATTGATAAATGTATTGAATTCACATTAAATCCTGAATTAGAATAAACTTAGAATATTAATTAGATGTCTCACATGAGCAAACTGATATATTAATTTTTGTATGTTTGTTAACTTGATACAAAAAGTGAAAATAAAAAGGTATTAACTGCTTTAGTGTTTGACTTCATTTAGTACTCTACTTGAACTGTAATCTACCTATCTAGTGATAATCCCTCTTCTTAACCACACACCATTCACCCAGTTTTAATTCCTTAGAAAATGTACGCTTAGCTCAACAAAGGCAGGAATTAATACATGAGCAATGTTTTATTGCATTACGCTATTGTTTATCATATTCTGTACATAAATAAGACAAATTATATTATTATGTGGGAGGGGGATGGCAGTTCAGAAAGAAACAGACGTTTAGCATTGGCGCTGCTTGGAACGGTGCTAACACCGCTATTTTAGTATCAGAACGTTTGAATCCAGCTACGCTAGCATGCACATAGGCCCTAATATCTCTCGTACTTTGTGTGCAATGGAGTGTTAAAATGATTGATTTCATTGCAATTTCCCGTAGTTTTTGTGGAGCTCCGTGTAGATTTTTGTTTGCAAAAGTTTATAAGTCAATTGAAAATAATTGCCAGACATGGAATTTTTATGGCAAAGGAATGATGAGTGAAGTTTCCACTTTTCTCGTAATCTTCAAAGAACCAAGGTTTGTAAGCTTGGTGTGATTGAAATGCTTGTGAATATCACAGACTAATAGTTATCATAACTTTAATATTGTTAGTACTAGCTAGTAAAATATAGCTTAGTTTATAGCTATAACTATAGTGCGTTCAGAAAGTTTAGGCGGATATAGGAGAAGAAATCTGGGATATAACCGTTACTATTTTGTGAACACATAAAACTTCCTATAAAATAACAAGCTCAACAGCTGAGGTTTACTAAAACATAAACCATCTGTGCTAAATATATTAAGAAATACCCCCACCGCAGCAAACCTGCCGACTGAGCGAATTACCATTTGTCTGAATTGATTTTCAATTACAGCCGGGACCTCGTAAGTATGCAGTTGAGGGAGGAGCCTATTTACCATATGGTTTTGAATGAACCAATGAAAACCGTGCGGTGTTGCAAAATCTAATAATATCAGCTGATTTGAAAATATTGCTTAGTATATTTTAATTAGTGTTGTCTACAGGCGATGTGGCAACGTCGCACTAGCCTTGTCTTGTGATTGGCTGCCACCAACTGCAAACTTACGTGGTTCCGACTTTAAATATATTTAAATAAAATTAGGTTTAATGAGTACCAAGGTTTGCTGCTACAAGGAAGTGTGTTTTTTGGTAAAATATTGTTAGCTTATTATAAAATAAATAAATTTGCCAAGTTTGATCAAAATATATCCATAAACAAGCAAATTAAAAAAATTCGCAATATTCTCCATAAGAATAACATGGAAATTTTAAATTTACATTTTTTTAAATTGTTCTCTGTTACCAATAACCGTACAAAAACACAAATTTATATATTAAATTATTTGTTTTTCAAGCTCTTTATAAAGGTCTAGAGAGAAATTGGGACATTTTTTGTTTTGAGGGTCAAAAATGAGAAAAACATATTTTACCCCATAAAACACTCCGTAAAACCCCGTTCCCATGGTCCTATCATGCTGGTTCTCAAACTCATTCAAGTTTATTCCGCCTTACACCTTAAAAACCAAATTTTATCAAAATCAATCTAAAATACTCAAGTTAGTTCACGGACATATATATATGTATATATATATATATATAAATGTTTGCCCTCTGGGGACATAAAAATGAAAAAGTAAATCGGTCCCGGGTCTAGGTCTTACCGTGCCACCTACGGTAATAGCTACTTCCCTATAGGGAAATTCGCTAAGAAAAGTAGTGGAAGGACTTTCTCTTGAACTGTATAAATTTTAATTTTGTGAACGGAATAAAGGTGATCTTTTTTACCCAAATTTTTGTTCAAATTCTTGACTTCCTACATTATCTGGACAAATTTGGCAATAAATCTAACATATGAACAAACTCCTGGTTAATATTTTACTGACACCTTATCAAACTTATTTAGATTACATAAATTTCAATTGCTTTTATGATTCTAAATTTGAACAGAAAATTTAAATGTTTACAACAACTGTATATATTTAATAAAATTATGGTCTTTTTCAGGATAGGCAAAAGATTTGAAGAGAAAAGGAACTTCAATTCATGTCACAACAAAGATCATTTAAAAATCGGATTTAATAATTTAAACAGCAGCTAAAATATTTAGTTTTTACCTCCCAAAAAGTACTAATTAAAGTAAGTAATTCACTATGTAAAACTTGAATTTAAATTATAATTAACATTGATATATCTGATTGAATATTGTTTGGAAACAAAATGGAAAATAAGCCACGATTTCTTAAGGAGGCTTATTTAACATGATGGAACATAAAGTCAAGACAAAAAACAAAATGCCTTGAGTAAGCTATGTGGTGTGATATTTAATACATTGAAAATAGCATACAAAGCCAACTGAATAGTTCCAATTAGTTACTAGCTCGCCTGATGCTAGAAATCAGAATATAAAACAAAAAATGTTTAATATCACTAAAATGCCTCTCCTTAACTGTCCAATATGTAGAAAAATGTTTTCAAATCCAAGGAATATGAAGTATCATATATATTTACACACAGGTGAACGTCCCTTTAGATGTTTGACATGTGAGAAAACATTTATTAGAAAATCTCAGGTAAAAAATCATTTGTTTACACATTCTGGGAAGTATCCTTACAAGTGCACTACTTGTGGAAAATCCTTCAAAACTAGCAGCGAGATGAAGATTCATACATTGGTTCACACGACAGAGCGACCTTATAAGTGCACTACTTGTGGAAAATCCTTCAAAAGAAAGAAAAATATGAAGCAACATACATTGGTTCACACAGGAGAGCGACCTTACAAGTGCATTACTTGTGGAAAATCCTTCAAAACTAGCAGCGAGATGAAGATTCATACATTGGTTCACACGACAGAGCGACCTTATAAGTGCACTACTTGTGGAAAATCCTTCAAAACCAGCAGAAATATGAAGAGACATACATTGGTTCACACGGGAGAGCGACCTCATAAGTGCACTACATGTGGAAAATCCTTCCAAACCAGCAGAAATATGAAGAGACATACATTGGTTCACATGGGAGTGCAACCTTATAAGTGCATTACTTGTGGAAAATGCTTCAAAATCAACAGCCATTTGAAGAGACATACATTGGTTCACACGAGAGAGCGACCTTATAAGTACACTACTTGTGGAAAATCCTTCAAAACTAGCAGCGAGATGAAGATTCATACATTGGTTCACACGACAGAGCGACCTTATAAGTGCACTACTTGTGGAAAATCCTTCAAAACCAGCAGAAATATGAAGAGACATACATTGGTTCACACGGGAGAGCGCCCTCATAAGTGTACTACATGTAGAAAATCCTTTAAAACCAAGCATGAAATTAAGGTTCATACATTGGTCCACACGGGAGAGCGCCCTTATAAGTGCATTACTTGTAGAAAATCCTTTAAAACCAAGCATGAAATTAAGGTTCATACATTGGTCCACACGGGAGAGCGCCCTTATAAGTGCATTATTTGTGGAAAATCCTTTAAAACAAAGCATGAAATGAAGGTTCATACATTGGACCACACGGGAGAGCGACCTCATAAGTGCATTACTTGTGGAAAATCCTTTAAAACAAAGCAAGAAATGAAGGTTCATACATTGAATCACACGGGAGAGCGACCTCATAAGTGCCCTACATGTGGAAAATCCTTCAAAACCAGCAGCGATGTGAAGAGACATACATTGGTTCACACGAGAGAGCGACCTTATAAGTGCACTATATGTGGAAAATGCTTCAAAATCAACAACGATATGAAGAGACATACATTGGTTCACACGGGAGAGCGACCTCATAAGTGCATTACTTGTGGAAAATGCTACAAAATCAGTAGCCATTTGAAGAGACATACATTGGTTCACAAGAGAGAGTGACCTCATAAGTGCATTACTTGTGTAAAATCCTTTAAAACCATGCAAGAAGTGAAGGTTCATACAATGGTTCACACAGGAGAGCGACCTCATAATCGCACTATATGTGGAAAATGCGTCCAAACCAGCAGCAGCATTAAGCAACATACATTGGTTCACTCCAAAGGGAGTCTTTTAAGGTGTAATATTTGTGGAAAATCCTTACGATTCAGAGGCAGTGTGAAGAGACATACATTAATTCACACTGGAGGGACCTCATGAGTGCACCACATCTGGAAGATCCATCACAAATATCTGCAATATTAAGATATTTCATACATTAATTCATTTGTAGTATCATAGTAGTCATTAGTAGTAGAAATTATTAGTAGAAGTCATTAGTAGTAGAAAAGTGTAACAATGATGTTGATGTCATTTGTGAGATGTGCAAAAAACAACTCAGAAATACTGTTTAAAATCATCATATTTGTCAAGATGGGTTAGATATTTTTCCTTAATATACAAGGTTTGAATTTTAAAAAAATGACTTGAGATAGTTTTTTTATCAATTCTAAGATTAACATTTTATGTTTCTCTAAACATTGGCTTTCTTACAATGGAGTTGATCAAATCTTTACAACCTGCAAACTTTTTTGGCATCCCTTCTCATGAGTTATTTTTAGACCACCGATACAACATAATCAAACACCCTCCCCCTCGCCTCCAGAGTTATTTTTGGACCACCAATACAATGACGAACAGATTAATCATAAAGAGTGGTAAATAAATTATGGGTTATGTTCCATAAAAAGGTGTGATGTTAAGTATTTCAGTCGTGGTTTGATGAAAATGTTACATCATTATATCTATCAATATCAGTGTTTGTAAATAGTTTTGAAATGAAATAAAAAAAAGCTTATTTTCCATTTGTAGGTATCAGAATGTTTATATCAAGGATGTTTTACATTTATTTGATAACACATGTTATCTATTTTTAACCGACTTCCCCACTACCAACAAAAGGAGGAGGTTCTCAATTTGTTTGTGGCGATGTTTTTTTTTTCTGTGTATGTTCACCAATTTCTCTGTGATTCTTTTACCGATCAGTGTGGTTCCACCACCAAAATAACCAGGAGAGTTTCTATTTGGTACCTTATATATTATGTTTAAGTATAATATTTGTTTCGGTGAAAAATTCTGAAAACCTTAAATTCAACATTTATTTTGTTTACATTTGTGCAGAGAAGGCAATAAATAATAATAACATTCCTACAGCTGTTAGTTGAAACCATTTAAATGAAGCTACAGACAATAATTCTTCATGAAACAGTTGCTTTATATTGATCAATAAACTATTTCTTGCCATGGAGCCTAAATGAATTACATTGAGAAAAATGCATTTTGTTTTGGTTACTATAAAAAATTTATTTTAACGTTTGACCTGATTTGTGTATACAGTAATTCTGTTTTTATTAGTATTGAATATTCTGACTTACAAAAACATATATGGTTCAGTGAATATCTGTATGATATTGACAAATAAAGGTGTATTGTGAAAACCAAAGCATTCGTAAAACAGGTCTAAATATAAATTAAATGCAATTATTCCTTACACGACCTAAGAAGTGTGACAGTGCATAATCGTCAATTGTTTTAAAAGTGTTAAATATTTTTATTACTAAACATGCATTTGCAGATGTGGAATGTTTATTGATATTCTCTACCCAGTTACTATATCATATCAATACTCCACATAGAAACCTGCAAAAAAACTGTTAAGTAGTTAATGTAATGGACAACTCTTTCTTTCTTAAGGAATATCTAAAAATGTTTATTTTCATAACCATTGATTATGTAACCTGAACAGGTGACTCAAGCAGTTTTAAAATAATGATTGTTCTGTGGAACTTTTGATTGTTTCAAACAGTTTTGCTTATCAAAAAACCTCAAGTAATTAATATATAAAAATAATACAGTCACTAAAAATCATTAAATAATTTATTTTGTAAAAAAATACAACCGACTTCAAACGCTCTAAAAAGAATGAAATAATTTCAATAAAGTAAACTTTTGTATTAGGCAAGCTAACGTATTTCAAGTCGGCGCGGCTCAAACCGCAAATATGATTGAAATTAAATATTGTGTGTGTATTTTGAAAATCAATAAATTGTAGCTGGATAACATAAATATATATAAAAAAACATACTGAACTGTTTTGTTTATATATTAAAGGAAATATTTTCTTGTATTTTATGTTTACTTCAGAATAAATGCATTATGAAAATAACACACACAAATGTTCTATAGGAATAGGAAAATAATTTAGTTTGATATTATGATAGGGAAAAGAAGCTAGTTTAGTATTAAAACGTTACTTTTCCAAATTAGAAACATTTAAATGCGTTATAATCTTTTTAAAGATCCTCGTTAATACCACTATAATGCCGATCTCTGATTACGGTAATAAAATAACTTAACGCATAACTATGAAAAAGACATGCAGATTAACACCTTTAGTTATAGATAGTCACCTGCAATATGGACACCCTCTTTCAATTTTGTATCAAAAATCATCATAGAGCCACGCCGACTTAAACTACGTGAGCTTGCCTAATACAAAAGTTTACTTTATTGAAATTATTTCATTCTTTTTAGAGCGTTTGAAATCGGTTGTATTTTTTTACAAAATAAATTATTATTACCCTGATTATTAGACTAATTCATTAATTACAATACAAAAATGTGGTTTGAATTCCCCTATAAACTGTAGGCCCCTTAGTTGTCTTTGGCTATATTAACTAACAGCTGAGACTAAAGAATAAGTCGGCCTTAGTCCCTTTCAAAACTAAAAGGTTGGGCCACTCATCCTACACTCATCTCCATTAATTCTTGGCTTAAAATACCTACATTGGTATGGTCGCCATTTCAAAGTAAAGTATTAATTTATTAGATTAGTTTAATCTTTGGTTATAATTAACTCATACACTAATACCCCCGCCGCAGCAAACCTGCAGACTAAGCGAATTTCCATTAACCTGATTGGATTTACACTAAAATGCCTCCATAAAAATAGCACATTTATTTCCTATATATAGAATTAGTTTAACGAGTACTAAGGTTTGCTGCAACAGGGAGGGTAAAAAAGATTTTTTTTATAAAATGATAATAGTTTAGTAAGAAATAAAAGTATTTTCCAAAATCGATCAAAATATGTTCATAAAGAAGCAAACTACAACAGTTGACTTATTCTCCATAAGAATAACATGGGAATTTTAAAATAACAATTTTTTTGAATTTTCTCCGTAACAATTAGGCGCATAATAACGCTTCAATATACTAAATTATTTGTTTTTTTAAGCTCTACAAAATGGTTTCAAAATAAATTGTGAAATTTCGTGTTTTTATGGTCAAAAATGGGAAAAACCTATTTTTGCCCCATAAAACCCCCCATAAACCCCGTTCCCATAGTCCGATCATGCTGGTTCGCGAACTCATTCAAGTTTATCCCACCTTACACCTTCAAACCAAATTTTATCAGAATCGGACAAAAATTACTTAAGTTATCGGATGGACACATATATATATATATATAGATATATAAAAATTTGAACGAATGGTGTTTTTGGCCTCTAGGGACATCAAAATGAAAAAGTAAATCGGTCCCGGGCTTAGGTCTTACCATGAGACCTACGGTAATAGCTACTTCCCTATAGGGAAATTCGCTAAAAGCTAGTTAATTTAATAGATTGATGTACTTTTATCACAGGCTAAAATAGCCTATTGCATTTTTTTATATTTTATCTTTGTATGGATTTCAAGCGTTCAACTTACAACAAATGCCTTTAGTACTGGTTAATTGTGAGGTAAAATAAGATATGGGCTAACAAACACAATAACACTACGTTGTAAATATGAATAGATCATTTGATCATTATTTCTTAAAAATAATCTGTATTGTTGTGATCAATATTTTAAAATTAATCATGTAGTAAACAAGATAGCTGAACACCAATAGCATACCTACTTGTGACACTGGGACGTAAACTCAAATGGAAACAGCGCGGTCCTTAGGGTGGAGCGAGGCGAGGCCTTACTATCGCTAGAAATAAGTTAATGTTTCGGAATGAAAATAAAAAAAATAAATGACAGACAGATACATGTGCCTAAAATATGTCTTATTTATTATTAATTAGCCTATATCAATTGCTGTATCGATTAAAAACCTTTAATTCGATTCATATCAAACAACGTTTGACAGCTCGGCGGTGATGACGGAACCCGAGCCTCGCGGCAGCCACCGAGCCACCCCGGTGAATGTGAGTGAGTCATACGCTTGTAAACTACTCGCATTTCGCAATAAACATAAACCTATGACAATATTTGTCATTAAAGTAAAAAGTAATACTGTGAATCAATTACACTGTAATGATACTACCTCTTTTAATTTATTATTAAAAACTCATTGACAATTATAGGTAATATTTTTTTCCTTTAAAACCCCCATTACAGACCAACTGTCGAAAACACAATAAACCTATCTTGACAAAAAGTAAATAAACAAGTTAGCCTATGAGCATTTACTATTTACAAAGTGACGGGACGACAATCCACAGTGAAGAGAAGTGTTCATTTTTTTATTAATTATTGTAAAGGACTTCGTGGACAATATTTATGATATCCACTTTGGAATTGGAACAATAATATGTGCAATTAGCTATAATATTAACGGCCATTTACAGAGTGTAAAAGATTCATTTGGTTCATCAAAATGCTTAAAATGACGAATTTGCAAGTATATCATTGACAATTATTTATGTAATATTTTTTAACTTTAAAACACCCTTCACAGACCAACTGCCGAAAACACAATAAACCTAATTTGACAAAAATTAAATAAACAAGATAGCCTTTAAGCATTTACTATTAATTGTCGTCTTGCCACTTTGTTTGATTTACAAAGTAATTCAATTCACAATCCACAGTAAAGGAGGAAGTGTTAATTTTTTTTTTATTAATGATTGTAAAGAATTTCGTGTGCAATATTTATGACATCCACTTTGGAATTGGAACAATAACATGTGAATTAGCAATAATATTCACGCCCATTTTCAGAGTGTAAAATATTCATTTTTTGTCGTCAAAGTGCTTAAAATAACGACTTTACAAGTATAATTTTACATAAATTTTCCGAGTACCCCCCAGACCCCTCGGTGAGCTTAGTTAAACAAGGCCTAGCAATTATGTATTGCCCCAGGCCTCGCATTTTATAAAGACGGCTCTGAATGGAAAGTGGGTAAGGGTCTTATGATCTTTGAAGCGGGGAGCGCAGGGAGAGGCAGAGTCGGGTAGTAAATGGTGGTCGATGGATTAGGACCCTTGTACACTTCTTCGATTATCTGCGCAATCGGGCGTCAGCCATGGGAGGGGTTTTTATGGGGTAAAAAATAGTTTTTCTCAATTGTTGACCCTCAAAAACATCAACATTAAATTTCCCAATTTATCTCTATGTTTATAAAGGGCATAAAAACAAATAACTTAGTATATCAAAGTTTGTCTGTATATTTATTAAAAATGAAAAAATTTTAAAACCTTATGTTTTTTGTTAAAGTTTTTGTTACTCGCCCTACTTTAATTGAGAAAAATCGCAAATGGATTATTTACCTCTTATTATCACAACGGTAAAGGTAATAATACGTTAATAATAAGGTTACGTCAATGGTAATAAGGTGAAAAAGACACTCCAATACGTACAAAATGTGTTAATGACAAATAATAACATTTTAAAATATTAAGAACTTAAAGATGCTTCAATTTACAATGGAATCATTACAGAATTACGACAACCCTCCTGCAACTATCACACTACAAAAAATACAATTACTTTATAGATACAATGAATCGATCACAAGTAACTGCTACATTACTGTGTAGCTCAAGGAGGTGTGGTCAAACTTTACAATTATATACACAGTGATGTGCTAATAGTTTTTAGTTTGTCGCACATAGTTTTGCCAAATACTGTACGTGAATGCCGCAACTATGTTTACAGTTGAGATAAAACCTTAGTCTATGAGACTTATACGAGTTCACGGCACTAATAGGGCGATGTTGATTTCTTTGACCATCTTGACTCTGTTGAGCATCTTCTCCAACGGCTCTCGCTGTAGAGCCATAGTGGAGTACCAAACTGGACTGTCCGGAACACAAGAACGCTCGGGCTGTAGGTAGAACACATCGTTACGATTCTTCACACTTTCAGGACTGAAACAAGATATGAATTTTAAGTCGTCATATGTTGAAAAAATTGTAGTTTAAAAGAGTAATTTTTCAAGGTGATAGACTCTTTGAAAGAGGCAAGCAGTAGAAGCAGCATAGAAGGAGAGAAAGTAGGAGGAAAATAAATACTACCATATTTCATACTTTATTACTCAATTAATTTTAGTTAAACAACAGATGGAATTTACCCAGGGGATACTACTTTACATTTAGCTTGGTTCAAACGTTCAAACCATTCACCTTATAACTTGTTGATTATGAATAAACATATATTTACCATTTAGACAAGTAAAACTCGTAAAGTTTTACAGGACATCTGAGAGGGTTTTCTTCATCCTCTTGCTGTTCATAAACCTTCTTCTTTCTCAGTTTTGGATCGTCTGAAAAAAAAATTTGCTTTGTCACTTTTAGTTAAGATAACCGTTAAGTTTAACTTTCCTATACCACAAAATGTCTATTTTGAATCAAATTATAAATTATCAGCCATAATATTCATTAAGTCTATAGACAGTTTTTGAATGAAATCATTTAGACTGAAGAGAAAATGTCACATGTATATCTGACATCTGAATAATTACCAATTAGGGATTATACAAAGAAAAACATATCAGATGTAACAGCAGTTTGGTAAATTAACAATAAATATTTGACAAAAGGGACTATAATAAAAAAGTCCAAACATTTATCTATTTTAACTTAACCACCAAGTTATTTTACCTTCAAATTCAGGATAACAATCTGCATTTGTTACAATCACCACTAATATTTGCCATACTTTATGGCACCCAGGTAATAAAAATTAATGGTAAAAAAACTGTGTTGACCAACTTTTTACTCGACTTTCAAAGCTTATGTTTCAAATCTGAGATATTAAGTTTATGCTTTGAGTGTTGTTACAACAAGAAATTCAATCCCTAAATTGATGCCAGTTTTTGAATAAAATTGTACGTAGTTGAGTTTACCAATGAGTGCCTGGGGAGGGTAGAACCTGAGCAGTACATTGCGAGAGCCTGGCGGTCTACCACCTGGTGCTCCTGACTGGTTCTGGTTCCTCTTCCAGTGCTTCATGATGTGGGAGAACGACAACAGCAGGTGCTCATCTACGCTCTGGAACAAACAACACAACTTGTCTACATTTTTCAAAGGACTTTTTTCAGAAATAGAGTTTAGGTAGCTATATTTCTCTTGATGAAAACAAGAGTCCAGGAGCTAATAGATACGCAATAATACAAAACACAACACTGGTATTTCAAATAATGGCTAAACATACCTCGTCAGACAATCCTTGACATGTAGTAGGTATCAAATGTGCTACATATGTTTTGGCGGTTATTTAAATTCCACAAAAGGGAATTTGCTTCTAGGCCTACTGTCTAAATGGTGGCATATATTTTAAGTTTTGAAAAAAAAACTGTACTGTATTACTATGGATTTGGAAAGCATCAATTAATATTAATGACAGTATCTAAGTTATTAAGAGAAATCAAATCATTATCAAAGAATTTTTATTGACTCTTGCCTACAACTATAATCTATTCCAAGAAAGTATTTGACTTAACCGTGTTTTGTGTTTTTTATGACTTTTCTATCAATACGAAAAAAGGAGAAGAGTTTAGGCTTGTTTTTTTTTGTAAATAATGCAAGTACAAAAATAAAATAATGATTATATGTATGATTCCAAATGAATATTACTTTATTTTGTTATGTTTTTAGGGATTACCCGTTTTAACCGACATTTTCAGCTATCGAACTTAGGTCCGGTCAAGAGGGGCCTACTATAGCCAAACAATAGTGATAGGAGTATAAACTACCAATGACATGTATTGAGATATGCATATATACACTATAACGATCAAATATACTAGGAGGCTACAAACGACACTGTATACAGATCTAGAGACTTAACAACATGAAATGTACACCACTGATGAGCGTCTAAACAGCTACTGCACAATGTCAGGTACATAACTACTAGCCACTGCTGTTGCTTGCCACCCTTAGTTTCTACGTGTTCCACTGATGTGTTCTACTCACAGTGAGGTTGAAGTGCTTGGTGTTGAAGAACATGAGTGTACTGAGCAGTACGTGTGGAGAGTGAGCTCCTAACTGTTTGCTCTCCCACAGATGTTCCTCTTCTACTCTGGTAACAATGTAGTCTGAAAACAAAGAAAAGGTATATAAAGGTATGTATATTTTCCAAACTGGCATGTATAGTCCAAACTGGCAAAAGACTGGTAACGATGTAGTCTGCAAACAAAAAAAAGGTATATAAAGGTATGTATATTTTCCAAACTGGCAAGACTGGTAACGATGTAGTCTGCAAACAAAGAAAAGGTATATAAAGGTATGTATATTTTCCAAACTGGCATGTATAGTCCAAACTAGCAAAAGAAACACTAAACATTAGAATATTTCACTGTCATTCACAGAGTTTTCAACTAAGAAAGGTGATTGACAGTTTGGCCAGGTGACTCACTAAGCGAAGTTCGAACTAGCAAATTATTAACAAAATCAGACACAAAGTGCACCGACCAGCCCCTACACTAAAAATACAGAAATCCAAATTCGCTCAACACATTATTGACAATTACCATGATTACTGGATATAAATTATGGTTTCAACATTCTACATTACTGCGGGAAAGGAAATTTATTAAATACTTTGGAAGAATTTGAAATATACAAAGACATAAAAACTAGGGACAGCAAACAAATGTTGAAAGAAAAACTCAATTGTGAATCATCAAATATATTTTCAACACTCTCGTCCCTCACTACAATAGTCCAATATCAGCTGTTGATATTCCAGAGGACAATCCAGTGTCCACGTCAGTCCATCATAGCCTAGTTCAGTCTACTTCCAGTCCTGTCTGCGACAATGTATAGTAGGACACAAAATTAAAGTCCCATGTCTGCAGGTAGAGTGGACCCGTCCTAATCCTGCTTGTCAAAACAACACTATTGTTGGGAGCTTGGCTATTAAACCTGCTTTGGCTCTGGATTTTCCCAATCCGTCCGGCCAGAGCAGGTTCATACACCGAGACTAACTCCTTGACCTGATAACTCGGGTAACAGGAAATCGTAGAGCGTTCACTCAAAATAGTTTTTATTCCTCTTTCTCAGACGGACAAAATGATCCTTCGCATGATGCTCCAAGTTTTATGGTTCAATTTATGCAAATTGTAGTAGGACGCAGAATTTCTAGGAACAGCGAGGGGAGGGCGGTTTTCCCGGCCCGCCAGCATCGCCGAGCTCCCAACAATAGTGTTGTTTTGACAAGCAGGATTATGACGGGTCCACTCTACCTGCAGACATGGGACTTTAATTTTGTGTCCTACTATACAATGTAGTTGATGTGCCTATACATAATCGTTTTGTGTTTTGTGTAAATGTTTGTGACTCATAATGACAACCGCTCTAGAAGTGTATGTTTTTGTAAGCCTGACAATAGCAGAGCTAAAGAACTGCCAATACATATTTAGCAAGTTTTAAAATATGACACTAAAGTACGTGTTAAGGATTGTCAGACATGGTACGTTTTTTATCATTATTAGTCATAAAACGCAATCCTGGGGATATGAAAATGAATTATAATTAACAAATTATTTTTTAATAAAGATAATCAAAATCAACAAACACAAATACTTACGGTGATCACTAAACAGCTCAGAAAACTTTTTGGCAACCTCATCCAAAGCATCTGTGAAAGTTTCAAAGTACGGGTCGGTAAAGATATTGTCGATGCGGCCGCTCTCAAACAAAAACTGTTGTATGCCTAGACACAGGTAGTAGATAGTGTCCGGGGCGTAAGATGTTCCGTTGGGTTTCTTCACCTGAAATTCAATCAGTAGTGACACATTTTGCAAAACCAGTTCTCTAAGAGAATCAATAGATGTAGCTCCAATAGTCCATAGAAATTTGAGATCTTTGTCGTTTTTAAAGAAAAACATTCAGCTCAGGTATACATAACAAGGAAGAAGAACTGGGTGCACAACTAATTCACCTATGGAAAAATATCCAGACTTTTGAGAGCATATAAAGAACTGCACCCCCACACACATTGACCCCCCCCCCCCCAAACCCAATTTTAGAGGGAACATCACAAAACCACAAACTTGTTTAAATATTTATCCATTTAAAAATCTGAGCATTGGTAATACAGACAATTCATAAATTTGTAGAAGTGCCATTTATCTAGTTCCTTACAAGGCTTAAAAGAGCAAAACATCAAGAATATAGATAATTTTTTGGTAAAATAAAATGACTGGATCTCTTTTCTCAGGTGAGTTTGTGGCATATCCTTTTCTTCACCTTCATGAAATCACGATTGAAAAAAAAGTTGTAGGTAAAACGTTCAACCGGTATTTCTTAAAATGGAAGTATATGTACATTTAAAACGAATAGCCTAATCCAAGTAGAGCCAGTTTTTACCTCTTTGACGAATAAACAGAGAGTAAAATTGAGCTCGTCCAATGTCAGCTGAAGCATGTCTGTTTTGAAGGGTTTCAGTTTCTTACTTGCAGTCTCGTTCAGCCTCTCAATTTCAGCGTTTTTCTGGGTAACCCAAGTCTTCCATGCATTTACACCGAACGTGTACTGAAACCAGCCAGTAGAGAATTAAAATAAAATGAATAGTAATCAAATAACCTAAGTTACTTCTTAATTACATACACTACCTATTAATCAGCCACCATAAACTAGACAGCACATTTTCTTCCTCCTTCCACAATCTACAATAATTGGAGGGTGTGTCTTCGATTGTAAAAACTTCTTCTGCAATTGCTTAACACTTCAATGATTTTTTTCTGTAAAATTGGTAACAATATGACACAATCTCCAGCCGATGAAGCAATTAATTTAGTTGGATGCAAAACTTCTGATTGTTTTAAATTTAAATTAGTGAATGGAAAAGATGTCCTAGATGCCATAAAGTCTCTGAAAAGTAAATATTCTGCGGGGTGGGATGAAATACCGTCAACCTGTAATTGAAGCAGCTGCATCTTTTATTGTTACACAGCTTACTTCTGATATAATCATAAGTCTAACAAAAGGAGACTTTCCGTAAAAACTTAAAACACTCTACAGTAATTCCTATTCTTAAAAAATGAGATAAAAAGTCAATTGATAATTATAGACCAGTGGCCTTGTTACCTGTGCTATTTAAAGTTTTTGAGGAAGTTGTATTAAAACAAGTTGTTCCATTTTTTGAGAAACATGTTTTACATTCAAATGAGTTTGGATTTAGAATAAATAGTTCAACAACTCAAGCCATGTTTAAATTAATAACAAAGATTTTGGACCCCTTGGATAGGTAGCAGAACACTGCTGGTGTGTTCAGTGACCTGTCCAAGGCTTTTGACAATGTTAGACACAATATTTTGTTGGAAAAGCTGGAATGTTAAGGTAAGAGTAGGAAGGTGTTTCTGTGGTTTGGCGACTATCTCCAAAATAGGTTTCAAAATGTAAAAATTAATACCTTGAAGGGAAACTAAGTTTTTTTCTGATTGGAATAAAGTACACTTGGGAGTCCCTCAAGTTTCAAAGGTAGGACCATTCTTGTTCTTAATTTATATCAACGATTTGTTTTCAAATGTAAATTCAGATTCAATTTTATTTGCAGATGATACTACAGCATGAGTCAAAGGTAAAGACAAAAATGAATTGGCACTTAAAATATCTTCCTCTGTTCTAAACATCAATTTCAAGAATGGTCTTAGCTTAAATCATACCAAGACTAAAATATTAGAATTTTCCGCCTCGTCAAACAGGTCCAAAGAAGTAATTTTTTCAGTTCCCAACACCAACATTGACCTTCCTGTTTGTAAATCAGTAGATTTTCTGGGACTAACAGTTCAAGATAATTTAAAATGGAATAACCACTGTGTCATTTATATGACAAACTAGATAAAGCTATATTCAATCTCCGAATTATTAGAAGAATTTGTGAAGACAAGACAGTGATGTTAGTATACCATGGTTAATTCTTATCAATTATGTCTTACAGTTTGTTGTTCTGGGCAAATTTACCTTCTAGCAAATACATCTTTAAGCAACATAAAAGGCCATGCATGATTTGTACTGACATGTCACATATTGATTTCTGATAGTCAGCCTTTGGATTGTGAATTTGAGCCAGCACCCATGATTCTACTACTTATCATACGCTTAAAAATATACAAATTGGAAAGGTTTCACAGTAAAATAATTTATTTCAACATTCTAAGTCGTAACGAAAAAGAAAAAGTATTGATAATAATAGGTAACGTTATCATTGGTTACAGTAATTGCAAAATTGACTGGCAAAAAAGTAATGCAAATGTTAATATTGCATACCAGCTTAGTGATAAATCACGATCAGCTGCATTTGTTGTGTATTCACAGGGGTTAATTTATTAGTTTACATTTTGATTCCGTTTATATCTGGAGCAGGGAGCTCAGCCAAAAAGTCAGTTAATAGTTTTCAATTTTGAGATTTTGCAACATTATATCCAGTGCCCAATATGGCTCGAGATAATTCTGGAAACCAGCATTTGCGTCATAAGCCCCCACCCACCACTCTTGAGGTTAGATATGGTAGGTCCTTGTGAACCACCAACATACACTCAGAGTCATCCAAGTCACCGTCCAGGACACAACTAGCTGGACATGGCTCTCCCGCTGTTGCTATTAGCAGGTATGTGGTGATAAGCTAATAGGAGATTTACATTGCCCGACCCTTGGTTCATTAGTAGCCCTCTTAATTCTTACCTTTCAGTAATGGGGATTTCTCTGGGATATTAGTACTTAAGTTAAAGAGTAAGATATTAACATGTAACATGTATTATTGTAATTGCTTATCCGCTAAATAAATGAACCCTATTAAGTTCACACCCGAGTATTTATTCTGGACGCTCCACCCACTAGCGGATACAACACATTGAAGTACATTTTGCATTACATCTAATTTTTTCTTAAGATTTTGGGAATTTCACTATTTTTCCTACCGTCACAGGATCAACCTTTAATTTGAGCCCTCTTACGTCGTTCTACGACTTCCCAGTCACTTGCAATTTTGACACAAAGAATCGCCTTACGTAATTACTATATAGATTTGGTTAAGAAAAACATCTTTTAGCTTCCCTGTAGCAGCAAACGTAATTGCTCGTTAAATCTAGCGTTTTTTATAATGGGGAATTTTGTTGTAAATTTTAGTAAAAGTCCAATCAGAGAAATTGAAATTAGGTTAGTCAGCAAGTTTTCTACAGCAGGAGTACTATAAATAACACTAGGATTTAACAATTACGAGTTACCTTCAGCTTCATGTTGACGTCAGGTTTAGTTTCCCCGACCGTAGGAGAAGGTTGTGATGAAGTCTCCGAGTTGTGTTGAGACTTCTTCCTCTTTGGCTCGGAACTGTCGTTTCTCTTGGACCTCGTAGCAGGAGCTGCTCTTTTCCTACTCCTGGTCTCCCTCTTGGGCGTATCACTCGAGTTACCTGTAAAGCAGTTTAAAACGGTTCACACTTCTGAACTGAATCAAATTTTTAACGAGTGAAAATGAACTCCATAGGCCAAAAAATGTCTTTTGGCTTAGTATTTTTACTTAACGCAGGCGTTTTTACGTAAAATCTTTTTTACCTCGTCTCGAAAGAAAAAATCTCGACCAAAATAGAATCTTGTCTCGTAGAACAAGATTTAAAATTTCCCGAAATTTTGAGATCCGTCCATCCCTATACATAACCCAGTCACCGTTAGGACTTCTCCACCCATACTCACTCACCACCCTTAACATTGTAGACGCCTTTATACCATTGCCTTCAAACCCATCTCTACTTGCCAACCATTGATTTGTACAATGCTGTTATCTGTCCACCTCGCTGTTATCTGCTGTTATGCTGTTATCTGTCGCTGAATCGCTTCGAACACTGTGGTCCTTTGTTCAGTCTTGAATGATTTGTTTGGACATGATCTAGACTTGTAATATTCAAGCAATGTTTTTGGGCTTGAAATGATCAAAGCCAAAATGACCCACAAACCTTTGACTTTTGCTTGACGTTAGGGATGTAAAAACCTTTAAATTTATCGAATAACAAGTTTTTCTAGTACAGCTATAAAATCAAAACCAAGTTAAACTTTTCCATTTTCAAGCTCTTTATTACAAAACATAATATCTAGTTCAATTCAAATATTTGGACGGTTTGAATTTTTGGTCCCTTGATGGTTTGAATTACCTGCAAGGTGGAAGTCATACACATGCATCTCAACCTAATGTACTGTATTGGCATGATTTTTTCTGTAAAAGCATGTCTTGTGATAGAGTACAGGATTTTGGTTTCCAAAGTCACACGTTCAAGTCCTGTCGATCACTGAGGGATTTTATCCAAGTTACAATGCTGCGCCCCTTTAAGTCTAGCCCGAAGTAATGTGAAAGCGGTTCCAGGCTATAGCCTAGCGTAATAAAATGAGAAGCAGGACATAAAAATGTAATAAAGAAGCAGGTACTCACCCTCACTCTCCTGTTGAATGTTGCTGGAAGGCAGCTGTGTCTCAAGGTCTTCGCCACTCGCCGGAGTTGTCAGTTCTGTCGCCATCTTCAGCGCCAACTGTACAATGTCTTCACCAAACGCGTTACTGTTCTCCACCGGTTCTGGCTCAGGGGTAAACACCTTCTCCTCTACTTCCGCTACTCCTGTGTTCCCCGTACTCTCCTCGTCAACCTCTGCTTCAGCACCGTCGTCTGCATCACCTTGACGGAGCAGAGAAAGGAATTAGAATCCAAGTTATAATAATCTGCAGGAGGTTGGTTACAGTTTTTACATGTAATAAGTTGGCATATTCAAATCTACTGATATGTTTATGTGTCTAACTAATTCAGGAGCAAGCCACGACCATGAGTAAAATACCTGAAGATAAAAGGATAAGGTCTTAGTGGTAAAGAGTTCTTCGAGTTTTAAAGACACTGTGGTGAAAATTAGGACATTTGGATCACAAAATGAATGTCGTATCAGTCTGCGTGTGGCATCTTTATCCATCCATCGTCTTTGTTATTTGACTCGCCAAACATTTTAAAATGTTGTGTAGGTACTGTATACAGGGTGTCCCGTAACTCTCTGGACATATGTATATAGCGTTATTCCTTAGGTCAAGACAAACACATTTCACCATAGGAACATGGGTCTGTGGTGCCTGGTTTACCGTCTGTCTGTATTTATGTATGGATGTGTCCAGAGAGTTACGGGACACCCTGTATATGTGTGTGTGGTTATTTTATCTATGACAATAACAAAAGTTACAAAGAGGGGATCGAAGGTTTGACAATGAGGACACATAATGCTTGAAACTATACATCAAGTCATCAGAAAACTATAAGGATTGAGAAGAAAAGGTAAACATTTAAACTATAGTCCTCGCCACCCTAAGTTGAGGCAGCCCAAGGCTGCACGGGTATATCTAGTGCGGCCTTTGGCTGCCTCAACTTAGGGTGGTGAGGACTATACTCAATTTGCACAAATTGGACTTGGTGCAGATTAGGATTATTTGTAAACAACCCTCATTTCAGCTATAATTATGTTTATTAAAGCTACCATAAGTGACATGATGGGAAACATACTGTGAGACGGAGAAGGAGGTGCGTCATTATCAGCGTCATTGTCTGCCTCAGGCTCACTGTCCGAACTGGCCTTCTGCGACTTGTCTTCCGCGACCATCTCTGCCATCATCAGCAGTTCCGCCTCAAACGGATCGTCAGGAACTTTCTCTTGTATCCGCTGCAATCCACACAAAATATGACAAAATTGTGAAAAATTATGCTCACTTAGGGATTGAAGAAGTAGCCTACAAGTTGCAAAAAGAACAACATAGCACAGGTTAACACTAAAACACAAAGTTCTTTTACTGATGAAAGCTGATGTTGAATTAAAGAGATTTTTTACAGCCACTTAAAAAGAAATATTTCAACTTCAAACACATATAAAAATTGTAGAAGTGATTATAATGTAACATAGACAAATTATTAAGTCATGAAAGCCAACAAGATAAAAAAACATTATGACAGCTTCAGTAAAGAAGTTATTTACCTTCAATTCCTTCATAATTCCTTTGATGGAGTTCCTGGTTGTCGGAAGGAACACTGGAACAGGGATTGGTATGGGGAAGGGTGTTGGAACTGGGAAAGGCATGCTGTACATGGCCATTGGGCACGGAATAAAAATAGGAACTGGAATTGGAATGACTGCTTTACCAATATAGTCTGAAACAAACACCACTGAATCAACTTTAAGTATGGAAAAGACCCAAAGCGTGGTATCAGAGAATAATACACCACTGACAATTATTTTGCATTAGTAATTTGGTATGTTTGTTCTCAGTATGGTATAGCCTACAAAACATAAAAAATGCATTCAACTTTCAATTCAAAATCAAACAAGTTATGTTTTTCAACATATCTAGTTTCAAAGTTCAATACTAGGATATTCATAGGAATCAGAAAGAAAACGAAAATCCCATATTGTCCCGCCCCAATCTAAAAGTACAATACTGACAATCTCTTTTAAACCCAAAATAATTAAGGTATTTGCATGATATAAATTAAAAATTAATTAAATAATTTTACTGAAATAATATCGACAGTCATCTGTTACTTACCGTCAGTCTGGACGTGGACTGAGTTAGCGTGTGGACGACAAGAGACACTCTTGGTGCAGACAACGGGTTGTGTCTGTGTGAACTTGTTACGGACCGTGGGTGGCTCACATAGTCTGGCCACCAGGTTCAGCTTACCACTAGCCTGGTAACATACAGTCGCTTTACTGTCTTAGAAAATATTGGGAGGGAGTAAATTCTTAAAGAATTTTACAAGCCGTGAATTAAAATTTTGTTTGGTTGGCGTTTTGGACTAATTAATTTAGTACCTATACTTGATGTTGTTATTTCTCATTAAATTTTAGAAAAATATTTTACAATGTATTTACAATCAAACAGTAATAAATAGTTAACACTTACTTTCGCTGAAGAGGATGCTGATATTGGTTGGCCGTTAGCGAGCGAAGTTACAGACGAGATCACTGGACTGGTCACACCTTAACAGTAACAATCACCTTCAAGTTATGTAAATAGTCTATGTCGAATGTAAACCAAATACATAAACTTCTAAGAAACGACAGTACTCAAAGTACCAAGTATGTTTGTTGATGCAGAGGGTGAGCGATCAACATGCGTGGAAGTGAAAACAGGTATGCCTCAGGGCTCGATTTTGGGTCCATTATTGTTCTTTTATCAATAAACGACTTACCAGCTAATGTATCACTTTCCTCAACAACTATGTTTGCTAATGATACATCTTTTCTTAGCGTACGTGTGAATACAAATGATCTTCCTATCATTTCTGAAAGAACATTAACTGAGGCTAAGCAATGGTTTTGTACAAACGGTCTTGTTATAAATGAAAATAAAACACAGCATTTAATCTGTCGAACAAAAAATAGACCTGACATTAATAATGAAACTAGTAATCTAAAAATTCTTGGGATTGTCATAGATTGTAATTTGACATGGTTACCACATATTGAATTTGTTTGTTCAAAACTATCTAGAGTTGTGTATCTACTTAAGAGTTTGAGTAACAATATACCTTCTTGTTTTTTGCGTCATGCATATTTAGCATTTTTTCATTCAGTCTTGAGCTATGGCAATATGCTGTGGGAAGGAAGTTGTCATGTACATGAAATTTTACTCATTCAAAAAAAGGCTGTGAGGATTATTACCCTAATCAGATAGGCTAGCTAATTGCAAACCGCTATTTACATGCACAGGTATTTTAACTGTTATTAATGTTTTTAAATTTTAGAAAAAGGAGGATAGCAGCTAGCTTACCTTGAAAGTGTGGGTAGACTATATAGAACAAGTAGAAAACAATTTGCACACCAACAAACAACAACAACAAACAAGTGTGCAAATTGTTTTCTACTTGTTCTATGGCCTACCCACACTTTCAAGGTAAGCTAGCTGCTATCCTCCTTTTTCTAAAATTTAAAATCCTGGCCTAGAGCCTTTCCTTAAACAAAACTAACCTTTTATTAATGTTTATATATTTTATTGTCTTGTTAATATAAAGAAAAATGAAAATAGTTGTAAGTCTGGAAAATTTTATTTAGATCCTCAGAAATAAATTAGAATATTATAGCATGCCATGTTGTCTATTGTCGACTACAATGTAGCCAAAACTAGAATGTAGTTATTTTTTGATGAAATCAATCACAATATTGTATTGTTTAAAAATGGAATAAATTACTATTCATTGACTATAAACAATCATATTGAATTATTGTCTCAAATGGAGGACTAGTTAGGTTATTCATAAGTTAATGCACATAATGATACATGTAATATCTACAGTTCTTTTTAGGGATGGGCGGGTCCCGAAATTTCAGGGATAAATATATCTGATTTTCGGGACGGGATTACATTTAATTAGGAAATGTTTCGGGACGGGATTAGATCCGATCGTCGGCGATTTTGCCCCTTCGCAAGAGATGTTCACGATAGTTCTGCGAACGCAGGAGGCAAAGTCATTTTGACGATCACGCCGTGACTGCAGAGTTATACCAACGAACCCGCCGTGACCGTGAGTCATTTCGACCATGAGTCACAAGTTTCTATACCTGTAAATGTTTACCCATTTTTGTTTTGTTTTATAGATCAGTGCCACAAATGGTAAAAATTGATTCTGTTTGTTTTGTTTGGTAACTGCAATACTCGAGACTTTTTGGAAAAAATCCTGTTCTGTCCTGAAAATTGGTAAGGAAATAAAAATCCCGTCCCGAACGAAAAACTCAATCCCGTCCATCCCTAGTTCTTTTACTATAAATGTACTATAGAACCAACAACACTGGTTTTATCTCTGTTACTACAGCCACGTCAAAGCTATGCTTACTAGTGATGGGTAATGGTTGGTACATATGCAGTTGGTGAGTTGAGTGTCCTCAGTTTACAAATATCCTGAACTAAACAGAAAATTTAGTGACAGTAGTATCAAAGTAAAAGTTAATATAATTACCTGAGTCACTTTTCGGTATGACCCTTTTGGGAGCACCTAAAACAAAAAAGGACTAAAATTAAAAATTTTTACAATGCCATAATTTTACACAATACATTTACATTTCAGACATCATTAAAATACAATTATGAAAATAATATATAAATGCCACTCTGAAATAGGTAAGTCACTGATAGAGATTGAGCCTACAAAGGATTTCAGCTTATTTAGGTTAATTAACATAATAAAGCTCCAACAATACTTTCTGTGAAACCTAAGTATATACTTTTGTCATAATTTATTTATAAGTATCTTTTAATTTTGTAAAATTACAACTGTTGAGTTTTGTTTAGCTGAAAGTTTACTTAAATTTTTGTTTCTCTGTACTTTTTTGGGAATAAAGTACATTTTGTTTCAATTTGATTTAGAAGAGCTCGTCTCAAAATATAAACAAAAACAGTTTAATAGACACTGCCTTTCTTCTCATTACGTTAAGACAAAACCTTTGGGTTTGGATAAGACAACACTAAATAAACAGGTCATAATACTCCTCAGGCGTGACGTCATCATAGACGACGACAATGACGGTTATTTTTTAGTTATATTTTTGTTTTATAAGAAAATATTAAACAAGCAGCTGATCACAAAAGGCAAACAACACATCATTGCCGTCGCATACAATTGACATCATGCCTGAGAAGCATTACAGCCTGTTATTTAGTGTTGCCTTGTTTAAAGTAAACATTTAATTTTGACAGTTTCAGTAGACCTTTGAATATTTTAATAGTAACAGCTGGTTCATTAAAAATAGTGTAAAATTATGCATATGGTCGTAAAGTAAACAAAATTGCTGAGTGAACTTTAAAGACATCTGGGGCAGAGCCCCAAGGAAATTTACCTCGTTTCTCTTTTGAGGGCTCACCCTCAGACCAATACCTTTTAACATGGGATGGGAATTTAAAGGCCACTGGGGCAGAGCCCCGAGGGAATTTACCACGTTTCTCTTTTGATGGCTCATCTACAGACCAAGACCTTTCTTTAGACACCCCTACCTAGTTTCTACGCCCAGCCGTTCTCTCAAAATAGCTGTCACAAAGAAAAACAGTTTCAAATTAATATATAGCTACCTCCTGGGAAAATTCCTCGGGCATAGACGAAAAAAGCTATTTAATTTATCGTGGAACATTAATCTGGATTATCTAGAAACACAAGCTGATTAACAAGGGTCTACTGTTCAACAATCAACACAATCCTCACCAGTAGGTATGGGAGCGCCTTCGTTGCCCTGCAGTGTGATAGGAGTCTTGCTGTACTGTTGTTGGAAGTTCATGACGCAAGGGTAAGTGCAGAAGTTTCTAATAGTGGCGTCGCTCATGGTGAGATGATACTGAGCCTGTGCTACGGAGTTGCACATGTCACACTTGATCCTGCAATAGATCAACAATAACAACTTTTGGTGTTTGGGACAGTTGTTGAAGTTGTATCAGCCATTGAATAGTAGTTTGCTCTATTGCATTATTGAAACACATACAAAGGCATTTTCCTCAGTTTAAGACTAGTTGTTTGAAGACCAACAATATTAACAAACAATTAAGAATCAAAGTTCCAGAAAAATTATCCAGAGACAAAAAGTTTGAGGAACAAGTCAACTCAGATTATCAATTTTTTTTGGTTGCATATTTTAAGCTGAATATGAATCCAAGGTAAGAGTAAAATGGAGTTATTATGATCTTATAGATTTGTTTCTAACTAAAATCAGCTGGTGCGTTAATCAGGATCATTTGTTAGGATTAATTTATCATCGAAAAAGGTTCTACCCGGCAGCCTCAATTTCAATTCAAGATGGCGGATTATATGGATTGAAATATAAAAACTTTCAACGTTCTACAACTAATTTGTTTCTAAAGTGTACTTTTTGTGCTCTTGTGATGGGGGGAAATTAATCTTTAACTAACTAATTTTTAATTAATTTAGAAGTTAAAATCACATGTTAAAAAGACTAATTTATGGATTTAAAAAATTAATTTGTAAATACAGTTCCGAAGTTTCAGTTCATCTAGTACATAGTTTGCATCCTTGTTAATATTTTACAGTTTATTTCAAACTCAATAAACACTTTAATAGGACCATGTTTACGTGGGAAACCTCTTGAGAACCATAAAGAACCATAAATGCAATGTGTGGTGGTGCAATTGTGTACCTCTTGGATGACACAGCGTTGATCGACACCTGATACAACGTCAGACAGTTGAGTGAACACATCATGAGCACCTGTCCGTTGCTCTGCACCCTCTTGATCATGTCAAAATTGTACTTCTTAACCTGTAAACAAAATTAAATGTATCAAAAATACTACACAACTTACTTTCAAATGAAAGTTATACAAGTGCTTGCTATGTAGGATGATATCCTGTACGAAATATGAACAACCTTCTTCAAGCACTGTCACAAGTTCTTTCCATCAGATAATTTTCCATCTAAATAAATGCTTGAACTATTTTCTGATTGTGTTTAATGTGCCAGAAAATACAAAAATATGTCAAATAGAAATAACACTTGTCATAAATATATTTACACTTGTACTACCTATTGGGTCTGATGATGATTGGAGTGCCCAATCTAAATCGATTCCCACCTACCACCTTTTATATGTATTTACTTACTGTCTTGTGATTTGTAAGTGAACATTGTAAGTGAAAATATATTATCATAACATAAGTGTTAATTGACGTATTTTTGTGCTTTCAGGTAAATTAATAACATGTACGATGCTGATCAATGAGTTATTTGTTTAATGTGGTGCGTTAACAGGAAACATAATTAAATATATTTTACTATAAACTGCAAACTGCAATTGTTAATTTGTTACCACTACAACCGTTTCAGAGGAGATGAAGGGTCAAAGAGTAACCAAGTTAGCAGCTTATAGAAAAAAATCGTTAAACAAAATATAATCAAGTTCAGATTCAAAAGTAAAAAATTTACTTTACCTTACACCAGTTACAAGGAACGATCTTTCGTTTAGCTAGTATGTAAACGTTCATGCACGTCTTGCAGCAGAAGTTGTGTGCAACGCCTTCATAAAATATGTTGAACTTCTCTCCCACAGCTTCCTTGTCAAAGTACTTCTTGCACATATCACACCTATCTGAAACATAACGGCTTACTTACATCGCCAGAACAAATAGCAAGTGCAATACATTTGACCAACTAGGCCTAAATTACACACCAATAATATGAGGGCTGTCCAGAAAGTAAATTATTTGTTTACACCTCTGTTTACGCAAGAAGGGGCGAGAGAAAAGGTAAAGAGGAGACGGGCAAGCATGTCTATCTTGATGTCTGAGAGCTACGACACTCCAGTTGTAGCCTACTAGAGAGCGTTTCGTGTCGCAAAGTTACAGTAGCAGTATGAATGTCAGCCATAATTGTTTAGCATTCAATTATTGACTGCAAAAACCTACAAGCCAATGCCAATTTATTGATAACTTTGTAAAATACATTGAGAAACATCACTGAAGGTGGAGTGAATCATTCATTAAAGAAAAAAAATGTGGTAAACATGTTTGCTGGGATTGTCCAAGTGGCTGAGTAGTTAGTGCCTGCAGTTAGGTCAGTCCATCACGATAAGTAAGCAAAAAAATCGTCCGCAGTATTCTATTAAATAACACTGGTAAAAGAGAGGTAATTAGTCCTCAGAACCAACTAAAAATACCAACTCACCGACAGACAGTTGGTTGGCGAACTTGTAAGCAGTAAAGCAGATGTCACTGCACAGTTTGTTGACCTTGTTGTCGTAGCAGACTTCGATCTCCACCAGTTTCTCCACGTTGCAGACGGCACACGGACACATCTGCGGAGGAGGATTCTGGTTGCTACTCATCTGCTCATACTTCTCCATACAGGCTGGCGTGCAGAAGTCCTATAGACAAAGTATATTGAGTTTGATCTACAACTCAATCTACAGGCTACAACTTCCGGCCGGTCACGCATCTGTCTAGTGTCCCCGAGTACTCTGTCTTTTTCATTGTTAAATGTTCGTCTATCAATGTGTGTTCTATGTACTTATTTATTAAATGATGACCTTCATAAACAGATATGAATAATGACACCTTGTACGGCCTGAAGATGTTCCCTGTGAACCGAAACTATAGTTGCCACAAGTAGCAATTTGGATTACTGAATGCAGGTATTTAAACCATTATAAATATTCAAACGTAATCCGGAGGCTAACAACTCTTGAAAATGAAACGAAACCATATCCTCTCCCATTGCAAATGCAAACCCAAGTATGCATTTTATACTTATATGCCAACCCCGTACAAAAAACGGGTACTCTGCTAGTACTGTATAAAGTTCATTAACATAAGTTATAAATTTACCTTTCTTTTAATGACTGCTAAGTCATTGTTTAAAACCGTCAAAGGCCAGGAGGAAAGATTTGATTAACTACAAAAAATTACTGATTTTAAAGGATTTAAAATTTTTGTGGGTTGTGTGAAGGGAGTAAAGCAAAAACTAATAGGACTTTACAATGGGATGAGCATTTTACTTGCAGCCTCCAAAAACAATGACCTGTTTGGAGCCCCCACAACTGACCTTGAACGTGCCCTTGTCTCCGACGGGGGCCAGGAACCCCTCGGCCCCGCTGGAGATGTCCTTCTGACAGAAACTGCAGACCTTCAAACCCTTCTTGAACTCTTCCAGACAAGTGGAACAACAGAACTGCTTCACTTCATAGCCGAACCTCACACAATACTTTCCCAAACTCGACTGTTGCACGTTCCCCTTACAGTTGGCACAATGTGAGCCCAGTTCAGTTTGATACTTGCCTGGAATGGAACATTTGTATAGTGCGATGCTATAGGTATACAAACAGTATTGCTACCAGGCATGACTCATTAGTATGTGAACAATTTTAACTTATATTTTGATTATGAAATAATGAATTTAATCATGACTAGCACTAATAGGTAAATAGCCAGGGCAGCTAAGGGAAAAACAAGGGGTGGTTGACTGATATTTGAGAAAAAACTACTAACTATAGCAGGAGCCAGAAGGCTATCCTGCCTGGAAAAGTGAATGTCCTCCATGGAAGGTATATCTTGTAGGCTATTAGTACTCATTTTATATCCAAAACAATATAAAACTCACCTAAACACTCCTCACTGCAGAAATCCATAGTCTCCCAGGAAAGGGTTCTTTCATCGTCTCCGTTAACAACGTTGGTACACTTGGCGCACTTGCGTACAAACCCAGTCCTGTCCATGGGCTGGATGTCAGCTGATTTGAGTTGTGACATGACAGTTGACACAGGCATGATCTCTCCGCAATCTGCTGTCTTGGAAGGTCCATCACGGAAAGTAACCACACAATCGTTGTTACAAAAGTACTTCTTCTTATCACCAAATGAGGGTATGCCGACTGGGTTCTCCACGACCTAAGAAATCATGTAAGTTAGAAAAAAATTCAATCAGGTTGCTACTAGTATATGCATTAACCCGGGAGAGGTCGCATAGCTGCCGAAATGACAGAGTTGGTACTTTTTAGCGTAAAGATTGTATTTATTTGGAGTTGATGGTGACGACCACCACAGTGCTTAACACTGCTTTTAAGGAATACCTTGAGCTTCTTCTCGTCATCTAAACCCCCTCACTTCAATCCAGGGGTAGCGTTAATATATTAGTGATCAATTCCACCTGGTGTTTATGAAATACTGGCTAAAAATATTGAATAGCCTACTAATAAATAAAAAAATGACTTTACCTTTTTACAAGTAAAACATGATTTAGGACCATCGTTGGGAGTTCCTTCTGTAGACTGACTAGCAGAAGACGGACGATCCGACTTGTTGAAATTAACAACACTAATAGGCCTACTAGAGTCTTCATTTGTCTCTTTATCAAGCTGCGACAATACCTGACACAAAAAATATAAGTGGATGGTGACCAAGAAATATACAAACTATATTACAAGGTAAATACTTAACTAAAACCTTGTACTAATAGAAATATAGAAATACTTGTCAAGATGTGACAATTGTCAATACACTGTATTTTTGTGTTTCAATGACAATAAATATTCTTGATTCTTAAAACGACACGTCATTTACCAAATTTGTTTTGAAACACAGGATAAATTTCATGGATCTTGAGCAAAAGACTACTACGAATGTTCTAGATCAACTTCAAAGTGCAGACTGTTTGATATAACATGATGAAAACAGGGTCTCCATACAATCTTAATGATCAAATTCACGGTTATTTTGGTTTGCATATTTTTTCAATATTGATAAGGGTGGAATCAACTTTTTCTTCATATCTAGAAGTTTTGGATTGATTCCTATTTTTAAGATTTTGCTACACAACTCATTGTTTATTCCAAGCATACAGAGTTGGCAAAACCCACTTAGGTCTTTTCACAGTTAAGTGGATATATAATTTAACTAAACTAAAAATTTCATGAAATAGTGGTCAACCTTTCCAAAGAGAGACTTTTAGTTGTAAATAAATTGGGGATTTTATACTAAAGTATTAAGTTGTAATGGGCAAAATTCATTAGGGAATTCGTTTCCATTTTTTTTAGGCCGCAAAGGCTTGAGCGCGCTTGACAACAATGTCAAACATGTCCACTACAAGTCAAGTCTCTTAGTTCGTGACTTGGCCGCGGCGACCTCGGGGCGCTGACGTAGCAGTAGTGGGGATTAGCTGAGACCGCCGGACAGTGGACATTTCTTGGGACAATCGATGGCGAGCGCTTGTTCGCCAAACATCCCCTCTTAAGACTCTTAGGACCTGCGGCGAGCATACCTGCGGTCGTGGATGCGACTCGCAACGAGCGAGATTAAAAACAATAATAAAAATCGAGATAAGTAGCGACAGACGTAAGTACTGCAGTATATCCTTACATTATTAGTCTTATTTTCCCATTCACTTTGGCAAGTAAAAGTTAATTTTCTTTACGATCATCTTAGTTGTAAGAGATTAGCGTAGGCCTATTGTATTTCTCAGGCCGGCACTGCGAGTGCAGTGCCGCTGTAGCCTATACTTTTTAGTTTATTTTAAGTGGTTTTTATTTTATTTTATCTAAAAGTATTTTATTTAGTTATTTCGAAGCCAAGAAGTTCATTGGCACATTAGCACTGACTCATTTCATTTTATTAATTTATTATTGCGTGTGACGACATTTTATTTCACTACGAGAATATTATTTTTAGTTTTTATTTGAGAAGGAATACCTTTTGTTAGGCCTAGAAGCTGGTCACGTATTTTAGTTCACCTAGAAGCATCGTATTTAGTGCCGATATATTCCTAGTCCCGTGCGTCGTTGTGCTGAAATACAACCATAGTATACTCATGCGTGTAGGACGACGAAGGTACCATCTATGAAGACCGTCACGAAGCAGTTAGCGAGCGACGGAGACTGTTAGCGAGAACCCTGGACTACTCGAGCTGTCCGAGCAAATCGGAGGTAAGTTTAGGATAGATTGACCCTACCCGACATAAACACCTCACAAAGTTCAAGTAATAACGTTCAAATAATCTAAACTTAAGTAAAGAAAAGTAAACCTCCTTTTTAACAAGCCTTTTAAAAAGTGCCTGAAGCATTTAAGGGGAGATATAATTATGTAGTATGCTTTAAAGTATATTTAACCTTAATAATTTATTAGATTTTTTAAATAGGTACAATCATTGACTATAAACAGCATTCAAACTATTCACTATAAACTATACCTTTGATTATTATACATAGAATTCACACTATTCACTACACACTATTATGTGTATAGTCAATGGTACATTTTATCGTATAGGCCTAGTATGATAATTTTACTGACATTATCTAATACCTACATAATAATAGAACTACCTACAATAACTGCCAAATAGAAATTGCAAAATTTAATTTGAATTTTTTTTTGTTATTTAGAGACTTAGAGTTAATTTAGTTTCATGTTGCTAGACATCGTATTTCATTCCAGAGGAAGTTGTTATAGTAAAAATCAATCTAAGTCATAGATTTTTAGATCTTTTAGATTTCGATAGATTTTTACTATGACGACCTCCACTGGAATTAAATTTGATGTCCTTCAAAGCCTGATGAAGTAATAGAAATGAAACTGCAGTAGCCTATAGGCTTTTGAATACTAGGGATCACTTCGAAAGTAGGATAAGGTATTTAAACTATAATTTATTATTAATTTAGTTCTTACCTTTATTTGAGATTCCGCAATTTTCGCTGCATTTCTTTTAGGGGTTCGTTTTACAGCTTTTTCCTTAGACTTCAACTCTTGAAAGTCAATATCACTATCACTATCACTATCTGAGGAACTTTTTTTCCTGTGTCTAGATCCAGATGGTTTGGCAGCTTTGGTTGGATGGGGATGTACTTTGTTCATCACATCGTTTGTAGTAGTTTCTGCTACCTTTGTAACATCTCTTAACTCTGTAATGTCTCTATCATCTTCTATCATAACAACATCTTCTTCTGTATTACCATTTCCGCCACTTTCACTTTTATCATTTTGATTTCCCGATTCAGGTTCGGTAGGTGGAGTGGTTTTTAGGCCTTTGGCATTAGCAGTATTTTGTACACTTAAGCCAGTTTCACTTACTGCAGTCTTGTTTTCAGCATCATCAGTAGTTTTCCCACTAGCGGTTTCATTTTTTTCCTCGGAATCCAAAATTATCTCGTCAACATCCATTGGCTCATCGACTGGTTTTGATTGATCATTTTCCTCTTTATTTTCAACACTCTCTGAAAGCTCCATGGTTACTTCCGGTTGGGTTTCTTTAACATCAGCTTCATTTGCATCTGCTGGTGCATCTGATTTTTCTGATTTATCCTCTTTCTCATTAGTTTCCGATGTATCCATAGCTACATCTGATGTTTGAGCAAACGGATCTTCTCCTGCAGGTTCCTCAAATGAATCTTCTGGTCGAGAATTCTCTTGCTCTACATGTAAAAATTTGGTCCCATCTAAACTATCATTTTTATTCACATTATCACTAATATGACAAGTGTTTGTAGCCTCTTTTGATTCAGCATCCATGGTCAAATTTTCATGCTCTACGCTTTTATTTGTGGTTTCAATTTCATCAGAAGTGGAAATGGAGTTTTCTTTGGCTTTGTCATTTTTTTCTTTTTCAACTTCTTCAATATTACTAGAAGTCACATCAGTATCGGCTTCAGATGTTTCCCCTTCTTTAAAATTTGAATCTGTTAATTCAATAGGATCTACAGTTTTTTCTTCATTTTTGCTAGTACAACCATTTGCTTCACTTCTTTCTTTTTCATCACAACTGACTGCATCTTGTATTTCTGCATTTCCCAAGTTTTCATTGCTACTATCGGGTACTTGGTCCGTTGTTACATTTGAACTTTCCGTATTTGAAAGATTCTCATGTTCAGTTGCCTTTTTGTAGTTATCGTCCGTTGAGTCCACATTACATGTAGGGTTGACAGGTTTACTAGCATCAGTTACAGTGCTGCTACTTTCATTTTCTTCAGTATCTTTCAAAAGCTCGTCTTCGTCAACATCACCTTCAAAATTCTTGTTCGACTCTGCTTCATTCAATTCTACATCTTCAACACTAGTTAAATTATCATTACTGCTTGCAACAACTTCATCATTACTGTTATTTTCAGTTTGTGGTTTATCGACTTTTGGTGACTTTTCTTCAAAAACTGCTTCGTCCTCAACACTAGCTGAATTTTCATTACTGCTTGCAACAGCTTCATCATTACTGTTATTTTCAATTTCTGGTTTATCATCTATAGGTGACTTTTCATTAACAACTGCTTTGTCCTCAACACTAGCTGAATTTTCATTACTGCTTGCAACAGCTTCTTCATTACTGTTATTTTCAATTTCTGGTTTATCAACTATAGGTGATTTTTCATTAACAACTGCTTCGTCCTCAACACTAGCTGAATTTTCATTACTGCTTGCAACAGCTTCATTATTACTGTTATTTTCAGTTTCTGATTTATAGACTTTTGGTGACTTATCTTCAACAACAGCTGAGTCCATTTTTATATAATTATTATTTCTTTGTCTTGAAATTTTACTGATTACTGCAGGTGAGCGTGAGTGAATTCATAACTGATCCTTAAACAAACAATGAATTGTAACTTAAAACAAATTATTTAATTAGAGCACATTAAATATATATTCAAAATGTATTCAGCTTTTTCTAGGACTACTACCTACATTTTTTAGTATTAAGTTTTGATTTTAGAGGATGTTCCATACTATCTAGGCCTACGGAATATTAGCAAATTTCCCATGGCATAGGGAATAAGCTGTATCCAGTGTGGAAGGCTCGTGACATTTCAACCAGAACCAAGTTGAAGATATTTAGTAGCAACGTCAAGTCTGTGTTGCTATATGGGTGTGAGACTTGGAAGGTATCTTCATCTTTGACACAAAAGCTCCAAGTTTTCATCAATAGATGTTTGAGAAAAATACTGAAGATCTACTGGCCGGAGGTTATTTCAAACAGAGAGCTGTGGAAAGCTACAGATGAAGAACCTGTAGAGATACAGATTAAAAAACGCAAGTGGCGATGGATTGGACACACTCTTCGTAAAGATCCAGATGCTGTAGAGAGGCAGGCCTTGAGCTGGAATCCCCAGGGGCATAGACGAAGAGGAAGGCCTCGAATGACCTGGAGATGAACTATAGAAGAAGAAATAAGAGATGCAGGGAAAAACTGGAGGGAAGTGAGAGCCTTGGCTGCCAACCGAGTCCGATGGCGTTGTTTCGTGGAGGCCCTATGCTCCGTGCAGGAGTGAAAAGAGATAAGTCAAGTCATAGGGAATAAGGTATTACCGTAAGTCTTTGAGTAAGACCGACCCAGGACGAATTTTATATTTTTGTTTAGATGTCCTCAGAGACCATAACACCATCTGTTCAATTTCACATAAATAAGTATGTCCGATAGGACGATAACTTGAGCAAAAATGATCCAATTTTGATGACAATTGGTACAAGCATATAAACCTACGTTTATTCAAAAGAGTTCCCGAACCAGCATGATTGGACAATTGGAACTGGGTTTATTTGGGAGGGAGGGGGTTTATGGGGTAAACATTATGTTTTCCTGGTTTTTACCCTCAAAACAAAAAAAGTTAGCAAATTCGTTACTAAACCATTTTGTAGAGCTTAAAAAACAAATAATTTGATAAGTCAAGTCAATTATTTATTTTCACAAAACGTTCACAGATCCAGCATAGCTGGGAAACAGGTGAAATGGTCATATAATTAAAATAGGCCTACATAAAACTATAACTAAAAAATATGCTAAGAAATCAAATAAATACATCATTTAAAAAATCATTTACTATAAATAAATGCTGCAATTTATTTTTCAAATGATTCTAGTGATTTAATATTTTCAGGCAGTTTATTATATATTTTTCCCCTAGATATTGTGGAAGGGTTTCAAGTGAGGTAAGTCTGTGAATGGGCAGTTGTAAATCGTTTCTGTGTCTTGTTAAATAATTATGACTATGGTTTTCATTCATAAAAGATTCAAGGTTTTTTTATCAAGATTAATGTTTGCAGGATTAATAAACTGAAGCGTTATTAGGCCTATATGCCTAACGGTTGAGGAGAAGATTCAAAAATAGTAATCTTTATCACTAGGAGGGAAAGTGGCTCTTTTGGTACACAATTTGGAAATTCCATTAAGTACGAAAAAGACACTTTCACTCCGTGTGATGTACAACTATTTTTATCGTAGTGGAAATAAGTTTCAAATCATTACAAAATATCACAACATAATTTGAGGTTATACAAAGTCATCATCAATGTTTACATTTCTGATGTTACGAACATAACTTAAAATATTGTGTGATTAAAATTACCCCTTCTATTTCAAGCTGGACCCTCTGTAAACACAGATATAAATCAGTGATTTATCTTTCAAACAGTTTTTGTTTAATATGGGGATAGTTTACCCCACCATTGAATGTCGTCGAATTTTTTTAAAGACATTTTAAACACATAACATAACATGGTAGACATTTAACGGGGTAAACAGTAGAATCGTTGACCAGTTCAATGACATGTGCCGGCCGGTCAACTTTTTAAATGTGTACCGTGTTTTATAGGCCTAAGCTTAATGTGTGTTAAATGCCTTTAGGAAAAATTTGACGACATTCAATGAATGGAATATTTTAACTTTCTGTTTTTATAATGACTAGGCTACTTAGCACAGTAGACTCCCTCTTATCTGGACTCCTCGGGATCAAGGCCAGTCCCCTGGAAAGAGGGAGTCCACTGTAGTCGAAACAAGTCAACGGAAGTTCCACAGAGGAATTAAGGACGTCAAGGTACGTAACCTGTTATAATTGATTACCAATTCCGGAAGGCTTCAACATGAATAATTTTGGTATCCTGGATCAAAAAATTAAGTATCAATGTAGGTATCAAAATCAGATTTGATGATAATGAATGTTCCCTTAAACAGAAAAGTACCCTGCGGGACCGTTTGGTGGGCAGAGGCAGACCTCTGTACATTCATTAACACGTTCACTGCTAATAATATATAGCCTAATTGGCTAAAAACATAAACAGAATCATGTACATCCTGAAGTGCTAATTTATTTTTAAAATAATAAATTGTAAATGAAAATGTAATATAAATTCTCTGCTGACACACTAATTACGCACTGGGTGTCATTAAATTTAAGTTAGCACTAAACATGGTAAAAGTGAATTGGAGGACACACCACATTTGACAACCCGCCGCTAACTTATCATTTTATTAGAGTTTATTGTTTGTTTTTTTTTAGTTTGAAAATTTATACAATCTTTTCCTACTTGTTGGTCGCTCATCCATGCACTATTCAAGTCCTTAATTAAGTTAAGTAACTTAAATGTAAATAAGATGCAATTTTTGTATGCCTGATAAGTTAGGCTAAGCTAATGGTAGGCCTATAGTTTTTTTTTTTTTTTTTTTTTTATGTGTGTTAAATGTGTTTTTTTTTTTACTGGGCTATGCTAGTATTGATTGTTTATACCAATTAATAATCACTATTTTTAACTATTACAATTACGAAACATACCTTTCAAGTTTATTTATTAACGGAAAACTCCATTTTACATAGGTACCGGTATGTCTACAAAGATGGCAAAACGTTACATTACAGGCTTATGTCATACATACATGAAGATAAAACAGACTAAAAATGACCTAATGAGAATGTATCAAACCTTTCTACGATCAACAACAAAATATGACAATTTAACAATCAACATGGGGAACAACTAGGCCTAGTTTAGTAATTAGCTAACAAAGTAAAGTAACAAGTAACAGTATAATAAATCTCTTAATGATTGACAACAAGAACAAGCAAAATCAACATAACTTGGTAGGCTACAAGAAAACAGTTAACTTAGGCCCGATTTCACCAAACTTTTAAACCGCCGTTAAGCCTTGCTCTAACTGCAGTTAGCTCTTAACTGACGAAATCGGATTTCACCACTCGCTGTTAGCGCTAGTTTAGACTAAACCGTCGTTAGATAATTAACTGCCCGATTTTGACCGGTTAACTTTTTTAATCTTTCGTTAAGTAAATATCAGCTGGCTTTAAGTTAAAAGTTTGTATGGAAAGGCGAAATGGTAGAAGAGAATACGGTACGAATTAGCTTTTGAAAGTAAGTGATGGTAATGAAGAGTAGCCTATGTTGTTCGCCTAACTAGGTGGATAAGAGAAAGGGTTAATGATTTTAATAACAAAGATTAAATTGATTTTATTATTAGATATGAACTATCAAAACGTTTAGCCTTTTTCTTTAGGAAATGAATACAAACCACTGTAGTGGTTTGTGTTTAGGCTATCCGACATAGTGCATTGCTTTAGGTTATCCCACAAGGCTTTTGGCGTGTATCTGCGATCAGCGACCGCATTGAACTGATTGGCGATCAAGAGCCGTACCGGTACTCTTTTATCGGGCTAAAAAGAGTGTCCCGGCTCTTCTACCAACATTATCAAATTTATTATTTTATTGTACGAAAAAATAGGCTCCCTTTCCTTCTCCCGGCTTTGGGTAACCCTAACCAACGTTCAAACAATTGTTTTCCGTTCGGTCAGACGTAAATAAACCAAAGTCTAAACCTAAATTGTCATTATTCTGCTAGTATTTTATAGAAAATAATTATTTTGGTGTTATCTACATTGTGTCTCGTTCTTGTGATTCTTTTGATCCCAGTTTTTTTTACTAGCCTACCTCAAATGTACCAAACTGGTTAGTGAACAAACAGAATATTGAACATCCTGTAAAAAATTGGATTAATGAGTCTTGACTCGACCCCAAAACTCAATCAATTTGTTCCTCGAATATGTTTGATCAACATATCTTTGCCTTTATTTACTTTATTTATTTGGTATTTAATTTATTTATTTTACGTTAATTGTTTTGGTATTTATTCTTGCTTTCTGTTGTTATTTTGCTAAGAATCTATTATATTCCTGTAAGCTTGCTGTCTCCAGTTTTGTTTTCACTACCTCATAAACACTGATTTATTTTCTAGGTTATGTTTACTTGCTCCCGTAACAGCCCGGTATTATGACAGGTCACTGCCACTGCCACCTGGATTTTACTCTAAACTCTCGTTTATAAAACCAGCGTTAGTTTTGACGCGTTTTCGTTGGTGAAACCAGTTTTCCTTAACTGTGGTTTAAATCATCGGTTAGTTTTAACCGAAGTTTAACTAAACCATCGTTAGCGAGAATTTGGTGAAATCGGGCCTTAAGAAGTTAACCTAACTAACCAAGCTTGCTGATAATTAAAAAATCTAATGAAGGTTTAAGTAGCCTACTAATCGAATTTAGTAAATTCCTCATATTTTCGGAACTAAAATGAAAAGCGTATAGAAACAGACATCAGGAGAAAGCTCTGAATCTGCTGAAAAAACGATACCTAACTCGATTAATTGGAAAATAAAGCTTTTGATTTTGATTTTGATCCAGTTCAATCCGATTCAGTCAGTCCCAGAGCCGTCGCCGTAAACACTTGTGTGAACCTGGCAATAACTTGGCAATAAGTAGTGCGCGCGCCACAAAAAATCTATTGCTGGCCGTTTTGCGGCAAAATACGTCCGCGATGCATATTACCGATGATGCCAACAGATAGAGGACACTTTAACGGACACGACAGTATCAACATTATGTACCTGGGGAGTAGTATAAGGGGGGTAAAATCGGCAAAAAGTAGTGCGCGCGCTACAAAAAATCTATTGCTGGCCGTATTGCGGCAAAATACGTCCGCGATGCATATTACCGATGATGCCAACAGATAGAGGACACTTTAACGGACACGACAGTATCAACATTATGTACCTGGGGAGTAGTATAAGGGGGGTAAAATCGGCAAAAAGTAGTGCGCGCGCTACAAAAAATCTATTGCTGGCCGTATTGCGGCAAAATACGTACGCGATGCATATTACCGATGATGCCAACAGATAGAGGACACTTTAACGGACACGACAGTATCAACATTATGTACCTGGGGAGTAGTATAAGGGGGGTAAAATCGGCAAAAAGTAGTGCGCGCGCTACAAAAAATCTATTGCTGGCCGTTTTGCGGCAAAATACGTCCGCGATGCATATTACCGATGATGCCAACAGATAGAGGACACTTTAACGGACACGACAGTATCAACATTATGTACCTGGGGAGTAGTATAAGGGGGGTAAAATCGGCAAAAAGTAGTGCGCGCGCTACAAAAAATCTATTGCTGGCCGTATTGCGGCAAAATACGTCCGCGATGCATATTACCGATGATGCCAACAGATAGAGGACACTTAAACGGACACGACAGTATCAACATTATGTACCTGGGGAGTAGTATAAGGGGGGTAAAATCGGCAAAAAGTAGTGCGCGCGCTACAAAAAATCTATTGCTGGCCATATTGCGGCAAAATACGTCCGCGATGCATATTACCGATGATGCCAACAGATAGAGGACACTTTAACGGACACGACAGTATTAACATTATGTACCTGGGGAGTAGTATAAGGGGGGTAAAATCGGCAAACAGTAGTGCGCGCGCTACAAAAAATCTATTGCTGGCCGGATTACGGCAAAATACGTCCGCGATGCATATTACCGATTATGCCAACAGATAGAGGACACTTTAACGGACACGACAGTATCAACATTATGTACCTGGGGAGTAGGTTAAGGGGGGTAAAATGAGCAATAAGTAGTGCGCGCACCACCAAAAATCTATTGCTGGCCGTATTACGGCAAAATACGTCCGCGATGCATATTACCGATTATGCCAACAGATAGAGGACACTTTAACGGACACGACAGTATCAATATTATGTACCTGGGGAGTAGTATAAGGGGGGTAAAATCGGCAAAAAGTAGTGCGCGCGCTACAAAAAATATATTGCTGGCCGTATTATTGCAAAATACGTCCGCGATGCATATTACCGATTATGCCAACAGATAGAGGACACTTTAACGGACACGACAGTATTAACATTATGTACCTGGGGAGTAGTATAAGGGGGGTAAAATCGGCAAACAGTAGTGCGCGCGCTACAAAAAATCTATTGCTGGCCGTATTACGGCAAAATACGTCCGCGATGCATATTACCGATTATGCCAACAGATAGAGGACACTTTAACGGACACGACAGTATCAACATTATGTACCTGGGGAGTAGGTTAAGGGGGGTAAAATGAGCAATAAGTAGTGCGCGCACCACCAAAAATCTATTGCTGGCCGTATTACGGCAAAATACGTCCGCGATGCATATTACCGATTATGCCAACAGATAGAGGACACTTTAACGGACACGACAGTATCAATATTATGTACCTGGGGAGTAGTATAAGGGGGGTAAAATCGGCAAAAAGTAGTGCGCGCGCTACAAAAAATCTATTGCTGGCCGTATTGCGGCAAAAGACGTCCGCGATGCATATTACCGATGATGCCAACAGATAGAGGACAGTTTAACGGACCCGACAGTATCAACTTATGTACCTGGGAAGTAGTATAAGGGGGGTAAAATCGGCAAAAAGTAGTGCGCGCGCTACAAAAAATCTATTGCTGGCCGTATTGCGGCAAAATACGTCCGCGATGCATATCACCGATGATGCCAACAGATAGAGGACACTTTAACGGACACGACAGTATCAACATTATGTACCTGGGGAGTAGTATAAGGGGGGTAAAATCGGCAAACAGTAGTGCGCGCGCTACAAAAAATCTATTGCTGGCCGTATTACGGCAAAATACGTCCGCGATACGGCCAGCAATAGAGTTTTTGTAGCGCGCGCATTAGGCCTACTGTTTGCCGATTTTACCCCCCTTATACTACTCCCCAGGTACATAATGTTGATACTGTTGTGTCCGTTAAAGTGTCCTCTATCTGTTGGCATCATCGGTAATATGCATCGCGGACGTATTTTGCCGCAATACGGCCAGCAATAGATTTTTTGTAGCGCGCGCACTACTTTTTGCCTATTTTACCCCCCTTATACTACTCCCCAGGTACATAATGTTGATACTGTCGTGTCCGTTAAAGTGTCCTCTATCTGTTGGCATAATCGGTAATATGCATCGCGGACGTATTTTGCCGTAATACGGCCAGCAATAGATTTTTTGTAGCGCGCGCACTACTTTTTGCCGATTTTACCCCCCTTATACTACTCCCCAGGTACATAATATTGATACTGTCGTGTCCGTTAAAGTGTCCTCTATCTGTTGGCATAATCGGTAATATGCATCGCGGACGTATTTTGCCGTAATACGGCCAGCAATAGATTTTTGGTGGTGCGCGCACTACTTATTGCTCATTTTACCCCCCTTAACCTACTCCCCAGGTACATAATGTTGATACTGTCGTGTCCGTTAAAGTGTCCTCTATCTGTTGGCATAATCGGTAATATGCATCGCGGACGTATTTTGCCGCAAAGCGGCCAGCAATAGATTTTTTCGGGCGCGCGCACTACTTATGGCTGGAGTTATTGCCAGGTTCACACCAATGCCGTAAACAATGTTTGTGAGTCACAAAAGCGACACATAACACTACAGCGGATGTGTTATGAGTCGCTTTTATGACACATAACACTCGGAGGGTTAAATGTCTAGCCTAAGCCTATCTGCTCCGTTAACACTGTGACAGAGCATTGAAGTAAAGTTCTCAACATGCTTAGGCTATATTCTGGGGAAAGATAATATACTATCGGTATTATATTATTGGCATATAATGATAACAAAAAGGCTAGGCCACTCAACTAGGCAAACAAGGAAAGAAAAAGCATAAAAAAACAAATCCTTAAGTTACCTTGTTAGAAGTTTTGTTTTTCAAGTAAGATCCATGTATACCTTAGCCTACTAGCATTAACATTTGGGGATTCTATAAGTTATAGGCTATAATTTGGAGCACAAAATACACGGATAAGCAAACGAAATTAAGGTTATAGAAGTTCACTGCATTAATATTAAACCAAGTAAGATGAAGCGGACCTAATAATATAACCACAATCTTTGCAGAAAACTATTGCCATTGCCACCGCCTCTCCCTTCCCTCTCACTCTCACTCTCTGTCTGTTTCAGTTCAGTTTCTTGACGAAACCTTACCGTCAGACCGCCACCGCCCACTACCGCGCCGTGCAGAACCACGGCCGTCTTTAACCACGGCCGCCTTTAACCACGGCCGTGCTTTAACTCCAGGCCACGGCCTTCGAACTGGCAACGTCGCAAGTGGTGTTGTAGTCGTAGTTAAACCGTAACAGCTGTTTTGTTTGGAAGCAGCTAATGGCATTTGTGTATTTACGAAAGATTAGATACTGGACTATGAAAAAATTGACTCCGCTTAAAAATGTACAGATATAGATTTTAATTTATATTGTTTCGGTTTTCAATTCTGTATGTTTTATATTTAATATTTTAATAAATTTATGTTCATAAATTTAAATCAATTAAGTGCGATTTAATGAGCTGATGTAACCTGTCTGCCATGTTATCTTATGGGACGTGTGGATATTTATAGGGATGCACTGTGGATGCGATGCTCCCTGGTGTGGATTAACGTCCGCACTAGTGAGTACTACGACTTTTCGCAGTACTATCCTGATAATTAGACCAATTCGTAAATTACAAGGAAAAAAATGTGGTTCGGATTCCACTATAAACTGTAGGTCCCTTAGTTGCCATTAGCTGTATGGGCTATTAATTAACAGCTGTGTCTAAGGAACATGTCGGCCTTAGTCACTAACAAGACTACAAGATCGCGCCACTCATCCTACACTCATCCTTCACTCATATTTGGGTTAAAATACGCACATAGTGGCGTCCCCATCTTAAATAATTGATAATTGATAATTGAATAATTGACGTCTGTTGTCACTGAACAACACCACTTGTGATGTTGCCAATTCTACCAGGCCGCGGCCTGTAGTTATAGGCGGCCGTGGCAGAACGCATCATACCATAGACAAAAAGAAATAAATCCGTGCATAAATGAAATGAAATTTATTTTTCCTTTAAGCATTGTACAAAATGCAATAGGCATCGTAAAAAATACAATTGTCAATATTAAACAATCATTATGCAAAACTTAACCTAAGAACAACCAAGCAAACACAGCACGCAAAATACATAGCCGAACTGTTCGTGGGTAATTGTTAGTTCTATCACTGTAGCCTGTAGCTGTCAAAACGTGTCGTATGTAGGTTAAATTTAAAATAATTACCTAACCAACCATCATCAACCTAACCAAACTTGCTGATGGTGAAAATTTCGAATGAAGGTTTACTAATAACAAAAATAGTTCTTTTCGTAAAGTGAAATAATAAATGTCTCAAAATCAACTATATAATTTTTTAATTATAAAATTAAACTATCATAACTTAACCAAACCAACCAAACTTGCTGATAATGAAAAAAAAATTCAAGTCAAAAAGTTGATGCCTCCGGTGGTTTACGAACCGGCTACCTCTGATTCATCAGCCAAGTGCGCTATCCACTACACCACCGGCTGTTCAATTTATCGTTGCGGTAAAGGTGTTCGCTCGAGCAGTGGTGGGCGGTGGTGGTCTGTCGGCAAGGGTTAATAGTTTCACGATTCACCAATCTTCAGCAGCAATCACCGCCACCACCATGTTATCATGGCGCGGTTTCGGAAATTCGGCTTTGGGTTTTAGTTTAGTAGACAAGAAAATGAAATAATAATACCTCGCCACAGCAAACCTGCCGACTAAGCGAATTTCCAATTTTTCTAAATTGATTTATCGCGCCACTCATCATACACTCATCTCCATTCATACTTGGCTTAAAATACCTACTTTGTATTTGTATGGTCGCCATTTCAAAGAAAAGTATAAATATAAAGTATAAGTATAAGTGTATCTTCAGTCGAATGAATTTTATTAACATTAGGTTTTATGTGTTTGTATACCTAGGCTTGCTAATACATGGAGGGTAAAAAAGTGTGTTTTTTTTGTAAAATATTAATTACTTAGTATATAAAATAAATAAATTTGATCAAAATATATCCATAAACAAGCAAACTACAATATTCTCCATAAAAATAATAACATGGGAATTTTAAAATTACAGGTTTTTTTTCTTTATCCATAACAAATAATTGTACAAAAACACTTTGATATACTAAATTATTTGTTTTTAAGCTCTTTAAAACATTCTGAAGAGAAATTGGGAAATCTTGTGTTTAGAGGGTCAAAAATTAGAAAAACCAATTTTTACTCCATAAAACCTCTTATAAAACCCAAAAACCCCGTTCCCATGGTCCGATCATACTGGTTCGTGAACTAATTCAAGTTCGGGTGGACCGATGCTTCTAGGTGTCAAGATTGCTTCGGCAAAAACCTCAAACAAACAAACCCAACAAGTTTATCCCGCCCCGCCTTAAACCTTCAAACCAAATTTCACCAAAATCGGACAAAAATTACTCAGGTTTTATAGGAGGTATTGAGAAATTTGAGAAAAGTATTGTTTTCGTCAAAATTTTTGAGTTTGAGTTTTGAGTGGATATACTGTATAGTGTATATATCTGTTTTGGGTCCCCCTGTACACAAAACGTGGTTTTCGAAGTGATGTCTGTGTGTTTGCGTGTGTGTGTGTGTGTGTGTGTGTGTGTGTGTGTGTGTGTATATGTTCCTACAGAGCTAAAGACTACACCTGTGGTCGGATTTCGTTAAAATTTGCTGTGTATAGGTTCCAACCCATGGTACACTGTATTATCCAGATGGGTTTTTCATCTTTTAAATTTTGATTTCTAATGTCGATATTCCCGTAAAATAACGGGAAAATCAGATATTCTCAAAAATGGCCCGAACGATTTTAATAAACATTTAGTATGTTCCGGCCCTTTAAATTCTCAACGAAATTGTGTGTAATTGTAAAATTACTGTTAAAAGGTTATTAAAAAGTAAATTATTTTATTTTCCCATAAAAACTCCATAATATAACGAAAAATAGGATTTAAAAAACCCCGGTTTTAATTTAACTTGGTATGTTATGGCCCTTAAATATTTTGAATGTTTTTTCATTTTTTTAAATTTGATTTTTAACTTGGATTTTTTCATAAAACAACGGAAAATCGGATTTTCTTGAAAATGGGAAAAAGTAGGTGTCAGAATGCGGATACCGTTTATTTTTCCGTTTTCGTAGTTTATAATGTCCAGTCTGAGTCCAAGTTAAATTTATTTTATTATTTAAATCCCATATAACGTACTTAATTGGTACAGCAGCTGTTAACTGTAACCATATTAATTCAAGGAATTAATGACACAGTTACAGCTGAAAGCTGTGAGTAGCTATTACAAGTAGACTTCTCATCCCATTGTAAATTTTGAAGCTCGTTTTTCGTGTCTAGTTAATGTACGCCACACTGGGCGCTAGTGTCGACGAAATTTTGTTTCTATTATTTTGGGGTTAATTTCTTGATTTGTGCTTTACTGTGTGGATAAATAACTAGGGGACAATTTATTGTTTATGATTATATCGTATTATTTGGTTAAACGAGGTTTTAAATGACTGAATTAACGGGAAACAAATTGTAAACAAAACACGACCTCTACATAAACCGTACAGAACTAACAATAAAATTGTCTTCCATTAGGATGAGAAATCTACTAAAGGAGTATGTTTTATCTATGCTAATACCTATGTTTGATCAATCCTTAAACATACTAAGGGAGTATGTTTAATCTATGATCAAACCTATGTTGTTTGTTTAATACGTATGTTTGATCTATGCTAATACTCATCAGAAGCAACAGTTACCTGGGTAAATGTTCCAAGAACTTTGTGCGCGCGCATGCGCCAACCGAGATGACTGTGGGTACAGAACGTCGAGTACAGCTGACTTGGTAACTTTGTTGGCAGAGGATACGCGTCCGGTAACCGGACGTGGATTAGACGTCCGGCAATTACTGTCATAACCTAACCTAACCAACCAAACTTGCTGATAATGAAAAAATCGAATTAAGGTTAAATTCTTTCTCTATTAGAAAATTATAAATGCCAAAAATTCTAATTAAAGATGTACAGTTAAGAATAAATGGTATTCAATGCAAAATCTTCGACAAAAAGTTAATGTCACCAATGGGACTCGAACCCTGGACCTCTTGCATATCAGCCGAGCATCTTATCCACTACACCACGACCACCGATGGTTGGTGATGGTATTGTTGTAGTAAAGGCGTTCCAGGTTCCCGCAACCCCATGACGTCATTGCCGTACGCCTTATCCACGCCCGGTTACCGGACGCGTATCCTCTATGAACTTTGTTTGTTATTGTTTTAAAATTTCAATTTTTGGCGGAGGACTTTGTGTTGTTGTGTTGTTGTATTGTGACTTGTTGCTTGTTCGCTTGTTGTCATGTTGTGTTGTGTGTGAAGTAGAAGTAGCTGACGGACGACGATTACTTAGACACTAGCACAAACAAGAGAAGAAGGGAAGCAAAGGGAAATTGTTAAGATTATATAACTTTCATATTGGTTTTTATTAGCTTTGTTTCATATTTTCCATGCTAAATGTTTATGGTTGTATTACAACATAATTGTTGCTATCAGGAAGTTATGGACTAGAGACAAGGTAGGCCAAGATCTACTAGACCTTATAGTTAGTTAACAACTTTAGGCCTAATCTTAAAATCAACAACTGTAAACTCAAAATCTTATTAAAATAGGTAAGAAACTTAATTGACAATAATTGTTTTTTGAAGATTAATTCACAGTGGTTGCCAACTACCCATGCCATAGTGAATGGTTCCTCTAATTTTCCAAATGACAAGTCATAAGTTAGGTAGGCCCAGGGCCGGATTTAGCATTTTGGCACCCCTAGGCCCAAATAGTTTTTCGCCCCCTAGGCCTAGTACAGTCACAGTTTCTTTCCTACAAATCTTTATTTTTTTAACTAGCCTATATCATGCCTATAACTTAGGCCTTTGTTAATTGCTTGAACACCACTCCTCATCAGAATTTTATCATTGCAAGTTTTTTGAAGAATTGTCTTGGTTAGCCTTAACAAATTCCCAACAACAACCCTACAGCCTACTCCCATATAATATAACTTAACCAATGTTGTAACAGAATTTATGGACAATATTGAAAAATAGTTACATTTTCTAACAGTTATTTCTTCCAATGAATTTCAAAATTATAATGCTTTATTGTCAAGAGTTTTTTTTTTGTTTTTTTATCATTTCGTAAAATATGTTAAGCTACGGCTACTTATTTTATTTTCAGATTAAAAAAAAAAAATTTTTCCTCGGCCGTGCGCCCTCTTGGAGCTTCCGCCCATAGGCCCGGAAGCCCGGGCTACATTGGGAAATCCGGCCCTGGTTAGGCCCTAAATATTAAAGTAACTATCTTTCGGGTAGCCTTACCCAGGTTTTGATTAGGACTTACTTTTTACTTTTATTCATGAAGCCTTCCGGAATTGGAAATGAATTATAACAGGTTACGAAGGCGCAATCAGGTAACAGGGCTACCTTGATGTCCACAATTCCTCAGTTGAACTTCCGTTGACTAGTTTCGACTACTAAGTAGTCATTATGAAAACTGAAGACTGGACTAGCAACTTAATGTACGCGTACCGTCCGCCGCGCAGTTAATTTGTGGCCACACGTGTGTTTGTAAATAATGTATCTATGTGTTTTTGTTTCTCGTGACGTATTTATAGACTTTATGACGACCTCTTCGGAGTGACATTTATGTTCCTTCATCGCCTGATGATGGCCCCACAGCTGGGCTGAAACCGGTTGCCGCTCATCGGTGACATTTGATCACATTGACGGATTAAAGGTATTTTAACCTCTAGATTAATTTAAATTTGTGATCGGGAGGCAAAAAACAACAGAAATTATATGTTTTGATCGTGACGTTGCTGCTTCAGCTGAATCTTTTGCTTGTCCGATGATGGCATTGTAATGCTTAAAGGTCTTAACCTTAAATTAAAACGCTGTTGGAAAAGGTAAAACTTATATTTTTTAATCAAACTATTTTATTTCAGAATGTTGACACAAGATCCAAATCCTCCACTACCTGTGGAATTCTGGAACATCCTTCACAACTCCATAAGTGCACTTTTAAATAATGGTACAAAGATTGTGCCACAACTGGATCAAATAATTCAGCCTTGTAAAAACCATCACGAGTATTATGTGCCTCCTAAACTCGGCCCTCCGGCGGAGTATGAAGCAAAACTACCTCACTACATTGGTAATTGTCTTTGTTTTTTGCAATTATAGACTGTAAAATGTTTTGAAATAAAAATGTTAAAGGGTAATTACAATTGTGCATTAGATCAGGATGGATTAGATTAGGTTCATATTCACAATCGTTTAATATCACATCACTTGCTCACTGATATCTTTGTTTTGTTTATTCCTTCAACCATTTTGATCTGTTTGATAAACATATCCACATATCCACTAGGTACCAAACTCGGAGGTTATGGATGGTGACATTATTTGTTTTATTGAAGCAACGTTTTTAAGATTATAGTGGTGAATGGTGATGCTGAAATACTGCCACAAGACAAAAGAGTTTTATAATGTCCCTTTCATTTTTAGCAAACAATCAGTTTAATGTCAATTCCATCCAAGAGTATAATTTTAACATGGTAACTTAAATATCTGTACGGTTGTTCATTTTAAAGAAATAACAGTAAACCCTACTGAATCCAGATCCCACTAATATTCCAGTTCCGGAAGTCTCAAGTTCAAAACCACCAATGGATTTTAAGTTACTGAACAGTCCTGAAGTACCTACCACTGTGTTTCTTTGTATTAAAAGTGTGCCGTGCACGTCACTTTTATATACTCTTATATACTTTTATATACTCAGCGCGCGAGCAATAACTTACTTACTGGCCAAAGCATATCAGCTGCCAACGGCAATAGAGGTAAGAACGACGAGCATACGAGAAATCTCTCTCGTTTGCCTTTGCTAGGACTGGATATCACCGACCCGAAAACCTTGCTGACAGCTCCAAATTAAACATAAGAAGTAATTGCATTAATTATCAGGGAATCCAAATTCAAATCATAAAATAGTAAGTTCAGTTAGGGGTTGCCGGGGAGGAATTAGCAGGTATTAGGATGTAGGTTTTCCAATTTAAAATGTGGGTCTTCTCCTTAAGAGAAGCTGAAATCAGCTTGTGGAAGCAAAGTCTAAATTCACATGGTTCTAAGTTGTTCAATGATTATGTGCTGTCAATTCGATTAATTCATTGCTAAATTACCTTTCTTCTATCAGTTTCCATTTTACACTGTTATTTCATCAATTAGTAATCTTGTAAATGCAATTCTTACATATTCAGGTAGTGGGTTAGTTAAAAGATTTACTTGTTATAAATTACTTAAATCACAGCTCATGAAAAGCTGGCTTAAGGTGTTAACGGCAATGGGCATGATCAACCTCAGGGTAACAACTTTCTTTTAAAATAGACAGTTAACACTGTTAACAGTCCTTCCTAATTTTCTCAACCTCATAGTTATTATTAATATCTATTTCCATGTCCCAATCCTCCGCATCCTTACCACTCTTCCATTAACTTATTCCTCAGACATGCTGAACCAATTCAATTAGTATCAAGCCAGTCACACAGATTCTTTACATAAATGTTACAAAAGTATTTAATCCAGATTTTCACTTAAATGGAGAACACTGAACCTAAATTAACGAATGTTTACTATAGTTTTGTTAACAATTACTATACATAAGTTTTTTAGGTTATTGTCATATGTAGTGCTTATTCAATTCATGTCATTTGCAGGATTTACAACATGGCTTCTGGCCCAGATTGCCCGAGCCACCACCTTAGAGTCATTGGAATCTCAACAAACTCAGCTGGTAGACTGGCAGATCTTGATCATAGAGTCGTTGGCTTACAGGAACCAACACATGTTTTCCATCATACTATCGGAATATTTGGTAGCAATCAAAGGTTAGTCACCCAAAGGTTAACAAAGGTTGATGTTAGATTGTAACAATACTCGGGTTTGGGCCTCTCCCTTTCAAAACTTAAAAAAAGCTGATGGCATAAATAGACACTAAATAGTCATATGGCTGTGTTAGTTGTATACGTTTAGATGACAAGCAGTTAAGTTTCGTACCTCAGACAACAAAACCTTTGTTGTGACTCGTAACAGAGAGTTAAACCATAACTTGGTTAGCGAGAGCTCAGATAACCGTGGCTCTACAGTAATAATAATATAAACTCTAAAGTTGCAGACCTATTTTTTAAATTTATTGGTTCCGGTTTGATACTTTTAACTCTTCATCACTTCTATCTTACAGACTTGGTGGAATCTCGAAGTAAAGAAGAAGTTCCATTTGAGTTTGTCTGGTTCCGCAAAGCTGGTGTTGATAGTCAACCTCCTCTTGACAAGTTCATCTTGCGCAGCAGACGTGCGTGTGCTGTTCTCCTTACTCATCTTCTCAAGGTCAAGTGTGATTTCATTATATTATCCTCTTGTGCAGATTTGTTAAAAAAATAGAACTAGATGTTTGGATGGATCTTAAAAATGTAATTCTTTGTGGGACACACAGGTCACTGTGACCCATTTGATGTTTTTTATTTTAGCGAATTTCCCTATCTATAGGTAGGTTTTTCCCTATAGGGAAGTAGCTATTACCGTAGGTCTCATGGTAAGACCTAGGCCTGGTACCGATGTACTTTTTCATTTCGTGTTAACATTTCATTCCCCGTGTTAACCTTATAAGTATTCATATTTTAAGGGAATTAATGAATTTAGTCAGCTGCTGTTTCAACAAAAAAAGTTGGTTCTATGATATGCAAAAGCATTAAAAAGTTATAAGATTTACCAACGGAGTGCAGTATTATTATTTTTATTGCATTGATGATAACAGCTTATTTGAACTATAAGCAGCTACAAAAAACTGTGATACACAATGAGTTATAAGATTTACCAACGGAGTGCAGTATTATTATTTTTATTGCATTGATGATAACAGCTTATTTGAACTATAAGCAGCTACAAAAAACTGTGATACACAATGAAAAATGTGACATACGTAATGTCAAAGTAGGATAGTTTACAGTTATGTTTATTAAAAACAAAATTAAAAACAATTTCATGAATAATTTGTGATTTTTCACAAATTTTTAAAAATTAGTTTTTCTATTGTTTAGGTGAAGTGGTAGAAAATAATGGCTATGGTAGATGTATAATATACTAGTATACCGTAAATTTAAAAAAGCAAATTTTTTCAAACTACGTCCTCCCCCATTGCAAACATAAAGCTGGAGTATTACTGTAATAAGCATTTTATACTACTCTAATGGGGTTTCCTCATTTTTTCCCTTAAAACAGGACATTTATCAATTTTTCTCCAAACGTTTTTAAAGACTTAAAAAAAAAACAAATAATTTAGGCTAGTATATCAAAGTCACCAAGGGTTTTTGTACGGTGATTTTTTAAGGAGAAAATTCAAAAAAATTTTAATTTAAAATTCTCATATGTTAAATATTACTAGAGGTCGTCCAGTGGTCGAAACTCGACCAAATTATATGCAATGTACAGACTTCTCTATTTCACACCACACTGTGAATAAAACATGTGATTGGAGTTTCTTCCATTTGTTTTTATTTTCTGTTTATATTTCGTTGTTATTTCGTCACCAGCATGGCAACCCATATGATCCATGTTAATTTATTCAAAATTTTAAATAAATTTTCTCTGCTTATTTTTGAGCCTATTTTAATTTATAAAGGCATTCTGCACATCTACAGGAAAATATCTTTCCAACAGTATGCGTAGATTTTCCCTGCGATGCACACGAGCTGAGAAAAAAGGTTTTAAAGAAACATGCTTGCCTATTAATATATAGATTATGGAGAATGTTGTAGCTGGCTTGTTTATAGATATATTTTGATCGAACTTGGGGGATTTATTTATTTCATACTAAGCTATTGATATTTTTTTTGAGCGAAGCTCTTATACGTCGACTCTTATGCATTTCGTAATACGCAAACTCCTCCTAGACGGCTGAATCAATCGTTTTCAAATTTTGCATGGTGATAAAGACCATATCGGTGAGTGCCAACATCTACATGGCGTTAAAAAAGTCTCTCAGGAATCCGCCCCACTGGGTCTCAAAGTTTCAATGTAATCCTTATGGAAGCAGTATTTGACACATAAACAAAGACATTTGATCAGCTGTTGACTTTTGAATGCAGTAGATAAAAAATAGCTGATAGCATTATTCTACAGATATTAGAACAGAAACGGTATAGATCATAAATATAATCAAATGGCGACACTAGCTTGAGGTCCGGGACGTAGGAGAAGTGAAGGAAATAGTCAAGGCGAACTGTCCGGAGTGTGGGAACTGTTTATGACGATTAGATTTAGGTATCTGCAATCCTAAAATGCTATTGGAAGGGAAGGAAACAGGTCCGCGACGTAGGATGTGATGAAGGAAGTAGTAAAGTCGAGCTGTTCGGTGTATGGGATCTGTTTATGACCATTAGATTAAGGTATTTGCAATCTTAAAATGCTATGGGAAGGGAGGAAAACAGGCCCGCGACGTAGGAAGTGGTGAAGGAAGTAGTCAAGGCGAGCTGTCCGGAGTGTGGAAACTGTTTATGACAATTGAATAAGGTATCTATAAATCTAAAATGCTATGGGAAGGGAGGAAAACAGGTCAGTGACGTAGGAAGTGGTGAAGGAAGTAGTAAAAGCAAGTTTTTCGGAGTGTGGGAACTGTTTATGACGATTAGGTTAAGTTACCTGCAATCCTAAAATGCTACGGAAAGGGAGGGAAACAGGGCCGTGACGTAGGAAGTGGTGAAGGAAGTAGTAGAGGCGAGCTGTCTAGAGTGTGGGAACTGTTTATGACGATTAGATTAAGGTATCTGCAATCCTAAAATGCTATGGAAAGGGAGGGAATAAGGTCCGTGACGTAGGAAGTGGTGAAGGAAATAGTAAAGTCGAGTTGTTCGGAGTGTGGGAACTGTTTATGACGATTAGATTAAGGTATCTGCAATCCTAAAATGCTATGGAAAGGGAGGGAAACAGGTCCGCGACGTAAGAAGAGGTGAAGAAAGTAGTAAGGTGAGCAGTGTAGAGTGTGGGAACTGGAAACCGTTTGTAGCAGTTAGATTAATGTACCAGCAATTCTAAAATGCTATGAGAAGGGATGGAAACATGTCCACGACATAGAAAATGGTGAAAGAAGTAGTAAAGGCTAGCAGTGCGGAGTGTGGTCAATTTTGTGTCAATTGAATTAACGTATCTAAAATACTAAAATGCTACGGAAAGTGATGCAAACAGGTACACGATGTAGGAAATGGCTTAGGAAATAGTAAAGTATGAGCATAATGTGGGAACCGTCTGTGGCAGTTAGATTAATGTATCTTCAATCCTAAAATGCTATGAGAAGGCATGGAAAGAGGCCCCTCGACGTAGGAAGTGGTGAAAGAAGTAGTAAAGGCTGGCAGTGCAGAGTGGGGGAACCGTTTGGGCAGTTAGATAAATTTAATGTATCTAATACTTAAATGTTATGAGAAGGAAAGGAAACAGGTCTATGACGTTGGAAATGGCGAATGAAGTAGTAAGGCTTGCAGTGCAGAGTGTGGGAACTGTCTTTGACAATTACATTAATGTATCTGCAATCCTTAAAGGCTATGGGAAGAGGGGAAAACAGGTCCATGTGTAGGGGTGGTGAAGGAAGTAGTAAAGGTGAGCAGTGTTGAGTGTGGGAATGGATAAATTTATCCACAATTCTAAAATGCTATGGGAAGAGACTGTAGACTGTAGGTTAAAACTATTACGAAGCACGAATCGATACATATTTTGATACATGCAATAGTTTACAATAGACATTTACAAACAAGTTGAAAACAGCTGATTTTTACTCCATAGAGGCTAAAAACGATTTTTACTCCCTAAAGAGTAAAAATGCGACTTTTACTGCTACATACGATTGTTTTTACTGCAGTATTACAAAAACAATATAATATTAACCCTTGATGACTCCGCTCAATTTTGTGGATGCCTCTGCGGACGCCACCTAGTATAAAAAAATACACTTTAGTAGTTTCCCTATAGCAGCTTAACCTAGGTACTCGTTAAACATAAATGGTAAATTAGTAGATTAATTGAAAATCAAACTAGGCTAATGGAATTTCGATTAGTCGGCAGGTTTGCTGCAGCGGGAGTACTTTATATGTATTGCTGCAAAAAAATGTTATTAGGTACCTAATAAAGTATCTCTCTCTCTCTCTCTGATTAGCAAAACATTACTGATTTCTTTCAATGTAATAAACCTGATAACCAATGATGTGTTTTGTGATGTAATTTTTTTATCATTGTGTGATATATGAGCTAACAGCAATATACAGGGTGGCTGAAAAGTAACTTGCACCCCCCTCAACTTTTCAACTATTTGAGATATTTGAAATCGGTTTGCGGCAACCTTCTTAGATATGAGGGGCTACAATAATTATGGTAAATTAGGGGGTAGCGGGGGTAGGAGGTAGCTGAAAATTTTCAAATGACAAGTATAGTCGAGTTTGGTATCATTTTACAGGTCCTGACAAAACAAAACAATGACATAAAGAAAACAAAAATCGGTCCACTAATAACAAAGAGGTAAGAGTTGTTCGGTGAACTGGTAGGGCAAATTTGGAGCCATGACGGGTGTTGTAGTGGTACAGGTCTTGGTTTCTTGGGGGGTTTATTTCATCCACATACTTTATTACAACTAAAAACAAAATGGCAGTTAAAAATTACTTTTAATAACCATTGTCTTATTCATTTTTAGCTGCCATTTTGTTATTAATGGTCTGATTTCTATTTTCTTTATGTTAATTGTTTAGTTATATCAAGACCTCTAAAATGATACCAAACTCGACCATACTTCCTGTTTGAAAATTTTAAGCTACCGGACCCCCACTACCCCTAAGGGCAAAATTTTAAAAATTTACCATAATTTTTGTAGTCCTTCATATCGAAACAGGTTGCTGCAAACCGATTTCAAATATCTCAAATAGTTAAAAAGGTAAAAGGGGGTTGCAAGTTAATTTTCAGCCAACCTCATGGTTATTTGGATTTGATACGTTTTAGGGCACCATTTTGTTATTAGTAGGGCAATTTTTGTTTTCTTTATGTCAATTTGTTTCGTTTCGTCAAGACCTGTAAAATAATACCAAACTCGACTATACTTGTCATTTGAAACTTTTGAGCTACCCCTTAAGGGCAAAGTTTTCAAAATTTACCATAATTATTCTAGCCCCTCATATCTAAGAAGGTTGGCGCAAACCAATTTCGAACATCTCAAATGGATGAAAATTTAAGGTGGGGGGGGGGGGGGGTGTGCAAGTTATTTTTCAGCCACCCTGTATCTTCAGGTACATAATTTTATAGTTTCAATTTTAGGGGTTATTCCAAATAAGCTTCTTTTATAATCCACCCTTTCTGACATTCTGGACATGCGCATGGTCCCTTCGGTGACGAATTAGTGAGGTATTGTACAAAGGGCGGTGATCGAACTAGCCAATGTAGAAACCAATTGGATCTGAAAATAGGATTTTCCTGTAGAGTCCGTCTTTGCAATCCAAAGAAGTACCGGTAACCTACTATTTTCAAGTTCTCTCTCTCACTCTCACTATTTAGTTTATATTCAGATTGTTTGTTGTACAATCTATGCAATGGTTTTATTTGTGAATAAATTGATTTGATTGTTTGTCATCAGGTGGTGAGAAGCCACACGGGTATGTTGGCGTCTTGTCACCCCACGGGCATGTTTGATTATTGGTCTGCATTGTTGGCACTACTGGGAGACTCGGACAGACAAGTTTGGTTGGCAGCACTGGATTCCATCAGTGTCAACATAAAGTGCGACGGATTCCCCCGAACCTCCTTAGTAAGTACTAACATTTTGGTAAATAATTTTCTAGGCAAGATTAGTATAGAATTTATGTAGTATTTGAGGGTCGGTTGTATTCGTTCCTTCTTCCTTAATACTGTATATTCTTAAGTTGTGGTTTTTCCTCAAAAAACTATTTTCAACAGAGATAATATTTGTAGAAAGTATGCCTACTAAAAGTACAAACATTTCCAGATGGTATACAACCTATGTGAGCTACTGAATGTCAGGTTGAGTGGTACAGCTGGCTGGAGTGGGGAAGCTGGGAAGGCGATGCTTGTATCGACTGACACCTTTTGTGAAGCTGCTCTCTCCCACGTCAGTGCGGCTGATAAGAGAGCTTTGTCCCGCCTCTACCTCGGACTTGTTGCCCTGCTAGACCCTAAGAAGGTGGTTTTGTTTGCAGGTGAGAAGTAAATGCAAACTTTAACATCAGTGGTTTTCAAATATTGATTTTGTTTTTTGAAAATCTTCCATGAAGGTTGTTGTATTATTTTTTAGGACAGTGTATTAAACACAGATAAATGTTAACTGATGATAATTTATGATTAACAGGAGTTTCGTCAAGAAGTTACTGTAAGCTGATAGTGTTGCTGTTCAAGATATGTCCAATGTCTGTTGATATAAAAAAGAAAGTACAAGCAGTTTTGGATCATGCCTCCAATTTCCCTGTAAGTATGATTTCCCTGTAAGATGTTTGTGACTAACCAGTAGTTTAGGAATTTCAACTCAAACCTTTCTCAATTCAAGAGGATTTTATTGCAAAATTTGATTGCAGGATATTCTAACTATTGTCCAGGCCCTTGTGTGGAATGATGTACATCCTCACTTAAATAATCCAGAAAAGAGTCGGTAAGTTTTTAAGATTTATTTTATAATATATTTTACAGTATTTTTGCACTTCAATCAATACTTAACAATAAATTAGGTAGAGATTGAATCATTAAAGCGAGATGCACATGCATATTTGGACCCTTCCCCACCACCATCGTTTTTTTTTTCTCAGCCATTAAAAAAATTGTCATTAGATCTTATTTAATATTCATATTCAAAATGGAGTAAAGTGGTGGGGGAAGTTTAGGTACTGTCTCTCCCGTACTACACTCCCTAAAAGCCATCCTAATTGGTACAATCTTTACAGCAAGTACCTAATTCTAAAGTTTTGAAAAAAAAATACTCAGCCTATGATGGACTTATCAATTTAAACCGACACTTATTTTGTTGCAATAGTTTAAATACTTAATACACTGGTTCACCAATGTGCTTTTAAATTACAAACAATTTCTTAAGATAATTGTAGTTCATTGGGGTTGAAATTCATTTTGAAAGCTGTGCACTGTAAATACACAACTATGCATACATTTAAGAAATAGTCTTACCACAAAAAGTACACTTAAATTTCACCAAACTGGAATATTTTAACCATTACCTAACGCATATTAAACTAAGGAATGTCTGAGTTGGGAAGACTTATGTTTGTAGATGAAGAAAAGTGTTCGGAAAGTAACTTTCGGGCAACAATTGGCACATGCTCACTCTACAGTTTGAAATCTGTGTTCCTTGAACCATCCTGGGGACTCTTTCCCATTCAGGTAAGCCTTTCCCATCAACATCCCAGAAATAGTCCATCAAATCTAGGCCCTTGGCCCCTACAGCATTACAATAAAATGTTGTTTATTTTTCAAGACCTGAACCAATCTTAGACAATCCTAAGACTTTTTCATATTCGTCAAAAGATACTGACTTGAAAGTAGATTGTGGATTCCAAAATAATTTTATTTTACATTGGTATAGTTGTTTGTTTTTTGTTGTTGTTGCAGGGAGTGCTGGGAAATCAGTAGTTTGTGGAAATCTGTGTTGGATATTGCTGCAAAAGCTGTAGAAAACATTATTAACGGAGGACAGTCTGCTGCAAATGTTGTAAAACTTACAAAACTACTATCTGCTGTTGCTCTCAGTGCTTCTAACATCTCTCTTCAGCTGAGTCAGTCCTCCTCGTCATTGGTGTTTTTTGGAAACAACTTCTACGTAAAATGGAACAAACTTATACGGGAAATAGATCTTAATGTTATATATCTGGAAGTTGCTAAAACATCAAAGTATCTTGCATCACTTGGCGACATGTCCATGATTGATTTGCGAGAAGCGAACAGTCTTTTGGCATTTCTGTCAATTCCATGGCTCAACAAAAATATCGGAGCTCAACTGCCTCTGGTCGACCTGTCACCGTATCGAGTCATGGCGAATCTACAAATTTTTCTTGATGGTTGGTAAATTAATTTTGTTCTGTACTTTGAGAAACAAACATGCAATTTCAGTATAAATTTCTTTATTCATTGAGAAGTATACATAATACAGCATTTGAATAGCGTCAAAGAGTACAATTATTATAAATTAAAATATAAATTAAAAAAAATACAACTCTCTATATAGATAGGCCTATGTTTTCTTAATGTCTAGCATTCTTGAGAGAGTTGGAAAAATTTGTCAAGAGAATAATTGGCCATGTTAATTGAGAAATGGTTTTGTTTTGTTTTGAACTTTTTTTTAATTTCTAATTCCTCTAGGGATATATTTAAAAAACCTATACCAGCAAATTTCAATTTCATAAAAAAAATCGGTTGAAGAATATTTTTCCTACAAGGATTGACGGTAAAAAGTATAACTTTTCACAGAGAAATTTAATTGGCATTGAATATTAGGCCTACATTATATAGAGCTTAAATTTTCTTAGTCATAGAAACATATCCTTTAGATGAAACAGGTTTGTAAGTAGTGTAATGCAATTTTTATGTCTGCATTGCCAATGTAACTCATTGTTGTTATTTTGTATTAATAGTAAATAGGTGATAAGTTAATGTAGTCGCTTGGCTATTGCGTGAGGGCCGGGTCTGAGAATAAAACTAGAGTTACTCAAAGAATTTACAATTTAATTAAAAGAGGAGAAGATAAACTCAACCAAACAAAATACAATGATAATATATAAGTCTAATACAGTTAAACAAGGGGAAATGAACCAGCACAGTGAATAGTCAAATTAATAAGCTAAATTATACTTTATCCTAACAAATAAATTGGAAATTGGAGTTTAATAAAATTAAAAATGTAAAACAAAATAATAAAGTAATATTATCGTTCAAATTCAAGAAAGTAAATTGAATAGATTTGAATTAAAATTTGGAAATCTAAGTTCTAAAGCCTTATATTATTTATTTCTGAGTAAGCGAGCTGGGCTTACATTTTAGTTTAAATAATTATAAAATTGACATACTTCATGAGTTTGATGCACTGGACACTTCACCAAACAAATTTTTAATCTGCCTTTAAAGGCAACAGGCCATGGTAAAATAACACTTCACTTCGCGAATCACTCGCGGCCGAAAACTTCGACTCCCGAACGCGGTGACCGGACCGAAGACTTCCTGGAGACTGTCCTCTCTTGGTTTTTGTTGGAATAGACATCCCCCTGTCCACCTAGAGAGACAGCCAATCAGAGGGTGTGATCGTTGGTTATTCTTCTCTGATTGGTTAAGACAGTCCACGTGGACTTGATGTGCGGATGTCAAAAAGTTCATAGCTTGTAGATTGTCTTCTGTCTCTCTCTACGATTGATGCATCGGCAGCTGAAAGTTACACTACCATGAGACAGGAAATGTATAGACGGACGGGAAGTTGTAATGTGTATCTAGTTGTAATGTTTGCTGTATTATATTTTAAGTAAAAAAAATACAATGTAATTATATGTATATAATTTATGGGAAATAAATATTATTTCATTTCATTTCATTTCGAAGACATGGATATGATTACTGAGATCCGTGGAAGTATATTGATGTAGTTACACCAATCAATCCAGGACAGTTTAGAAACGTAATCTAGAGTAGAGTGCAGTGTAAGCACACTTTGTAAGCATTCTCGAATCTTGGCAAAGCTTCATCATTAGTTTTGTCGGAACCACCAATGTTTCATTTGTTGACAGATCCTGGTGTGAAGAGCCACTCGCTGGAAGGTCTGATGGTGATGGTGTTGTGTGGCAGTCTCAGCCTAGATTGGAGGCTGGCTGTGGTCAAACAAGCTCATGTTGAGATAGACAAGGTGTGTGCAATGCTGACGACATTACCAGTCAACGAACAAAGCTTATGTGTTACCAGCCTCGTGGACCCCTTCTTCTATCAAGATGACAACTATAGCACCCCAGACTTTGCCAGCAAATTCCCAACAATCGTCTGCTGTTTGGCTGGCACTGCTGAGTTAATCAGGTAATAAATTGATTTTTTGGAGTTTGTGAGTCATTTATGACACATAATTTCTAACCAGATAAACACAATTTTTAATAAACCTATCAGCAATTTGACACCTACTTCCTCCATTAATCTTTGGCAAGCAGTGGGACTAACTATGATATTTTATGAGGTAAATTGTGACGCAAAATTCTAGGGGGGAATAAACTAGTATTCACCAAGTCAGGCTAGGCCTACCCCTAGAACTGGCCACACTCAAATTTCTTCCCCGGAGTGCTCAGAAGGAGCCGAGAAAAATCCAGGGGTCGATACGAAGGTGCCACGGCTTTGACTGATCAATTTATTTAAATTTAATCGAAGGCTCAGAGCTCTAGAAGCGCTCAGGAAATCCTGCAGACGCTCAGTAGGAGCTATTTCATCCTCACCTTCGCTAACGTGTTTTGGAGAATTTTGCCTAACTTTTATACTGACTCTGTAGGACTGACGAGTATTCAATCTTAGCCAATGTGATTTAAATACTCGTAATAAACTGTGAACTATCTGGCTAAAGTCGTTGGTAAATAATATAAAATCGAATATAAGGTAAAAGTAATTCCTACAGAGTCGTCGGGCCTAATTAATATGATTGAACGGGGAATTTATCGTGGGATGATTTAAAATAGATTTAACATTAATATTCGTAGCTGTTTGATTGTTCAAATCAGCTGCTCCCAAGACTTGATTCTTTCACCCGCCAAAGACGGGGTTTAGAACTAAGACGACCAGTCTCGGGGTATTAAAACGGTGAAAACGAGATATAATTTAGACGCGATAATTCTTTGTTAAGCGAACGGAGAAATAGTAATTTCGAAACTAATTAATTAAAATAAAATAAACGATCGCCACCGCTAGTCACTGGCAGGCAGGAACTGGCGGGTCAAGACTCGAGTTGAGATATTAAATTAAGATAATTCGTAATGGACTTTTAAGAAAACGAAAAGGTATAATAAGTAAAGTATGCGTAAGATAACACAGAAATAACGTAAAACGTAAAAAGGGACCTAACTAGTATGGTAGCTAACCTTCGTAATAATATCTATCGTAGTGTCGTTGTCGTATTCGTGACTCGTGCGAGCTAGTCGGTGGTCAAACAGCGAATAAACTTGTCCGGCTCAAATCATGATTTCCTCGTTCGAGGCTTAATCGCTCTGGTGGTGAGTTTGAGAACTAGCCAACAGCTGATCGGAAATTCACCTGTTGAGCCGGTCTAGTTGTCGTCTGTCGTTGGTCAACAAACACCATTTCAAGGTTAAGTGATGTTGTCATCGGCGTTAAATATTCGTAAAATCGGTCGTTTTAACTTTATTATGTGAAACGAAGTGCTATTATGAATAAATATATCGTTGTGGGTGTGTTTGTGTACTTCACTGTTATTAAAAGTAGGCCTACGTTCTTTGGCCCATAGCCCAAGCTATGGCCAACACATAGGCCTCGGAGTAGGCTTTTGTGGTTAAAAATCGGGTAAGTTCTGATGTTCATTTATTCGTAGTACGTTTTTACCCCCCTTAAAATTTGGCACCTTACAAAATCACTAAAGCCGCAATAACTTTTGAACCGTATTTTTTGCAGCGTTGGGGATTGTACCATTATGTTTGAGTTTAAATGACAATATTATACTAATTTTTTTTTAAAAACAATACTTTCTCCATATACATACTATTGAAGCGTGTTACTACAGTTTATAGTATGGCAGATTTGGTGCTACCATAAAACCATGATTCCAAGATAATAGAGATATTTTGAAGTGTAAATTTACAATGTTTGAAAATTGAATCTTATCTCCATTCGCCGCTACTGCAAAATCTTTGGTTCGTTCTATGGATTTTACAACTGATTTGAAATCTTTAATTTTCTGAAAAAAATCCTGAGAAACTATTGTGAAGGAACTGCCTGTGTCTACCAACGCTTTGATTGTGTACTTACTAAACTTAATTGGAATTGAACATAAATGAATTTTTGGAATTCTTGGAGCATGTTTTGATTTATGATCTGTACTACTACTCTTTATTTCGGCGTTTGATTCGGCGCCTTGGCACTTGTGAGGTTGGGTCGCGCCTATCACTGCCCTAGGTTGGAGTTTTGATGGTTTTGATTGCTGAAAAACACCTGGTTGTGTTTGTCGATACGCCTGGCGTTGATCGTTAAGTCTACCTTGCGCCCAGAATTGGTTTTGAGGTTGAGTTGGTCGTCGCCACCATGGAAATTGTTGTTGGTACGTTTGACGTGGCCTAAACATACGATTGTCGTTTGGTCGATTTGTGCCATATCGCACTGTGTTGGGTCTATAAGGAAATCGCGGTTGCCCTAATTGCATTTGGCTTGCGCCGCTATTTCGGTTTTCATGCCCTCTCCACGCGTGATTTGAATTTCCAATTCGTCCTTGGCGATGCAGCCTGTCTGGGAAAATTTGATCTGTTGGTTGATTTTCGACGCGCGGCCTATCCGTATTACGCTCCGAGTCTCTGATTACCTCAATTCGTGGTATTAAATGCAACAACTCTTCTACTGTCCTAGGAGCCGGAAATCCTGCCAAGTTGGCCTGGCTTGCTGGGTTCATCCCTGTGAGAATTATATCTAACAGGTTGACGTTGGATTTAATCAAAATTTCGGCTGAATTCTGCACATTGGTAATGAAGTCACTAAGGGGCTCGTTGCGTCCTTGGGTGCAGTAAATCGAATTGGAAATCAATTGCTGCCTAGCTCTGTCTGGTAAAAACCTTTCGATGATCTGGTCGCGCAATGTGGCTATTGACACCTTATTAGCAATGGCTGATATCCATATTGATCTTAGCTGACCGTCGGTTTTCGGCAAAATAGCCACTAGGGCTGTTTTTTCGTCGGTTAACCCTAAGTCGAATATTTTTTTTTTTTTTTTTTTAAAAAAGAGGTTGGCGGCCTCTTTTAACCTTGCATTTGCCCGTCCACATAGACTAAGCGCCCGTGCGTGGATCGTTTACAGCAAAGCAAGGAGTGAGCCGGTACAGTACAAAGGTGAACTGTACTGATAAAATGTTATCGGCAGTGACCAGGATCCGAACCCACGACATCGCTGCCTTGGGCCCGAAGTCCGCGACGCTACCGACTGAGCCACCGACTCACTAAAAAACAACGCTAAACAACGTAAAAGGAGTATTAGCATTGTTTAAATGGAGAAAAGTGGTCATACATTTAGAAAACAACACGTTTCTCTGTTATTATTTATCCAATCTTAACAAATCAGGTATCATTGAAAACTACATCAAATTTACAAACTTTTTTGTCTCTTGCAATTTTTTTGTAAAGTTAACGGTTTTCGTGAAATTTGGCATCAAATATTTTAAATGGCCGCCATTTTGAAACGGTTAATGATTTTTTAGTATAATTTCTAACGATAATAGTTCTTAATAAGATTAACATTTTTGCAAAATATCAAAGCTGTATCTCAAACCGTTTAGGAGTTATTAGTTTTTTTGTAAAAAACACATAAATACCGACAGTCGGTAAACTAGACACCACAGACCCATGTTCCTATGGTGAAATGTGTTTGTCTTGACCTAAGGAATAACGCTATATACAAGTGTCCAGAGAGTTACGGGACACCCTGTAGATGCGGTTTTATGTTGCTCTGCTACCATTATTGAAGCGTGTTACTACAGTTTATAGTAACGATACTGGACTCATAAGGATCGTTAAGGCTCAATATAATCAATCTGGTGTTGCTAACGACATTCTGAGTTGAATAATAAAGATCTAAAATTAATTACTGAGCCAAACCACATCCATATCACAGCCATTTTGATGATCTAATAATTTCAAATGCATCCAATCAAATATAATAAGGAAATGAACACCTAAAACCTCCACTCGTACCTTAAGGGTACGAGAATATAATTAATAAATAAAAAATAGAAATAATTAAAAAATAGAAAAATAGAAAATAGAAATAATTGAAATAATTAATAGTTCCCTAACCCCTTAATCCCCCCTTCCTGAAAAAAATTATAACATATTTTAATATTACTTATACTAAGGAAAACTTATCAATCGGCGGTGGAGTCCACCCTTGACCATGGCGCCTACACCCTCTTGACTATGGAACACGACTGACCTCTGTCTCTGCGCTTCCTACCCCCTCCCCCGTTCTCCAGCAATCAGCTGATCCTTACCGTGTGATGCGTCGCCGCTGTGACGCAAGTGTCACACTATTTGTAGGAGGAGAAAGTAAACACGATACTGAATGTTATGAATGTTTTATAGAGGGGGGAATTTCACAGGGTTGGTACGGTCAAGGAAAACCTGGAAAAGTCAGAGAATTATGGAAAAGTTCTGGAATTTGTCCTACAGATATCAATGAAAATATAAATGAAGATACCTGGGCCCTATATACCTTCCTCTCACCACTACCCAATCACGCACATTTCTTGTCGTCGTTCAACTCTACTACAGTGTTAGCAAAACGGGAGTGCCGATGGAGACCTGTGGAGGTGCGTGCGTTTAAAGGGACTTGACCTGGTCTCCATCGGCACTCCTGTTTTGCTACCACTGTACAAGGAAGCTAACTACCTCGTCAAAGTGCACAATATTACCTTAGCTGCATATCACAGCCAGCTTTTATGTTATTTAATATATCTAATTATAATATATTGAACAGAGAAATAAATATATATCTGGACTTATTCTGATTTGTGAAAGGTAACTAGATTTAGCAAATGTGAATTCTAAATTTGGGATATTGATTTCCAGACCACGACCATTTGTGAACCTAATAAATTACATAATTAAAAAATAAGTTTGCCCTTGCCTACGCCCTTCCCCAACCCCTTCGAACTTATCTAGACATAGTCTTAATGCTAGTACCCATCCGGGCTAATCGAACTGCTGCTGGCACCACGCGCGTCACTACTGTACTCTCCTCTCATCGCGCGTGCTTGTTGCGGGGAGACTGCGCGCACACCTAAGTCACGTGACTTGCGCTATTGTCTTGTAGCGAGTTGCTACAGAGGGATTTTGCTTTGCCTGGGGCCTGGGGTTATAGAAGATAAACACAATGTTGTGGAAGAGAATTTAGATGTTGCCCCTGTTGTGGATTTTGCTGGTGCCGTGGGATATGATTTAAATATTGCTACTGCTGGGGGAAAGGATTAAGATGTTGCCGCTGTTGTGGGAAAGGATTAAGATGTTGCTGCTGTTGTGGGAAAGGATTAAGATGTTGCCCCTATTGTGGATTTTGCTGGTGCCGTGGGATATGATTTAAATATTGCTACTGCTGGGGGAAAGGATTAAGATGTTGCCGCTGTTGTGGGAAAGGATCAAGATGCTGCCACCGTTGTGGGAAAGAATTAAGATGTTGCTGCTGTTGTGGGAAAGGATTAAGATGTTGCCACCGGTTAAGATGTTCCTGCTGTTGTGGGAAAGGATTAAGATGTTGCTGCTGCTATGTGAAAGAGTTAAGATGTTGCCACCGGTTAAGATGTTCCTGCTGTTGTGGGAAAGGATTAAGATGTTGCTGCTGCTATGTGAAAGAGTTAAGATGTTGCCACCGGTTAAGATGTTCCTGCTGTTGTGGGAAAGGATTAAGATCTTGCTGCTGCTATGTGAAAGGGTTAAGATGTTGCCACCGGTTAAGATGTTCCTGCTGTTGTGGGAAAGGATTAAGATCTTGCTGCTGCTATGTGAAAGAGTTAAGATGTTGCCACCGGTTAAGATGTTCCTGCTGTTGTGGGAAAGGATTAAGATCTTGCTGCTGCTATGTGAAAGGGTTAAGATGTTGCCACCGGTTAAGATGTTCCTGCTGTTGTGGGAAAGGATTAAGATCTTGCTGCTGCTATGTGAAAGGGTTAAGATGTTGCCACCGGTTAAGATGTTCCTGCTGTTGTGGGAAAGGATTAAGATCTTGCTGCTGCTATGTGAAAGGGTTAAGATGTTGCCACCGGTTAAGATGTTCCTGCTGTTGTGGGAAAGGATTAAGATCTTGCTGCTGCTATGTGAAAGGGTTAAGATGTTTCTGCTGTTGTGGTATACACGTAAGTTGTTGCTGCCGTTGTGGGAAAGGGTTAAGATGTTGCTGATATTGCGGGAGAGCATTAAGATGTGACTGTCGTTGGAGGAGATAATTTTTATGTCAAAGCAGGTCGCAAAATAGTCTTCATGTCACCATGATAAATATACATTGTATTTCTGTGTTATGATTTCCGGAAAATGATGCTAAGTTCCAATTGACTTTACTTCATACCCTTCATAAATCTATTACAGCATATAAAGAGGACTAGAGAAGGACATAGCAGTTCTGTAAAAATCCTGTCTTAAGCTTAAAATCCAGTCTCACCTATTCTTATTCTTATTAAAACCAATCAACCACCGTAGCATATTGCTTAAAAGTGTTAGAATAAAAATGTAGTCATAACTTTGAAAATGTTTCAGACATGACACAACAGATGAGGAACTAACAGTTCACTGCAGGGTTTGTGATGGTAACACTAAAGATACCAAATTTATTGAAGATTCCTTTGCCACAGCTATGCTTGAAAGTTATTTGAAGCTTCGTTATGTCAAGTGCCACTCGGTGAGAAAACATGTGGCGTCTTCTCTGAAGAGGTGGAGCAAACATATACCTGTAAGTAACAAAAGGAGTATAAAACTCTGCATTTAGCCCCTAAGCTGTAACTAAATGGAAGGCATTACCTTTGTCAATCAGCTCAAAAGTTGTAACTGTTGTTACGGCCATTTCGGTACCACGAGGCCATCATCAGACATGTAATCTTGGCTGAAGCTGTATTAATCGCTGAAGTTTATACACAAAACACGCATATTGACATTAAAAGTAAAAATTACAAAATTTGAACAACGTGTCACACTACTGTTTGACATTGACACAATCTGAGCAAGACGCCGACTCAAAGTTGACTGATGTTTTTTTTTTAAATTTGCTTTTCAATACATATTATATGTAAATACAATATTGCAATGTGCCTGTATTTAGTGCTTTGTGTAGGGGTCAATTGGACAACCTCTCAGATATTTTGAATTCAAACTGTGTCATCCTATTTAAACTGTTCTTCTTGTAACTACCATCTAGGCCTACTTCTGAAGAAGCCTCTGAAAGAGGCGAAATATTAAGTATTGTGTGTTCTTTGACTCGTCTGCAACCTTTCATCAGGTGAGTTAGCTGTGTCCTCTCCATCCTATATATTTATTTGATGTTTTTTTCGTAATGTAAATATTCCTGTTTGTATTCCTGTTTGTTATGTGTTTTTAAATTGACAATGCTGCTTAACCCATTTGCATCGGATGACGTACCAGTACGTCAAGTCAGTGATGTACAGTTTCACGGCTGATGTACTGGTACGTCCGCCATTAAATTTGAAAATTTGATATTTTGTAAAATGAACCAATTACACTTACAATACCAATTACACAATACTTACATACATATAATTTTTTTAAATTGTTCATCAAAATATTATGTTTCTTGAATGATTTCATATTTACGTAATACAGGCAGCTATTTAAAAATGTTTATGAAAGTATGAAAAATAGTGTAAATAGTGTCCTAAATTCATATACATATACTTATAAAATACATAATTTTATACACATAATATGTTTTATATTATTTTCATCTTTAAAATACTACGAACAATATAAAATAGTCTAATATTTTTTCAGGCAGGTATAAGCACCTATTTTTTTAGAAATATATGAAATAGTGTTAACATATCCTAATCCTATATACATATATAGTATATACATACAAAATTCAAAATAATATAAAAATATAAATTGTATTATTATTTTCAGCTATAAAATACTATAAATCATAAAAAATTTTCAAATATATATTTTTTATTTTTATTGTTTCAGTGATACTGGAATTTTTGGTAAATAAATAAGACGGTGGAAATGGGTTAAGCTGAGATCTAATTGTCTGATGATAACATTGTGAGGATACTGTAACGAAGATAATAAAATTATATGCGTACTTACCGTTGAACCCTCTACACATTTTAACTGCTTTGCAGTGAATGCCTCTGAGTGACAAATAATTTGCAGCTATCTTTTTTTCTATCAGTGACTCCCAATCATTTAGTAAAGCAAGCCTAGTAGACAACTTTGAAACATTCTCCTTCCATCTGTCTGTGTTGCAGGAGCCGATATTGAGGCAGGCCGTAGACAAGTGGTTGAGATACATTAAAGACGACAACCATGATGTCAGAATGGCAATGGCTGAAAATGCAGCACATCTTGTGTCTGCAGACTCAAATGCGAGTTTCATTGCACGTTACAGACAGGTAACACGGCTTGTGGATTCTTAGGGTTATTTGTATTTTGGAAGTTTGGAGGATTTATTTTTCTGTCAATTTATTGTATGAAATTTAGGGAATTGAGGCATAACGATTTTATATCCTGCAAAGGACGATATTTAAATGATAGTAAAATTGTAATTAACACGGTCGACTGTGATTGCAAAGGATAACCAGAAACAATCAACTGCTTTGATAACAGAAACAATCAAAGCAATTAATTTTTATTTTTAAATAGGATAAAACTCACTGTTTCCGTACACTTCACACCCTTGATGATAAATTTATATAGGTTTTGAGTCTGGCCAACAAAAACCATATTGCAACTGGCTGGATTTTCAATTGCAGCAAACTTTTTAAACATTAATATTGCTACTAGCACAATGACACTTCAGCTGCGATAGCTAGACAGTCGTTGAGGAGGCGAACACGTCTGTGCCACAAAGTGTGCTATCAGTGCTCTTCATGGGCGTCAAACGGGAACATTCCTTACTTTCTGAACAATCATGATATCTTGAATACAGATAGATATGTCAGGCAACTAGAACTATTCTTTATTTAAGAACTCATAAGGTCTATTAAACTGTGTTTGTAGAGTGGTGACTGTATGTGTTGTTGATGTACAGGTGTTGCTGGTACTGATTGTAGAGTGGTGACCGTATGTGTTGTTGATGTACAGGTGATGCTGGTACTGATTGTAGAGTGGTGACTGTATGTGTTGTTGATGTACAGGTGTTGCTGGTACTGATTGTAGAGTGGCGACTGTATGTGTTGTTGATGTTCAGGTGTTGCTGGTACTGATTGTAGAGTGGCGACTGTATGTGTTGTTGATGTACAGGTGTTGCTGGTACGGATTGTAGAGTGGTGACCGTATGTGTTGTTGATGTACAGGTGTTGCTGGTACTGATTGTAGAGTGGTGACCGTATGTGTTGTTGATGTGCAGGTGATGCTGGTACTGATTGTAGAGTGGTGATTGAATGTGTTGTTGATGTACAGGTGTTGCTGGTACTGATTGTAGAGTGGCGACTGTATGTGTTGTTGATGTACAGGTGTTGCTGGTACTGATTGTAGAGTGGTGACTGTATGTGTTGTTGATGTACAGGTGTTGCTGGTACTGATTGTAGAGTGGTGACTGTATGTGTTGTTGATGTACAGGTGATGCTGGTACTGATTGTAGAGTGGCGACTGTATGTGTTGTTGATGTACAGGTGATGCTGGTACTGATTGTAGAGTGGCGACTGTATGTGTTGTTGATGTACAGGTGTTGCTGGTACTGATTTTAGAGTGGTGACTGTATGTGTTGTTGATGTACAGGTGATGCTGGTACTGATTGTAGAATGGTGACCGTATCTGTTGTTGATGTACAGGTGTTGCTGGTACTGGTTGTAGAGTGGTGACTGTATGTGTTGTTGATGTACAGGTGTTGCTGGTACTGATTGTAGAGTGGTGACTGTATGTGTTGTTGATGTACAGGTGATGCTGGTACTGATTGTAGAGTGGTGACCGTATGTGTTGTTGAAGTACAGGTGTTGCTGGTAGTGATTGTAGAGTGGCGACTGTATGTGTTGTTGATGTGCAGGTGATGCTGGTACTGATTGTAGAGTGGTGACTGTATGTGTTGTTGATGTAAAGGTGTTGCTGGTACTGATTGTAGAGTGGTGACTGTATGTGTTGTTGATGTACAGGTGTTGCTGGTACTGATTGTAGAGTGGTGACTGTATGTGTTGTTGATGTACAGGTGTTGCTGGTACTGATTGTAGAGTGGTGACTGTATGTGTTGTTGATGTACAGGTGTTGCTGGTACTGGTTGTAGAGTGGTGACTGTATGTGTTGTTGATGTGCAGGTGATGCTGGTACCTACTGATTGTAGAGTGGTGACTGTATGTGTTGTTGATGTACAGGTGTTGCTGGTTGTGATTGTAGAGTGGCGACTGTATGTGTTGTTGATGTGCAGGTGATGCTGGTACTGATTGTAGAGTGGTGACTGTATGTGTTGTTGATGTAAAGGTGTTGCTGGTACTGATTGTAGAGTGGTGACTGTATGTATTGTTGATGTACAGGTGTTGCTGGTACTGATTGTAGAGTGGTGACTGTATGTGTTGTTGATGTACAGGTGTTGCTGGTACTGATTGTAGAGTGGTGACCGTATGTGTTGTTGATGTACAGGTGTTGCTGGTACTGATTGTAGAGTGGTGACCGTATGTGTTGTTGATGTACAGGTGTTGCTGGTACTGATTGTAGAGTGGTGACCGTATGTGTTGTTGATGTACAGGTGTTGCTGGTACTGATTGTAGAGTGGTGACCGTATGTGTTGTTGATGTACAGGTGTTGCTGGTACTGATTGTAGAGTGGTGACCGTATGTGTTGTTGATGTACAGGTGTTGCTGGTACTGATTGTAGAGTGGTGACCGTATGTGTTGTTGATGTACAGGTGTTGCTGTTACTGATTGTAGAGTGGTGACTGTATGTGTTGTTGATGTACAGGTGATGCTGGTACTGATTGTAGAGTGGCGACTGTATGTGTTGTTGATGTACAGGTGATGCTGGTACTGATTGTAGAGTGGGGACTGTATGTGTTGTTGATGTACAGGTGATGCTGGTACTGATTGTAGAGTGGCGACTGTATGTGTTGTTGATGTACAGGTGTTGCTGTTACTGATTGTAGAGTGGTGACTGTATGTGTTGTTGATGTACAGGTGTTGCTGGTACTGATTGTAGAGTGGTGACCGTATGTGTTGTTGATGTACAGGTGTTGCTGGTACTGATTGTAGAGTGGTGACCGTATGTGTTGTTGATGTAAAGGTGTTGCTGGTACTGATTGTAGAGTGGCGACTGTATGTGTTGTTGATGTACAGGTGATGCTGGTACTGATTGTAGAGTGGTGACTGTATGTGTTGTTGATGTACAGGTGATGCTGGTACTGATTGTAGAGTGGTGACTGTATGTGTTGTTGATGTACAGGTGATGCTGGTACTGATTGTAGAGTGGTGACTGTATGTGTTGTTGATGTACAGGTGATGCTGGCACTGATCCATAAGAGTTTCTCTTCAGCGGATTGCCATCTGCAGCTATCCTTGATGACTACAGCGTCCAATGTTGGATGGTAAACATAGACATTTATTTGTAGGCAAACATTACTATTATTAGTATCAAAATGTTGTAGTTTTTAATTAATATCAAATCTTAGCTATAGCGCAGATAATGATAATGATCCTTGAAGATTCATTTCCAGTTGTCATTAGGTCGACCAAACGCAATTTAAACAACCAAAAACCCTTCAAGTAGCAATAAAGAAGATTTTCATTTTTGTTATAGGTCTAAAAGTCGTTTTAACATATCAAAAGCTTTTTTATTATTTTTGTATCCTCTCATGAGGCTGACGGTTATTTGTTTCCAACCTTAGATCTTTTTCAATAGTTAAAAAAATCTGCAAGTATTGCAATACTACTGCGATTTATAAAGTACTTGTGAGATAATCAGTGTTTCATTTGTTTGCAATTGGTTTTAATCCTCTGCCTATTTCTTTTCAGTACCCCGTTTGAAAATGTTTTACTGCCGACTTTAGAGATGTTCGTGGCCTTTGTCAGTCATCCACAGTCAAAACACGAACTGCCCGGTCTTGAACACTTGAGTAAAATTGCAGCTGCGAGGGATACAAGTGTCCAAGATCTGTTCTTTAGGTTCCAAGATGAAATTTTTAAGGTATGTCAATAAAACAGCCAATAATTATTGGATAGAGGCTTTCTTTTTACTATACCAACACAATATAGGCTTTTGATTTGCACTTGTTGATTAAAGTATTATTGTCTCACATAAAAAAATATATAGTTGTGAATAGCTGTTGTGGTTGAAATGTGACCTCACAATCAAACTTCCCAATTATTTTTAACTCACCCCCCTTCCACAACACCCTTTTAATCACTATGCAACATTTAGGGGATTGTACCACGATTAATGTTTTGTGTTTGTGTTTTTACAGTATTTCACAATTATGTTAATCATAAACTCTCTGGAAAACAATGATCATTGCACTTCAATGTTGGTTAAACTGGCCAGGGGGTTTAGCTTCACCAACTCAAAGCAGCTGTGGGACCTATCAGGTAAAAGAATTTGTACTTTGGTATTAACAAAATTGGTAGAAAAAAACAATTCAATAACAATTTTATGATTAGTATTTTAGCTATTAACTAGAGCTCGCCCCGTGGTTGAAAACTCGACCAAAAGTATGTAACGTGCAAAATTCATTTTCACTCCACGCTGTAAATAAAACAAGTAGGTTTATAGCGAAAATGCAAAGGGTAAAAAAGTCTTAAAATTGCATCCACATTCCAAAAAGACCTTAAAATTAGTTAAAAATATAAATTATATTATTTCAAAAATGGCGGCAAAACTTGAAAAGTGGAAAACTTTTTATTTTATAGTCTTTAAGGAATGTAGATGCAATTCTAAGACTAATTTACTTCTTGCAATTATGCTCTAAACTTACTCGTTTAGGAGCTACATGATGTAAAATGTACACCGGAAGTCATTTTTCCATAGGCTGTAACTCCTAAACGAGTGGGTTTATCGAAAAAATGTCAAGGATAAAAAAGTTTTTAAATCGTATATTCTATCCGAAAACATGATAAAATATAGGGTGTTCCACAAGAAATTTCAAAGTTGGCCGCCATATTGGAAAGTGGAGGCTGAATTTCAAAAAACTAAAATCATATTTTTAACTGCCACAAAAAATAAAGGAATGTCCCCCATTTAAAGTTTTCTCTAATTCTTACCGTTTCCGATATCCCAATGGTGGCCTCCTTGAGTTGATCACCCTGTATATATGAATTTGAAGGGATGGTGTTTTTGGCCCCTAGGGACCTCAAAACGAAAAATAAATCGGCCCCGGGTCCAGGGGTTAATTCAATTCAATTCAAAACATCTTTATTCATTAGTATATAAAATTGTATATACAAGAATGAATGGTGTCAAATTCATCATTACATAAAATATTACCATAAGTACTACGGTAATAGCTTATTCCCTATATGGGAAATTCCCTAAAAACCTTATCTAATCTAATATATAAAATTCTCGTGTCACAGTGTTTGTCTGCAAACTCCTCCGGAACGACTTCACCGATCGTTATGAAATTTGGTGTGTAAATTCTGTAGGTATGCGAATCGGACGTAAACTATTTCCCGTTTCGAAATTCTTAAAAGGGCTCCGCCCCAGTGGCTCTGGAGTTTCCCATGTTAACTTTATGAGAAATGGAATTAATGAATCTTAACAGCTGTTTCAATTAAACAAGTTGGTTCTGTTCTATGATGCTCAATAGCATTAAAGTTACAAGGATTACCAACAGGGTGCAGCACTATTATTTCTTTTACATTTATGACAACAGCTAATTTGCAACCAAACGGTGAGTGAGCGTAGCGAACGAACTTCAACCTGGAGGCGAGTTAGCGTAGCGAACGAGCTAACCTGAAGGCAAGTGAGCGCAGCGAACGAGCTCCAACCTAAAGGTGAGTGAGCGTAGCGAACGAGCTCCAACCCAAAGGTGAGTGAGCGTAGCGAACGAACTTCAACCTGGAGGCGAGTTAGCGTAGCGAACGAGCTAACCTGAAGGCAAGTGAGCGCAGCGAACGAGCTCCAACCTAAAGGTGAGTGAGCGTAGCGAACGAGCTCCAACCCAAAGGTGAGTGAGCGTAGCGAACGAACTTCAACCAGGACGTGATTGAGCGATGCGAACGAGATCATCTTGAAAATTAAACGTAACGGTATTTCTTTCCATCGGTCTGTCTTAGGGGAAACCTATAACTTAGGCGATACGAAGTTCGCCGGGTCAGCTAGTAGTTCTATAGAATAATATTACATTCAACCAGCTGTTAGTAAAAAAAAAAAATAATATTTGACTAAAACAAATCGATGATTACAAAGATTGCTTTAAAAAATAATCTTTTTTAAACGTAAAATAAGACATTAAATGTGGTTTTACATTTAAATTTTAATCTGTCTCCAAAACATCCCATTTTTGAACAACTGTCAAAGCTGCTGTAACACCCAAGAGTTCATTTTCTTTAGTCAGAAAGGTTTGCACTCCTCATAATCAATCAAACAGTAATTTGTTGTGTCGATAAATTGCTTGATAGATTGAGGTGGGCCAAGTCTGATTCAACCTGATTTTGTCTGTTACGTTTTTTTTGTGGTTTCCACTTTCCAGTCATACTATTACTACTAACTAACCCTATATAATATTTACAAAAGTTTGAACAAATGGAACAGTTGAGTCCTGAATAGGAAAAAATATGTCAGACAGCTTGTACTATGAAGAGTATGATGAACTATAGATCTTGCCACAAAGACTACAGCAAACTACTTTTCTGTTACAAAATCAACTTCAATGGTAAATACTTTTATAAATAATAGTCTTATGCTTGTTTGAAATGGTTAGATATGTCTGACAATCGATGTTATTTCATTGTCAGGTGTGAAGTACTTACTCAAGTACTTGCTGCCTCTTATATCTCAGGACCCCCGAGCCAAGAACATGTTGACACCCATCACTGCCACCACTGGAACTGATGTCACCAGTGTACTGAAGGACTCATTTGCGGTAAGACAGATTTTGCGGTCAACCCTAGATGATTTGCCTTGCTATTTCTCCACAATCTGTTTCAATCTCGGGTCATTACATTAGTTACATTTGTAGGTTACTTATATGCGTACATGGGACTTTATCATGATTGGACAATCAAGTATTTTGATTAAAGACAAGGAAATTATTGTAGACTAACATTTTTTGTAGGCTCAAATTATTTTTGGTTATAGATTTTCTCAAAGTTTATTGTTGGTGGGGCAGATTAATGTTGTTTAAAAGGGTAGTGAGATCCATACTCTTCTTCATTCATTGAATAGTGAAAATATGAGCTGTTCAATATTTCAGAGTTTGGAATCTGACCTGTCTCCGCCTAAAAAGGAACCTAGATCAGACAAGATGGGTCCACAAACGAGGTTAACAAGCACAATAGGTGAAAACAAATTCGTAGGGTAACCAATTGGAAAAGAGAAATAGCAAGAAAAGAAGAAAAAACTAAACCAGAACAAAACATTGTCGTCCTAATGCTCTAAAAGCTGTTTTCAGCTTGAACATCTACTGTATTTGAAAGTATTATCATGATTCCTAATGATTGTATCCTAATCTTGTCATTTCCCACTGAAGGTAGAACAGCTCATACAACGGTAGTGTGCCAGATTTTTATTTTTGACATATCAAGCTCTCTGTGCTGTAGACTTTTATTTTGAGTTATGAAAATGTCTTTTGTGAACAGTTTTTTTTTTGTGTTTCAGTATGTTTACTCACACGTTTTACTTTTCGAGGACAATAAAACCCAGAATTTTGTTCATCAGCTGATAGAGGGATTCGCCGGAGTGTCAATTCAGTCTTTGATTTGTTATTCTTACAAGGTAAGCCTACAAAAGAGGGAAAAATTACAATATTACCAGTTTATCGGAGGCACATATTTAGAATTGTATTTCTTCAACCTAAGAGAAGTTATTCTTCAACAAAATAAGGTGTAATGTGTAAACTACTATCTGTAAACTCACCTGGACCTAATTTAATGTTTCCTTCAAGGAAATGAGATAAATTACAGTGGTCCTGGACCAAGGTTCTACCTCAAAGACACAACAGCTACTTTCCTAGGAAATCTCATCATTATAGCAGTGGACATAGACCTACATCTTGCCATGAAGACTGTTAATAGCCACAGGGAAATTCACTAAAACATTTCAATCAATCAATCTCTATTTGCCATAAGGATACATTTACATATCATTGACAAAGTCTATTTGCAGTTTTCAAACCAAGTCTTAACATAAACAACAAAATACTCTTACAGGCCAAATATTACAACATTTAACTCCATTCACATTCTTAACCGAAATGAAAACCAAACTAAAGAACAATTTCTCCCATTTTAAAACAATCATCCAGACTATAAAAAGGGTTTTGAAGTAGATAATTATAAAACATAGCCTTAAATTTGTTAATTGAATGAATATTTATATTATTCTTTACTGAATTATACACTTTAATTGATAAAATTATGTGGCAATTACTAGTTTTACTAAGAAGATGGGATTCTAAAAGTGCAGTATTTTTAAAACGAGTGTTGTGACTGTGATTATTAAATTGAAGAAATTCAGGGTTTTTTAAACAATCAGATCATAAATGAACAAATTTACTGCAGTTTGAATTTGCAGATCTTATTGATCAGATTTAATTGATACAACTAGACATCCCTTGTTAATTTATTTATTTATATATTTATTTATTGTTTTTAGTTTATTTATCTTAATAACATGCTAAAATAAGTAAACTGAATATATAAATTATTTTTCAAAGATACTATTTTCAGCTATGTTTGTGCGTTAGGTTATCATATGTGAACTGTTGCTGTATTACCACATGGAGAAGACCAAAGTTACAGAGGCTTTGCGTTCCTTGAAAGATTGTGACTTTGGTGCTTCGTCTTCAGCCTCGGAAAACTTGATATTCTCTAGCAACAGCAAGAATGACTCCCCCAACACTGATATTGTAAGTTGTTTGTATTCTTTTGGTTTCTAGCGTATAACTGACTTACTGTATTGTACTCTAGTTGTAGTATTTCAATTCATCATTTGATCAAGCTTTATCCAACTGAACAAAATAAATACACAGTTTCTCTGCTCATTGCCAAAGCAAATTTTATTTATTTATTTTAATTTTTTAAAGAGGTTGGCGGCCTCTTTTAACCTTGCATTTGCCCGTCCACATAGACTAATCGCCCGTGCGTGGATCATATTCAGCAAAGTTAGGAGTGAGACTGTCCAGTACAAAGGTGATCTGTACTGATAAAATGTTTTCGGTAGTGGCCAGGATCCGAAACCACGACATTGCTGCCTTAGGTCCGAAGTCCGCAACGCTACCGACTGAGCCACCGAGTCACTACGAGCTCATCAAGCTGTATCCAACTACTAAATGTTATTGTTGTACAGACACAGTTCCTCCAGCCCAGGTTCCTGGCTGTGCTAGCCTACTTGGACAGTATCCTGGTGACTCAGTCCTGCAGTGAGCAGACCAAGCGCCATGCTCTGCTCACTCTGCCAGAGCTCATCAAGCTGTATGTAACTACTAGTGTTATTGTTGTACAGACACAGTTCCTCCAGCCCAGGTTCCTTGCAGTGCTGGCCTACTTGGACAGTATCCTAGTGACTCAGTCCTGCAGTGAGAAGACCGAGCTTCATGCTCTGCTCACTCTGCCAGAGCTCATCAAGCTGTATGTAACTACTAATGTTATTGTTGTACAGACACAGTTCCTCCAGCCCAGGTTCCTTGCAGTGTTGGCCTACTTGGACAGTATCCTGGTGACTCAGTCCTGCAGTGAGCAGACCAAGCGTCATGCTCTGCTCACTCTGCCAGAGCTCATCAAGCTGTATGTAACTACTAATGTTATTGTTGTACAGACACAGTTCCTCCAGCCCAGGTTCCTTGCAGTGCTGGCCTACTTGGACAGTATCCTAGTGACTCAGTCCTGCAGTGAGAAGACCGAGCTTCATGCTCTGCTCACTCTGCCAGAGCTCATCAAGCTGTATGTAACTACTAATGTTATTGTTGTACAGACACAGTTCCTCCAGCCCAGGTTCCTTGCAGTGCTGGCCTACTTGGACAGTATCCTAGTGACTCAGTCCTGCAGTGAGAAGACCGAGCTTCATGCTCTGCTCACTCTGCCAGAGCTCATCAAGCTGTATGTAACTACTAATGTTATTGTTGTACAGACACAGTTCCTCCAGCCCAGGTTCCTTGCAGTGCTGGCCTACTTGGACAGTATCCTAGTGACTCAGTCCTGCAGTGAGAAGACCGAGCTTCATGCTCTGCTCACTCTGCCAGAGCTCATCAAGCTGTATGTAACTACTAGTGTTATTGTTGTACAGACACAGTTCCTCCAGCCCAGGTTCCTTGCAGTGCTGGCCTACTTGGACAGTATCCTAGTGACTCAGTCCTGCAGTGAGAAGACCGAGCTTCATGCTCTGCTCACTCTGCCAGAGCTCATCAAGCTGTATGTAACTACTAATGTTATTGTTGTACAGACACAGTTCCTCCAGCCCAGGTTCCTTGCAGTGTTGGCCTACTTGGACAGTATCCTAGTGACTCAGTCCTGCAGTGAGCAGACCAAGCGTCATGCTCTGCTCACTCTGCCAGAGCTCATCAAGCTGTATGTAACTACTAATGTTATTGTTGTACAGACACAGTTCCTCCAGCCCAGGTTCCTGGCAGTGCTGGCCTACTTGGACAGTATCCTGGTGACTCAGTCCTGCAGTGAGTAGACCAAGCGTCATGCTCTGCTCACTCTGCCAGAGCTCATCAAGCTGTATGTAACTACTAATGTTATTGTTGTACAGACAAAGTTCCTCCAGCCCAGGTTCCTGGCAGTGCTGGCCTACTTGGACAGTATCCTGGTGACTCAGTCCTGCAGTGAGAAGACCAAGCGTCATGCTCTGCTCACTCTGCCAGAGCTCATCAAGCTGTATGTAACTACTAATGTTATTGTTGTACAGACACAGTTCCTCCAGCCCAGGTTCCTGGCAGTGTTGGCCTACTTGGACAGTATCCTGGTGACTCGGTCCTGCAGTGAGACGACCAAGCGTCATGCTCTGCTCACTCTGCCAGAGCTCATCAAGCTGTATGTAACTACTAATGTTATTGTTGTACAGACACAGTTCCTCCAGCCCAGGTTCCTGGCAGTGTTGGCCTACTTGGACAGTATCCTGGTGACTCAGTCCTGCAGTGAGAAGACCAAGCGCTATGCTCTGCTCACTCTGCCAGAGCTCATCAAGCTGTATGTAACTACTAATGTTATTGTTGTACAGACACAGTTCCTCCAGCCCAGGTTCCTTGCAGTGCTGGCCTACTTGGACAGTATCCTGGTGACTCAGTCCTGTAGTGAGAAGACCAAGCGTCATGCTCTGCTCACTCTGCCAGAGCTCATCAAGCTGTATGTAACTACTAATGTTATTGTTGTACAGACACAGTTCCTCCAGCCCAGGTTCCTGGCAGTGCTGGCCTACTTGGACAGTATCCTGGTGACTCAGTCCTGCAGTGAGCAGACCAAGCGTCATGCTCTGCTCACTCTGCCAGAGCTCATCAAGCTGATGGGTGTCCAACATATAACCCCTGTCAGGTTCAAAGTGCTTGCTACTCTGCGATATGCCCTCAACCTCTACCACAGCTACTATCCACAAACTATCTGCTTCGCCTGGCGTGCCTTTGTACAAAAGTAAGTGTTTTTGTTTTTCTTTAGTGTCCTCGCCAGTGGTTTGTTTTGAATTAAGGAATTACAATTTTGCGTGGATACTCGGGGATTGAACCTGGCCCTCTGTACCAGTCTCTTGAAACGCTAACTACTTGGCTAGCAGTACATCCAATCCTTAATTGTTTTCATTTAGCTAGAATGACTTTCCCTCGAGGAATATCCTGAATAAGTGTGATTGGTAGACATAGGCTTCCTTATGAGTCTTGGAAATAACGAAATTTATATGACATGTTCCCTCTTTAAACGCTAGTTTTGTCTTGAAATCTTAGGGTGTAACTTGTCTTGATATTTTTAATAGTTTTTAAAACTAGTTTTATTGCAAAATGCTACACTAGTCAAGTACTGGATCAAATCTATGAATGGTTAGAATCAACTAATTTGAGTATAAACAGGTAGAATATACTATTTTATATGTTTTTGCATACATCTAGACCGATCTGTTCTTAGTCAGAGTGCTAGTCTTGATCAGTTAAAAGCCATCCAGATTGTCTCACTCCATTCCACACTCACCCGAATTACATCTTCAGCTTACTGACTCAAGTGTGTTCTTCTCATTAAGAACTGATAGACAGAGTGAATTCAATATACCAATTAAGTAACTTTCCTTTAGTGTTTTCCTTACCTTGATATCAAAGTGTTTTCGGCCAAGAGAAACAAAGTACTTTTTTTATTTTGACGCTGTAAAGAAAAATATTTGCTAAATTGTACGGCTGTAAAATATTGTGTTATTCAGTGTGTCGTCGTTGGGTCCGTTGTTGAGTTCTATCTTTGTGTCGCTGTTGCCACTCCTGGACCAACACCCCGTGGAGATCTGCAGCGTATTCCGCATACTTGTGGTGGACAACCTGGAGGCAGTTAGAGACCATCTCGCCGAGCTTTACTTCCTACCAGACACCCCGGCGACTCATCAGTTTTACACTTTGGTGCAAGCGGAGCTCGAGAAGCTCAGGTAAATATTATTACAGTTTTAACCATAAAATAGGAAAACCACTTCAACTTCACTAACACGATTTGGAAAGCATAAACTCTTTAAGAGCATTTACGACAATAATCGCCAATGAAATTTGTTAGTTTTTAAAACCAATTGCACTTTTGTTGTCAAAAGTGGTTTGAAAATCAGAATTTTACGTAGGATAGCCTCCGCGGTCATATATTAATTTGGCTACTCAAAATTCAAACTTCGAATGAAGCTGCTAAAAGTTGGTATGATTCATTAAGATATTTAAATCATGGAGAATGTTGAGTTAAGATGGTAATTTCACAAAAAGTGTCTCATTAAGATTTCCTCTTCAGGAAAAGACTAAATTAATAATGAGTGGTATTGATGTTTAATTTTTTTTTATTTAGCGGCGAGTTATTATTTAGTCAATTGTTTTAGACTAACATTTTACAAGGAAGTTACTACTCATCCAGTGGCTAAGTTATTGTCTTGGTTCCACAGAAAGTTGCCAGTGAAGGACCAGTTGGCTGTAACGTTGAGACTGGCAACTCACAAGAACTCTGATGTTCAGCTCCGAGGACTTCACAAGCTGCGGGAAGACCTCGCATTTCACCGAGAGAACCTCGTACCTCTCATATCAGCTTGTGATAACATTGATCCTTTTATTCTCCAGGTCGGTAAATAACAACACATCTTCAGAATGTTTAACATGTTTTTTATTCTAATTTGTATTTTGTGAATTTTTTGTACAAAATTGAGAAGAGGATGAACAAAATAGATTGTATTATGCATTAAGCATTGGGCAACTTTAGCTGCTTTTACACTTTGTTCAAAACTGTTGAAGCTGAGATAACCTATATTGTTGCTCATGCAAAGGCAACCAAAGTTATATAACAGGTGTTGATTGTTAAGTATCTATGAGAAATTTTGACAACCAGTGGACCGTTTAAATGCGTGCACAGTTGAAACTTTGTGTCGAGGACTCTGATGAGATGAGGCGTTCTTGTAAAGTGTAGGCCCTCAGTTAGTCTCAAAGTCTTTAAGACATGTATTAGTGTTCACAGTATTAACGCTAAATATCAAGTTTAACAAATGCTACAAGGAAGTTACAGCTCTCATGTTCAAGGCATAGCTCTCTAGCTCACTCATAGTTAGTGGGCGGAGGGCTGAGTTCGGATCAAAGTTCAGATTTCATTAGTGAACTTTTGGGTTGCTTAATAAAATAAAATCTTATTACACTGTTAATCACCAAATACAACAATGAATTTGTTTGGTTAAAGTAAAAATTAAATAATACTTAGAACAAAAAAAGAACTATTTAACAAATTTTATTTACATATCCAACCGTTGGATCTCATGTTGGACTGCTGATATTGTTAAGATAAGGTTTATCGTTAAATATTGATATTTATAAAATATGGGGAAAACCTACTTAGTATGGAACATTGTCTGACATGTAATGTTGATGACAGCTACTAGAGGCGCTGTTGTCAGGATGTCAGGACACAGACCCTGATGTGAGACTTGCCAGTGCTCAATGTCTAGGAGAGTTGGGCGCACTCGACCCTGGACGTCTTCCAAACAAGTTCAAAGTTGAAGGTTTGTTAAAAAGATTCTTACTTACGCTTTAGGTTGAAGTTCAAAGATTTCACTTCAAATCTCAGATATTCCTTTTAAAATCACCTATTACGAATATAGGTAAAGTTAATTTTATTTCAAGATTAAGGTGCTCCCTAAGCTTACCTGATCCACTGAACCTTTTTAAGAACTACTAGATGAATTTTCGCCTCCATTTTTGAACATTTTGATTTTTACTCGTGTCATTTTGTTACCTCCTACTTTCAAAATATAAAACTACACTCACTATAATATAATTTAAAATCCAACAAAACTTTTTTAAGTAGCAAGCTTACCTTAGACAGTTTTGCGTACAATGACTAATGTAATTACACAATCAAATGTCTAATAGTTATAAAATTGATATTTCGTCCTTGTGTAGACCTTTGGAGACTGTTACACAAAAATTAGTGAAATACTGTATGATGGATCAGTCTACGTCTACATATTAATTTGGACCAATCCACATTTCAGCCGAGGAGAAAGAAATGTTCGTAATCAGCAGTGAGGCGTTTGTTTTACGAGCACTCAACGAATTCGTCCGAGCTTTCCAAGCTGCCAGTCATACCACCACGGTGGATGTTTTTGCATTTGGAATTCAGGTTAGTTTACATGCACAATATGCTTTCTAACGTTTCATAAGTTTTTTTTACACTTTCATAATCTCACCATCAATACAACATTCATCCTTTACTCATATCTGCCTCAAGGTACTCGCAGTGGTGTGTTGGTGTTGTATGCATCTAATCTATTACCAACTGTTGTAGGAGCTGCTGAAGATGTACAAAGTGCCGGAGAGTCAAGTGTGGGAAAAGTTGTCGGACGCCACTAAGGAGATCATCTCTCCGTTCAGGGAGTCTCGCTACAAGCCCTCAGACCATACAGACCAAAAGACTCACATTCCCCACCCTATATATGGGTAAGAGTTCCAAGTCTATCCTCCCTTAAGTCAATGACAAAGCTATTGCCAGCTTTCTTGGAGGTAATCTGTAAATTGCACTCTGCAAGTAATTTTTGGTTCCATCCTCTATTTCTACACACTAAACCTTTTCCGTTATATGACTAGCGGGATGTTTTTGCAGGTTGGAATGTTATAATCATCATGTTTAGGATTAGGTTAGGTAGGTTAGAACTGAGATGTTAAAACTTAAATTTTGTATGCTATAAACATATAGTGTTAGTCGTGTAACGTAAATGTCTGTCATCTCTAAAAGATTTTTTGTGTGTTCTAGCTTAGTTAGCTTTTGGTTAGCTTTGAGGTTTTTGGTCCGAAAGGAACCGATTTCATCCTTGACCTTGACCATAGGCTTGGACAGCTTTTCCTTAAAAGTTTTTGTTATTTTTTAATACAATAACAGTGGAACATAAATATACAGTACTAACAAGAACAAAAGTTTGACTTTTAAATACTTTTACAAGAAATTTTTATGCACAGACACAAAGATTTTTGGCCAAGAACACAAGATATAGGTTTAACATAAACAATAAGCTGTTTATATTATATATGACAGTAGTATAGGGAGGGTGCATTTGGGGCAACAGGTGTTGCCCCCCGCAAAGCAATACCTTGTTTATTGTTTACAATCCTTGACCCCTGACCTCCAGTAATCAGCCGATAGCGCCAATCAAACGTTTAACCCCAATTGACCCCAATTAAAAAACAATTAGATAAAAGATATCGCATTCCGGCGTTATCCGTTATCGGGTATTCCCCGACCCGCGGGTCGCCGCGTCTGTTTACATCGTCCGCCATTGTTGTTTACACTTCTTTATCTCCATTTGCGCGCGCTTTTGGCTCCGTCGATTCAGTTTCCTAGTATCTTCAGCTCTCCTGATACTTGTTCGAATTTTCTTTCAAATCTATTTTGTTTAGAGTTGATTTTTTTTGCGCGCACTTTTGAATCTGTCGATTATTTTTCCTAGTATCTTCAGCACTCCTGATACTCGCTCGAATTTTCTTTCAAATCTATTTTGTCCGGTGTTGATTTTTTTTTGCGCGCACTTTTGAATCCGTCGATTTTGTTTCCTAGTATCTTCAGCACTCCTGATACTCGCTCGAATTTTCTTTCAAATCTATTTTGTTTAGAGTTGATTTTTTTTTTGCGCGCACTTTTGAATCCGTCGATTTTGTTTCCTAGTATCTTCAGCGCTCCTGGTACTCGCTCGAATTTTCTTTGAAATCTATTTTGTTTGGAATTGATTTTTTTAGTACTGTTTTTGAAATTTACAAAATTTTGTGGAAACTTTTCACACGCAGTGGACAGCCTAGGTACCACGTGCTTCCTTCACGCCATGCCCGTGATAATCACTCATTTACGTCAATTGAAAACGTGATATAACATTTTGTTGACTTTAGTGGAAAGTTTTATTGTACTGTGGACTGCAAACCTAAGTTTCACGTGTGTCCTTTGCAACATGGTAGTGATAATCACTCATTTGCGTCAATTGTAAACGTGATAAATTCAGTATAAATACTGTGAGATGTTTCTGTTTAACCAAGTTGTGGTTTTGAATCATCTTCAGTAAACACCTCCTTCTACAAACTTGGGTGAGTAAAAAACAACTATATTTTTAAGTCTTAGAATCATTTTTGAAACTTTAACTTTTTTACACTTTTTGAAACTTTAACTTTTTAGTCTTAGAATCATTTTTGAAACTTTAACTTTTTAGTCTTAGAATCATTTTTGAAACTTTAACTTTTTAGTCTTAGAATAATTTTTGAAATTTTTACTTTTTGAAACTTTAACTTACAAATAGTCGCTGTGAGCGACGCTCGCACTTTAGTGTAAAAATACATCATCGCTGACAGCGACGCTGTAGCACTAAAAGGGTTTACTTATAATTTTAAATGTAATAATAATATTTCTAGCTAAACTAACTTTATGTTTTTTGTTTTAATTAAATTAGTCCAAGTTACTTTTGTAAAAACATCAAACAACAGCTATGATATATTTTTTTTTTTTATACAAATGAACACAATCATACATAGAAGGATTCTAATATTTACAATTATTTTTATTTCAGTATAATGAAACCAATAGTAAATAAAGAAGAGTTAAAGCAGTATAGTCAAAGTAAAATGACATCATATTATGAAAGCACAATAAGAAGTTATCGTTATAGTGAAATAAAAATAAAAACATACAAACAGTTAAATATTGAGACAATGTTTAGAGGTCAGTAAAATCTTATGCATATATGTACTTTACTAAACACATATTAAAGTATAAAATTACATATCTATAAGTTAAGTAATTGTGAATAATTTATGTGCTTTAGAAATGGAAGATCAATCCAATCACCAACATCTCCAATCTGACTGCGAATCCAAGTCAGACGCAGGCCGATCGGAGATTGAAGTCCGCTCACGCCCATCCAGTGACGGGTAAAACCGATTTTAAACTAAGCGAGATTGTGGAAATGCTTTTTTCGATTGGCATGACTAGTTATTTGATGTGGGAGAGGGTTCTTACGAATTTCGGGAAGTCTTTCGAAGTTCAAACTGATCCTCTTCTGCTACAAATATATATGATCCTAAAACAGCTATCAGCGGCCTTTGGAAGCTTCATTCATGAAAATTGTGATCCAAGCCAGTATAAATTGCCTTTATTAATGGAAGAGGAAAAAAGCCTAAAAGAACTATTATCAATTTTGAATCCCCTGTTGAAAAAGAAATCGTTTAAGGAAAAACTTTTTTCTCATAATGTTGTGAATAAGCTCATGATACTTATTAGAAATGCATTGCAACCGGATGAGACTGTTGTGAGCCAAAAAAAACGTAAGGCAATGAAAGTGAAAAAAAGTGCGAAAAAATCTAAAAAACATGTTTCAAAAAAGCATTCATCGTCTTCTTCTTCTTCGGATTCATCAAGTTCTGGTTCATCCTCATCGTCTTCTGATTCAGAAGAGGAATTTGGAAAGTTATTTAAAGATAAATCTAAAAATAAAATCCCATACGTCTCACAACAGTTTATATTTGTAACTGGTAAAGATCTAAAACAACGAATCGTCACACCGGGTGAACAAGGGAGCCACTTGATAAAAATTGAAATAACAGATACTCGGGATCTGAAGAAATGTCAGAGTGATAAATATTGGCAAAAAGTTCACAAAAAAGGATATTTTCTATTGAATAACAAAAACGATGAAGACAAGGCTATTCTTTCACAATTGGATTCAATTCTTGTTGGAGCATGTAAAAAAGTTAAAGAGACTATTCCAAATGTAAAGAAGGATAAGTTTAAGTTGGGCTCTTATGCCAAGAAAAACTGAAATACAATATGAAAATATCCTTTTTTGTCATATCTATTTGTTAATGAGCTTTAAACTTATTTTTTTATTTTTAATTCACAGTTCCGAAGCTGAAATTCAAAAGATTGACTGAAAATGCATTTCCTCCTCACAAATCTTCACAACTTGCGGCCGGCTTTGATCTAAGGAGTGCGTATAATACGATAGTACCCAGACGAAACAGGAGCTTAGTCCATACAGATTTGTCATTCGTGTTTCCTGAAAACTGTTATGGTAGACTTGCACCTAGATCTGGGCTTGCTTTGCATCATTTCATTGGCGTTGGTGCAGGGGTTATTGATCGGGATTATACAGGAGGTGTTTCAGCCATTCTCTACAATCATTCTGATGTCGATTTTGTGATCAACCGTGGTGATAGGATTTGTCAGTTGATATGTGAAAAAATTTGTTACCCCTTACTTTGTGAAACAGATCGGCTTGATGACACAGAAAGGGGTTCATCTGGATTTGGATCTTCTGGATTAAAATAAAGCACATAGATTATTCATGAGTTGCTAAATTGCTAAATTAATCTCGCTGTTACTTTTTCAGATGACTGATGAGTCTAAAATTCCGTTTAAAAAAAGAAGACTTCGTTTTCAAGAATTTGAGAGAATGGAAGTTGATGATGAGGATGATGATAGCCTATCCCTTCCTCATCACCAAGTTCAACCAATTTCTCAAAACTCTTTGACATTATTAAATGATCCGCAACCTTCAACCTCGGGGATAAACAACTTTAATTCAGTTCAAGTAAATGTGACTGATAGTGATTCAAGTTCGGATGGGGAGATTGTAGAAACGTTAGACTTGAGGAAAAAAGAAAATCGATTAAGAATACAAAGTGAAGATTTTGTTGAACTTGAAAATGCGTTCAGGGGTAATATTAAAACGTATTATCTCAAAAATAGTGATGAAAGTATTAAAGACATTTGTTTAATATTAATGTTGAACAAGCTTAAGATGAGTCGTTTGATAAACAGTTTGCTAAGTGAATATGGTGCTTTGAAATTTAATATTGTTTTAGAAACTACTTTCATCAGACCTAGAACAAATGAGACTCAGCCAAGAGCCTTTAAAACAAAAAACACAACTTGTTTTGAAGGGGGGAACATTAGTGCTATACTTAATAAAATGATTGGTAAAATATGTAATGAAGAATCTTGTTATGAAGGTAAAGGAAGTGGATTCAGTCTCTCAAGCGTGGATGGTATTTTACTACGGATAAACCGTTATAGACCGTTCGGAGGAAGTTCTTATATACCATTACCTAAAAAGATTCTAAACAGAAAATGTGTAATAAACCCTCGCAACATGCATGATAATCTTTGCTTCAAATGGTCAATTTTAACCAGATTTGTTGAAGGTTCAAATCCAGAGAGAATCAACATGAGACATTTTAGTTTACAAAATAAATTCAATTTTGATAAACTTGATTTTCCGATGACATTAAAGCAAATTAAGAAATTCGAAAAGATAAATCCCGGTGTTAGTGTGAATGTCTATGGCTTAGACAAAAACGATGATGTGTATCCTTTAAGGGTCTGCGAAAAAGAAGAAGAACAGCATTTTGACTTATTGTTAGTCAAAAACCAATCAGGCTCATCTCACTTTTGTTATATAAAGAAT